CATAATAGTGCTTAAAATTAAAATTGTAACTATGTCAATCAATGGGTTCCTATTTAAATAGTCAAGTAATGCTTATTCTAGCCAAGACATAACTTAATTATTCAAGAATATAAGATCAACTATTTTTGTAACCAAATTGGTATGTAATTTTTTTTTCTTTTTTTTTGCAACAACCAACATCATGTGCAACATCATGTGATGAATAAAGTTGTTTAAAATTTTTTACTCAAACTTAATAACGTAAGAAATTAATTAAAAATATAATACGTCCTATTTTGTTATAATACTTTATTGTGGTGAAAATTAAACTATTTTTATAGTAGTATGGCTGAAAAAAAAAATATACTTACATTTTTGAAACCCTACCCTAAAGCTCTCTTGCTCCAGAAGAGTTCAGCCCTATCCGTGGTTGCACTGTGATTTTCGAATATTTTTCACCATTAGATCAAAATAAATACATACTATATGAGTGTGTATTGATCTAAACGAGAAAAATTCGATGACTGAACTACAATTATTACCAATAGCATAAAATCTTCTCTTGCCCACTTAGATGAGGGAAAGGAAAATATGATAGGAAGAACAATACAAATCAAGTTGAATTGGACCCAATCAACCAAATCATTTGATCATGGAAAACTTTTTTCTAACCACATAATTATTAAGGAAATTTTCTGTTATAATGATGATGATAATGATACAATTTAGGCACAACATTCACTGGATATAACCCAGTTAACATGGTGTTTGCCTTGATGTGATGTTATTTGTTCCTTTTAAGAGTTAATCTCGTAATTAATTAGAGAATATGTAATTAATTATGTAAATCCACTCATCACCAAAACTTAGGCCAAAATTAATTAAACTGAAATCAATAGAGTACTATTCCGGAGCCAATAGATATGTGTATAACGTTGTAAATAGAGTTCAGGTTGTTAGCCTAAACGAGTCAAACTGAAATAAAATTTTGGAAAATTATGTAAAAATCAGTATTCTCGAGCCTTATGTTAATGAGCTGACATGAGCTCGAGTTCGTCTTATTTTGAAGCTTAACGAGTCAAGTCTAGACGAACTCACAAAGAGTTGGTTTAACCACACTAATTGTGAGGCAATTTTTTTTTGGTACAAATTGTGAGGCAATATTTTTCTCAATAGAATGGTATGCTTAAAAAATTGTATAGAACGGATTTAAATTAGTAGGGCCGGGTTGAATTCACGTCCGGCAGGCTTAGTAAAATTGGCCCATACGGGGTGGCTCGGGTGACCCGTACAGTCTAACAAATTGGGCTATAATTAGCTTGGATTAAACAAAGTGTTTTTCTTACTTATATCTTAACTTAAATAGTAATAAACTCTTAATATCTGTTAATAATATCGGTGAATGACTAATAAATAGTTTTATTTCTGTTTTTCTTTATTCTTACATTACTTGACATTTATGCCTGATTAATATATAATGCAGTGTAATTTATAAGTATATAATTAAAAAAAAAAAAAAAACACGAGGGGCCCAAAGGCATCTTATCTTAAAATAATAGTTAATTATGAAGGATTTAACAGTACAATGAACCCATTTTGAAGTTAATTGAGGCAATAAAGTGACAAGATGAACCCAACAAACTCAAACAATTTGAAGGGGAAAGCAAGAAAAGAAAAGGCATCATGATATAGATGATTAAATGGTGTTCTTACAACCGAGTCGAGTACCTTATGTTTGAATTCATACTGGTTCAATAAATAAGTTAAAGGCCCAGCTCGTTTAATCTCTGCTCGACTAGTTTTATAAATCTTAAAACTTTAGATCAGTTGTTCCTTATATGAAATATCAATTCGCAAACAAATTTTGCTCGATCATTTCATTTAAAATACTTTGAAAAATAGAACAATAAAAAATTATAAAAAATGATACTACAAAAAAATTGTTATATTCCAACGGAAAATCCTATGATAATATATTCCAATAGAAATTCTAACGGATATTCCAATGATATAGCTTCCGTTGGAATTATTTTAACAAAAATTCCAACGAAAATATTCCGTTGGAATGTGTTTTTTCATTGAAATTTTAGATGGAATTTGATGATTTCAACGGCTATATTTCCAACGGCTCTTGACCGCAGGAATTTTCGTTGGAATATGCAATTTCCTTTGGGGTTTTTATTTTCACCACCGTTGGAATCGTCAAAATCCAAAGAAAATTCCAATGAAAAACTCATTCCAACAAAATATTTTTGTTGGAATTTTAGTTGGAATTATTCTAACAGAAATAATAGCATTGAAATACCCATTGGAATTGCCGTTGGAATTCTATGGGAATATAATTTCATTGGAATTTCATCATTTTCTTGTAGTGTGAGTTGTCGATAAAAAAGCTCGGCTCGACACGACTCGACTGTTTAATAAAGAAGCTCAATTACTTATTCGAGCTAGGCTTGTTCATATAAACGAATCAGTTTAGCTTGACCTTTTACGAGACAAACCTAATTGTATTCTCGAACTTGATTCAAATAACAATTTATAAATCAGTAAAAATGATTTTAAGAGTAATTCCACTCGAATAATAATAAAGCAAAAATTATTAAAAGTGTCCAAGAAGAATTTTAGTCTAAAATTATGGCGATCTAATCATCATAATCACTTCAAAAAGAAGCAATCATTTTGCTTAATTGAGACTTTAGACCAAGTATTCATTTAGATTTTTAAGATTTGTTATTGGGACAAATATTCCCTAGTAATATAATGTTCTTTTTTTGTTTTGTGTTGCGTTGTTTGCCTTTTTTATGGAGTTTGTACCCCTCTTGTCTGTAATGACAAGGGAGTTTGTCCAGTCTTCTGATTCCAGTGTGTCATTTGACACTTCGGATGTATTTTTTTGAGTTTTAAGTTATTCATATAATTGACATTGGAAAAAAAGAATATTTTGTTTTTACAAATTCAATTCATCTATTGATGAAACAATAATGAAACTTGTGCAATTTGAAATATCCATGTGTTATTATTGTTGTTGTAAGGAAGTAAGGAACATTGCTGAAAACGGATATTTTTTTCAGAAATTCTGTATTTTGTATTATATATTTTTATTTGATTTTTTTCATCCAGTTGTCATTAATTGATTATTGACAAATAGTGGACAAATTTGCAATTTATGATAATTCAATCGGTTAATTTTCAAATTTCCAAAAGAAAGAAAATAAATTTATCAGGTCCAAAATTATAGTTGACCATTTTTCTATTTCCAAATTGATTAGTTTTATCTATCAAAAACCGAATTGATTTTTCTTTAATATTATATTTTATTTGAATTAGTTAATCATTATTTTTCAAAAGAAATACTACATTCCGTTGGGAAACATTCTGTAAATTAGTGTAGATAGAACTGTAGTCTTTCCCATTTTTTTAATCCCGGTTAATTTGACAAATTGAACATTTAACATGCTATAATGATAATCTATAGTTTGGCCTTTTAATTTTGGCCCCATCTACACAAATGGAAAAAACTCTGCAACAAATGAAAGCCAATGATCGAATCAATAATTTCACAGCTCTCAAAGCCCAACCAAACCCTCCCAACAACCAGAGCACTACACGGGTTCATAGCCAAGACCCGTCTTGCATCCGACCCGTTCTACGCGACCCGAATCCTGAGGTTCTACGCCATCAACAGCGACCTCATATCCGCACGCAAGGTGTTCGACAAAACTCCCGAAAGAAACATATTCCTCTGGAACTCCATCATTCGGGCCCACGCCCGGGCCCGCGATTTCCAAACCGCATTCGGGCTTTTCAGAAGCCTGCTGGGCTCAGAGACACGGCCCGATAACTTCACTTTCGCTTGCGTGGCCCGGGCTTGCTCGGACGGGTCCAACGTGAGGGCATTGCGGGCCGTACATGGAAAGGTAGTTTCTTTCGGGCTGAGTTTGGATTCTATATGCAACAGCATGCTCGTTAGCTGTTATTCGAAATCAGGCCTCGTTCGTGAGGCCCACTTCGTATTTAGGAGGATTAAAGATCCTGACTTGGTATTATGGAATGCGATGATTTCCTGTTATGGAAGTTGTGGAGATTGGATGAAGGGAATTGAACATATTAACGCAATGCAGGGTATGGGAATTCGGCCCGACGGGTACACAATGGTCGGGCTGATTAACGGGCTTATAGACAAAAGCCCGATAAACGTACGTGAAATGGTCCATGCTTTTTGCATAAAATGTGGTTTTGAATCGAACGATCATGTAGGAAGTGTGCTCGTTCGTATGTACTCTAAGTGTAAGAAAATGGAATTAGCGTGCAGAGTGTTTGATAGTCTATTCGAGCCCGATTTGGTCTCTTGGTCAACTCTTATCGCGGGGTTTTCCCAATCGGGAGACCATTTAAAGGCACTAGACATTTTCCGGCAATTTTTAAACTACGGGAAGGGGCCCGATCCTGTGCTTCTCACCAGCGTGCTCTCGGCTTCTGCCCATCTGGCGATTTTAGGACCCGGATTAGAGATCCACGCGTACGCCGTACGGCGAGGCTACGACGCGAAAGTCTCGGTTGCCTCCGCGCTAATCGACACGTATGCGAAATGCGGGTTTTTGGAGTGCGGCGTGAAAGTGTTCGATAAAATGCCCGAAAGAAACTTGGTCTCGTACAATGCCGTGATTTCGAGCCTTGGCCTGTACGGACGTGCTCGCGATGCGTTTTGGGCTTTTGATATGCTTTTGAGAGAAGGATTAAAGCCCGACGAGGCTACTTTCGCGGGCCTTCTTTGTGCTTGCACGCATTCGGGCTTGGTTGATGTGGGCCGAGAGTATTTCATGATGATGAAAAATGAATATGGGCTCGAGGCTAAAACAGAGCATTTTGTTCACATGGTGAAGCTTTTGGGGATGAACGGGAAACTGGACGAGGCTTATGATCTCGTTCGGGCTTTGACTTGGCCTGTTGACCTGGGTGTTTGGGGCGCGCTTCTGTCGTGCTGTGATTTTAGCAAAGATTACGAACTTGTTGAAGTTATAAAGGATCATTTATCGGGGAATGTGGAGAACGGGAGTGGTTATGGCGTGATGGTGTCGAATTTGTTCGCGGGTTGTGGGAGGTGGGATGACGTGGCGCGGCTGAGGGTCGATAAGGGAGGGGCTAAAGGCAAAATGCGCGGCATTAGCAGGGTCGATGTGTAAATAGTAAAAAAAGAAAAACTTGGTTAAGTGATGGTAATGGATTCTGTGCATAGATATTCGTTAGTGTTCTGTTGGCGAAAAATGTCGTCAGCATGCAAACCGAACTTTATTTTGTTGATTTTGGATGGATTCTTAGCCTGATTTGTAAGATAGGCCCTTGAGATGTACAAAAGCAGCATTTTTCTAAGGTTTGTGTCACTAATCTTTTTGAGATGATATACGAACATGAGATTCTTGGTTGTGTCGTACGTATGGAGCCTTCATGTACGGCCTGATACGCCTGTAAACAAGTCAAGCTGAGCTCGAGCTTAGGTGCTCGAGCTCGAGCCCTTAACAAGTCGAGCCGAGCACGTTAAATAAACGAGCTAGGGCTCGACCCGTTTGTCACTATTAACGAGTCAATCTTGAATTTTAAAGAGTCGAAATATAGAAAATTATATAAGAATTATCTTTTCGAGCCTTAACGAACATCTCGTTAATCAAGCGAGCTTTAAATGAACTCGAGCCGAAATTAATTTTTCCATTATAACCACAATTAATGCAAGAGCCCAAACATGAAATCAATGTATTATTTATGGCATAACCTTTGAACACGAGTTCAAAACTAAACCTTGGCAAGATTAATTTTCCATTATAACCAACTTGTTATTCAGTGTGTACTCATTCATTGAATGTGTATTCACATCATTAGTTGTTATGAATTCAAGGATTTCGCCATGATTCAACCTTACTAGTACGCAACCCGCGCGTTGCGCGGCTTAATATTAAAAATGATGTGAATGAATGATAATTTAATAGAAAAATATCTATTGATATAACGTAGACTAAATTTTTTATTAATCCAATAAATATACTTCCACAAATATAACATTAATATAACATTAATAGTAGATGAGTTGTGTTCATTATCACCAACAGTAATAACAACAATTAGACAATATAGATTCGTGACTATAGAAACAATAACAACGTATAATTGTTGTAACAAAAAAATACAATATATTTATTTCTTAAAATTTTAAACAGTAAATTCACAAGCTTACAAAAAAATGTGATATACTATGAAAAAAATTATTTATCACATTAATAACACCCCTTCAGATTTTTTCATAAAAATGTCTACGTGATAACATAATTCCATAGGTACAAAAAAATAAAGTCATAATTACTATTCTACAAATAAAGTAATATATTAATAATTAAAGTTAACATGTAAGAAGATGAGTAAATTAAAATTTATAAATGTAAATTAAATACTTAAGAAAAAAAAATAAAAAAAACTTCTATCCGCATATATTTAATTTTAAATTAGGTCCACATATTTTTCACTTTTTATTAACAAAATAATTATCAACATTTCAATTTTTTGCAAAATAAGTGCGATGGTGATTAGAGAATGACGTGGAAGATTGATCATTTTTCGTAAAGTTATAAATAGACCGGGTAATTGCACAAATTAGTGGGAATTACAATTGAATGTAATTTTTAGCAACGTCCATTGATAAAATTTTGATAAAGTAATAAGAAAAAGACATTTAAATTATATTATAGAATATTAAAAAAAAGCATTCTTGTAAAATTAAAATTGTGATAGATGATAAGAAAAAAGTAGTTAATGCATTATAATAAGTTCTGTTTAACTTTATCTACTACAACATTCAGTTGCGATAATATGCTTCTATTAAGAAAAATTACACGGTAACTGACACATTATGCTATTTTTATTTATAAACAACATAATTGTGTATTTATTAAAAACAAAGGAGGTCAATCTTCACCAACTTTTACATAACCTCAAATTTAAGCTCAAATAAAATAAATGAAACAAATAATTATCGGATCAAAATATTCAATCAATAAGATCATTTCGTCTTCATAGTCAAAACTACATTATCACTTTTTATCTCTCTTGTTGTTGAAATACTCACTCTTTTTGTTATCCTTTTCTAAATTTTTTTTATTTCACAATATTCTTATATTGTTTACCCATAAATTAAACTAAATTAGATGCTATGTCTGAACACTAAATCAATTAATTTTATGTTGTATACAAACATGAAAATAAATGTTCACCTCATTGTACAAAATACAAATTTATGTCTATACTAATCAATTATTTTTATGTTGTACACAAACTATGAAAATAAACGTTCACCTCATTGTACAAAATAAAAATTTATGTTTATACATATTGAATTATTTTTTATTATATACTTTAAAGTTGTAATTTTTATTTTCATAATATTATATTAAGAAAATAATCAAGATGATCACCGTCAATGTTAGATCAATTGCTAAAACTTATTTTTCATGAAATTTAAGATAATTGTAATTAACTTATTATTTAGAAATATAAAATTATTTTCAAATATCAATAATAAAACATTTAATAATAATAATAATAATATATAAGTCTAAAACTAAAAAGTAAAAATGACAATTGTGATATATGATGAAGAAAAAACAGTTGTTGCATTCGCAGTAAGTTGTAGGGCTTTGTATGTCGCAATGTTTCGATAAAGATGACACATTATCGTCATTCTTAAGAAAACAATATACGATATACAAATAAAACATTAACAATGAAATTAACTTGTTATGGCTCATAAATTATAGTTGTATACTTTTGGACCCATAAAAAAAATTCATGAAGGCGAAACTTTATGCGCGCATGTTTTTAAGTGGACTCTTCAATATTTTCATAAATAAAACAAATTATACCAACTAAAAATAATAATATACCAAAAACCAGTGTTTTCAATACCGTATCGTACCGACCGGTAATACTGGATACCAGCCATTTGTACGGTATAATTGCACACATAATACCAGACGTTTATACTGGTTTGTACGGGGGTCATACCGTAAATACCGAAAAAAACTGGTCTAAAATACCGGTCATCAAAAAACAAAAAAGATAAAAAAATTATTAATTTAAAGACATAAAATTTAAATTGGTAGTTAGAATGTTTTATTTTTATCTCATTGGTAAGTTAAAATTAATGATTATGGTCATTTATTTTTTTACTTTTTTACATTTGGTGTTATACATTTTTATATAAAAATATATCTATCATTATATTTGCTAGTCCGGTAATACCACCGATATTACCGGTCCGACCGGTAACACTACATACCGGTGGTTAGACCAGTATGGCCACCGGTACGGTACTTAAAACACTGCCAAAAACAACATGAAACGCCCTAATATATAGTTGAAAAATCATTGAAGAAATGAACCATATATATGCATTTTTCTTTTCAGCCTTCACAATCAAATCCATGAGTTGTCTCTTTGAAATGATGTTATATCTCTTTTTTTGTACGCTATCATTTGTGGATTTTGTTTCTTTTTACAATATCAGTTATGAAATATTAGTCTATTGTTTATCTATAAAATACAGTCAATTTCATGACATTTTCGTTCTAAAATGTCTTATTTTTCTTTACTTTTGTTTTCCTTGTGTTCATATTCATAGTTTATTAGTAAAAGAAACTTCAATCCATATAGTTCTTGAAGTTTCTTTTACCCAAGTAAAGTCTAATCAACATTTTTTAGATCTATTTTATATGGATATGAAGGATCATCCCCAAAAACTATAGATGATATTTAAAATATATATATATATATATACATATATTTTTTAGTTGAATAAATTGTATTATTTATGATAAATATAACTTCATTATTTTTACCTCTCTCTATTTATATTGCATTTGTTATTTAAAAAAATATATTTTAAAATAAAATAAACAAAAGTATGAAATTTAGAAGTCTAAGTTTGCATTGTTGTTAATAAAGAATGACTTGTTGACTTGACTAAACCTTACTCCAGCTCACATAAGAGTTTGTGAATGAGTAGACTTTTTACAATTTAAATTAAAAATATTGTTTAGGAATGAGGTACTCAATACAAATAATTTAATGGTTACTTGTAATTTCTTAGAATTATATAGAGATATAAAATAATATAATATTAGATTAGTAAGGGATGATTACATATTTTATTAACGTGTACGTAAATTCCATCATATTAAAGTATATGTGTCAAACGTGACATGGTGCTACTATTAGATATTTATATGTAAACATTGAACATGTGTATGTTAAAATAAACGACATAGAATTTTAAAAAAGACATATAGAATCTAAAAGTTTTATCTAATATATCCAATATAGATACCAAAATAAAAACTATAAAAATATATATATATATATATATATATATTATATTACATGCAGATATTGTATTAGTTATGATTTTTTCTATTTTATCTTGAAATATTTCGAATATAACCGAAAAAATTAATATTATGTTCAAAAATTAAAAAAAATATATAAAATAAATGATTTTAAATAAAAAATTTACTTTAAAATTTATTTAATGATTAATTAAATGAGATTGGTAATTTATTTTAATAAGAAAAAAAATAATATATAAGGAAAGGAACTCATACTCACAAATGGGAAGAGAGACAAATAATAAGTGGGATATTGGAATGAGAATTCATAATAAATAATTATGTATAGTATTAAATATTATTTGTAACAAATAATTATGTCACTCACAAAGTATAAAAATATTAAACGGAAATTTGTACAATAATTGATTATGACTAAAATAAGTATCTATTTGTACTAAATAATTATGATATTGTTTGAATGATAAATAATACATAGAAATTAACAAAATTTATTTCATGGTCATATAAGTAATTGAAGCATTTATTTAGCCAAAAGAAATTGGAGTTCAAATTCCAATACAATTATGAATACAAATTAGTTATTCATATGTAACAAATAGTAGTATTTTTTTTATTGGTAAATCATGCATAGAAATTGATGAAAAATTATTTCAATGTAGGAAATGTAGTTTTTGATGAAAATTTTATAAAAGTTGGTAAAATTTATTTCTAGTAATTAATATAGTTTTGGAGGGAATTTTTAGCTCCTTCACTTTAATATATATATAGATTTTATTAGTAAGTGGTTATTTCAATAAGATGGTTATGGATAAAGATTGCATGCTTTCTTACTTAACACCTGTCACCTCCCAAATTCCACGTGTCCAATCCACACGTCTTTAAATTAAAACAAACACACCTACACACGCTCTTTAAGTCTCTAAGACGCACAACCACCGCGGCCATGGCAGAGCACCACCAGCACCACGGCGAATCAGCCACGAGCCACCTATCGGAAAAGGGCCCTACCACATCCCAGATCCTCACCGTCGTCAGCCTCGTCCCCGTCGGCGGCTTCCTCCTCACTGTCTCCGGCCTCACCCTCGCCGGAACCCTAATCGGCCTGGCCGTCTCCGCCCCCCTCTTCGTCATATTCAGCCCCGTCATAGTCCCCGCCTTCCTAGCGTTCGCCCTGGCCGTCACCGGATTCCTGACCGCCGGCGTGTTCGGCGTGACCGCCCTGTCTTCCGTCACGTGGCTCCTCAGCTACCTGAGGAGGATGCGGGAGGGCACGCCAGAGCACATGGAAAGGCGCGTGCTGGACACGGCGGGCCGCGTCGGCGAGAGGACGAGATAGGCCCAGGATGTGATGAGGCCTTCAAGTGGTTGATGTGGGCTGAGTAATTGGTATATTAGGCTCTGAATTTATAGTTGGGCCTAGCCTAATTTGGATCTGTTTTCTGAATTAATTAGAGTTTCTATGTACATGGGCTTTAAGTAGTCACTCGGGGTCAATAAATGTGTGATTGTTAATAAGATGTACCACTACCAACAGTACTGATGTTTACATTGTTTAATTTAAATTTGGTATCATTCATAATAATAGATACCTTTATTTTCAATATCAAGTGCATCTAGTGATGGTTGAGTTTCGTGGTTCATTTTCGAACTTAGAAAGATGGCCACACTGTTTTGAATCATACGCATAATCGGTTTTGAGCTGCAACACCACCAAGTGGGCGTGATTTCATCTAATGGCTCAAATCGCACGTACAATGTTGAGTGGGCGTGTGTTGATCTAGCCGAGTTGGCCTAACTGTTCAAATTAAAATTGAAATTGTCTATTGATAGGTAAGTAATGTGTGTTGATCTAATTGATCTAACTGCTCAAATTGATAGGTAAGTAATGTGTGTTGATCTAACTGCTCAAATTGATAGGTAAGTAACGTGTGTGTGTTGATCTAACTGCTCAAATTGAAATAGACAGAAATTGTCTATTGAGAGGTTACTACTCAAATTGTAACTACTCAAATTGAAATTGTCTATTGATAGGTAAGTAATGAGGTTTGAACCGTGAAATCACACTATTGCATCACACATTCACACCAGCGATTGGGTGTCTATTGATCTAACGACTCAAATAACCTATGTACGAATTAGGTGTATATTGATCTAACGACTCAAATAACCTATGTACGAATTAGATGTGCCGGTGTAATCTAACGACTTAAATTGCCTATAGACTTATGTTATCACACCTCAAATTGCCTATAGTCCTATGTTAATAGGCACGAATTAGATGTGCCGGTGTAATCTAACGACTCAAATTGCCTATAGACTTATGTTATCACACCTCAAATTGCCTATAGTCCTATGTTAATAGGCACGAATTAGATGCGCCGAGCAGGTGTGTTGATTTAACGGCTCAAATTGCGACACGGCTCAAATTGCGTACATTGATAGGTACGAATTAGATCTAACAACTCAAAAAGTGTCACAATGTGTTGTGCGGATGTGTGTTGATCTATTGACAGTGTGTTCATCTAATGATGCACATTACCTACATTGATATGTAGGTATTATCAACTGACTCAAGTTACCTACATTACATTGATATGTAGGAATTACAAATTACCTACATTACATTGATATGTAGGAATTAGCTAACGAATCAAATTACCTACATTAGTTCAAACCACGCGTGCTCTGCAATAAGACTTGAGCCGTCAAATTATATGCATAGTTTGACCTACATTATTTCAAACTACAATTGCTCTTCTTTAGCCGTCAAATTATACAAACAACAAGTGCTCTGCAATAAGGCTTGAACCGTCAAATTACACGTGCAATTTAACGTAGTGCGTATTGATCTAACAGTCCAAATTACCTATATAATTTTGTCCTTTCATTGACTTCAAACTCAATTATTTTCTTTGTCCTACCTATATGATTTTGTCCATCATTGACTTCAAACTCAATTATTTTCTTTGTCCTTCATTGATCATAGGTGATTTTACCCTCCAAACTCAATTATTTTCTTTGCCCTTCATTGATAGATGAATTTGTCCTTCATTGACCGATGAATTTGCCCTTCAAACTCAATTATTTGAGTTGGCAGCCACGTGGAAACGAACAGGATTTTTTTTTACCGTCCAAACAACTTAGGGCAACTAATACGTTTTTGTTCAACTACCCAAANGTATAAAATCAATTAAATTTAGATACTTAATTGCCAAGGTATAAAGTAGTGATCAAAGTGTAAAAGTCGTTACATGAAGATACTTAATTACAAGGTATAAAAAAATAGTGATCAAACAGCAAAAGCTTAAAAGGTAGTCTTTTAGGCAATTTTACCTAACTATATATATAGAGAGAGACGATACAAAAGGTTAAAGGTCACTACATGCTGGGCCAATAAGATCCCATCTACCAACCTAACCTTAGAAGACAATGTTTTTTTCAAAAAATAATAATAATAATAATTGATTAAATATAATTAATATATGCTCGTTAATCTCTCCATGAATTGATCGAATGTTTCATCGCGAGATAAAACACTTATCCTAACATATTTCGCGCTATCGCCAAAATGCTTCCCGCTTCTTGTAATTATCTTATGATCACGAAGATATCCTTCACAATCCTCGATTTCGCCTTCACACTTGAGCCAAGCAAAAGCTACAACAATAACAATGCAGAAGATAATGCAAAATGCACAAAAGGAAAATGTTAGAGCTGTGCAGAAGAACTTGGGAGTAAGCCACAAACTAGCCTTGATGTTTTGGTGATTTCAAATTTTTTTTGTCTTGTCTGAAAAGTGAGATAAAAAAGTGGAAAGAGCAAGTTTTTCGAATAAGTGAGATAAATTTGAGATTGTGAATGAATATGAGATAAAAATGTAATGATTAGTGATGGATAGATAGAGATGAATAGTGTTTGTTTCATTTTTGGCAAAATTGCATATTAATGCACCACCTATTTTTGCAATTTACTCATCACCTTTATAATTTAGCAATTTAATACACTACCTTTACCATGTTTGCAAATCGACGGCTCTAGTTACAGAAATTTATTTCCACCAATGCCATGTCAAATTTCTGTAACCGGAGCCGTCAATCATGTTTCGATTTGCAAATATGGTAAAAGTGTTGTACTAAATTGATAAATTACAAAAGTGGTGATTAAATTGCAAAAACATGAAAAGTGGCGTATTAATATACAATTTTGCCGGTTAGACAAACAAAAATGGTTTTTTTTTTTTTTGGTATCCAATCGAAGCCTAATTACGAAACAACTCAGTAACTTTACATATTTACGAAAGAACTCACCGGGTTGTGAAGAAAATGTTTGGCCGCTAAAGGCACACTTGCGTTGAGGAAAATCGGGCAAGCTAAAGAGCTTGCTGTTTTTAACTGCATTCCTCAGCTGTTTCCACCTCTTAGCCATCAAATTATAGCTGTTATCAAAGAAGGCTGCATTTTCCTTGATATGGTGTTTTTGCTCGTGGCTTTCGGTCACGAACTGCAAAATCTTTGCCGCGCGAAGTTGAGACTCTTTCGACACGCCAATAGTGCTGAGCACGATGAACTCGGTCATTTTCTTGGCGATTTCTTGATCCTTCACAAGGGCCCAACTGCAAATATATGTATCGAATTTCATGACATTGTATCGCCGAATGAAAAAACGAGTTGTCACAAAACCCACCCCTATAATCTATCCAATTTACTTTCGAGTTGGTTATTTCGAAATGTTTTAGTTTTAGTATCAAATATGTGGACTAATCTTTCAAAGTTCTTAATTCCGGGAGAAGATTGTATTTTTTTTCTCCCTTCCCAAACCAAGACTCGGTTTTGAACCGGGAATTTTAAAAAAAAAATGGAACATGTGCCGAGGGGGTCGTCTTGTAATTTCATTTGTTTGTCCCTCCTTCGAAAAGGCGCAATTTTTATTCAAAAAAAATAATGGAACATGTTGCAAATTTCAAAAATAACCAGATCATTTTGTAATTTGTCCAAACTTTCAAGTGTAGTTATTTATAGATTTAATAGCTTACCCGAGACGAGTACCCGCATGGCCCGTGCTTTTCGAAACAGTGAACAGCATTATATCGTAATCTGCTGGTGAAGATGAGATTGAGGTATACTGTGGCCAGTAGTAAGCCAAGTCGTGAACTAATATCCCTCGATTTCGATTTACCACAGAATCCCTTGTCGACCCATCGGGATTATTTGGTGATGTCACTAGCTCAATGTATGGCTCGTTTTTCTTGAATTTTCGAGCGTCACCGGCCCATTTGTAAAGCCCGGATTTGAGAAAATCGGTTATCAATGGATATGACTGCAAGATTGATTAACGGGTTAATTACAAACAATTAAGTTAATTAACCAATGTACATGTACACTTATCTATATGACTAGTTACGAAATAGATCGACTATCAAGACATAGTTTTTGTCATATCAAGACACGGTCTTTCTTGAATTTTAGGGCATCACAAGAGTACCGAATATAAATTCATCACGATGGACATTTTTTTACGTAAACTGTAATTCTAAGTCCGTAACCGTAATTCTGAATCTTGAGTATTGTTAAAAAGAACAGAATTTAAAAAAAAAATTAAAAAGAAAAAAACAGGGGAGGGAGAATCTTTAGCCTGCAAATCTTGAGCATTTAATGATCCTTCACATTTTAGCAAATGTATCTAGAGAGGCTGATGTGTGAGTGACTCAACTCAAACACAGTTGCATGTGCATTATGTTCCTTATACACACACACACACAAACACACACACAAAATGCTTGTTTGGAAAAAAACTAATGAGACATGTTCTCTGCACCAAGCATTAATTTCAAAACCAAATAATTTTCAATAAAATAAATGTAAACCAAATGTGGGCAGTTATTGCAAGATCTCACTGTCTTGTGGAGTGTGTTTTTTGAAGTCCCAACAAATGTTGGTCTATGAACACACCAATGAACCACAAACATGTAATAAAAATCATCCATGTTACTCTATTGGTCTAAACATGGAGTTTCTAGACAAGGGCTGTCGAAGTTTGTCTGTTCGGATAATCCGGTTAATTACAAAAGGACCCTAAGAACTTTTGAAAATTACAAAAGGACATTCTTTAATTTTTGATTCATGTCAAGAACGACCCATGTCTCGTCGTGTTCGTTATTATATTGGGGATATTACAGAGGAAAAAAACAACAATGTTTTGGCTGATTACGAGCGGACCCAAAATATTTCTAAAAATTACATAAAACGATCTTGACAATTGAATTTGTCAACAAATAAAGGGGTCATTCTGATATTTTGATCATTGCTAGTGTTTTTCTTGCGTTTTTNCTCTTTTTTCAAAATGCAGACAATCAAATATCAATAAAGTTCTCATGATATACAAAACCACCGGGGTCCTAACGTAATGTGCATAAAACTTGGGGGATTGATCGTAATTACTAGTATATGACAGTCCAAATCATACACATGCAGTGCATGCGAAACTGTCTTGGTGAAGGCAATGAATGGAACATGCAAACAATTGTACACATAAGATTGTTACTCCAACAAGCAGCAGAAGAGAGAGAGAGAGAGAGAGAGAGAGAGAGAGAATTACTATTTGCTCAATACAGTGCAATACATGTGACAAGCAAACCAACTGTAGTAATTGGCAATAAAGAAACTTTGACTGAATTCATTAACAAGCATGTCATAAAATTTTCATTAAAAGAAAAGTACTTTTCCAGAACTACAAAATAACCCCCTGACCTTTATTTTTGCATCTTGAAACTGCACCCATCAAAAGGAGCTAGGGGTATTTTCTAAGGTAAACCAAAGATAAGTGGGTTCTTCTGTAATTACACTAGACCTCGGGTATAGTATTCTTGTAAATAACTCCTGTTACATGACAGAAGAAATGAAAAATAAAAGAGGAAGAGGAAAAGAAGTGGACTTACTGAATAGAATGGTGCAGCAGACACTACACTAATGGGCTCCGATGAATTGGGCTGAGCAAGCCCATAAAGCACGGCTTGAAAAAGCTGTGAAGAACCCGTGCCCACCACCATGTACCGATCTTCCGTAACTGCATTTCCCACCAATTTATGAAGCCTGATAATCGCATTTTCAAGTTCCGGCTCCAAAAACCAGCAGAGTTTTGTCTTATCCGAGAAATAACTAATGAATTTCCAGCCGGGAATCTCGACCGTCGTTTGATCTCCCATCTGCTGCCAATACCGCTCGTACATCGTTGGATCACCACTAAATTAATATAAATTAATCAATACTTTTGTGGATATTAGAAGTGATCTATTATTGCAGCAGAAGCAAACACTAGTTGATAATCACAAGTTAATTTTTTTGCAGATAGAAAGTAAAATCCAGATTAGCCAAAAGCTATTCGTTAGTGCTTAATAGTCGAATCAAAAGTTGAAGAATCAAATCTTTACAGTTCATATGTATGCTAGCTACCTTTACTCATGAGAAATTCTTGGACAAACCAAAAGTTGGTCCATACTAATTGAAATTAATGTAAATTCTTTGCTCCACCCACATTGTGTGGACTAATGCATGTTCACAAATCGTGCACTTTTGCAAAATTACACCTATGATGTGTTTTGCCACTTTTCACATAATACCTAAAAGGAAAAAGAAAATGAAAAAGGATAATTTTGATGAATATAAGTGGACATAGTTAGCTATATCCATAGTTATCTTGTTAAAAAAGGGTACAAACTAGTCAATGATTCATTAGCATAATAAATTCTCCAATCGAATAATTATCACAATTAATGCAAGAGCCCAAACATGAAATCAAATGTATGGCATAACCTTTCAATAATTTTGTGGATTTTAGAAGTGATTTATTATTGCAGCAGAAGCAAACACTAGTTGATAATCACAAGTTAAAACTGTTTGCAGATAGAAACTAAAATCCCGATTAGCCAAAAGCTATTCATTAGTGCGTAATAGTTGAATCAAAAGTTGAAAAATCAAATCTTTACAGTTCATATGTATGCTATACCCTTACACATGAGAAATTAATCTATCGGATAAAAGATTCGACCATAAGGTGAGTAATATTTTGGGCTGTAACATGTTAAAAACTCTGCATGACATAACATCACCATAACTAAGAATGGTCCTAGAAAAAAAAAAGTGTGGTCCTCACCACTCCTCTTAGGCTTTGAATGTGGTGGGGCTGAGGCTCAAATCGTATGATCAAATGATTAGACAAAGGACATGTAAAATATCAGACCCACAATCATTCTTCACATGAATAGACAAAGGCCTAAAAATAGCTCCAAGAACTTGTAACTCATGCCTAAATACCCCTTTTTCCTCCTCAATAGTGGGTGTCTGAAAAATTGGTCCTAGAGTGTGGTTCACTAATCNTACCTTTAGATTTTTACGAAAGCACATAAGAGGTTCCGAATGTAAGAAAAATGGACGGTCCCACTAAGGTGAATCATCTCGTTTTAAAATAGACATAAAGTAATTTGCTTTTACGCTAATGTTGGGGGCAGGGTATCGTTTTCAAAGGACGCGTATAAATCCATCATTTTTCACGTTCTAACAGACACACTACTCGATTTTTCTGTGTTGTCTAGCATTCGAAATCCAAATACAGTACATAAAACACCAGATATCTTGCTCACATGAGATCCATTTAGACTTCAGTATCCTCATTTCATAAACTTAACACAAAATAATCAAGTGCGAAAATTCGAGAACGATCAAGCTGCGTAGGAGTTATATTTTAGTATCAACTCTCACTACAATATACAGTGCACTTAAGTGCTGATAAAACAAGAAAGGATGATAAATATCTATTGTGCCCCTCATCATGTCTTAGGACTACAAAACAATTTGAAAAGATTAATTTGAAAGAATCAAAAATCAAATAACTGTATCTGCTTTTTGTAGTGTGTACTCTAGCATGACTTGTCATTGTCCCTAAACTGACATAGCGTGAACCCCTCAAAGGGCACGTTAGGGAATCCCACCAATATTGATTATTACAACTGCACTATCTAACTTCAACTTTTAAAAGGAAAAAATAAAAAATAAAAAGTCAAGAATCTCAGAACTTAATTACTAACTAAGTAATGACATTTAAATAAATATTAGTATATAGGGAAAAACCATCATCATCACACCAACAAGATATTGAAATATTTTCATTAATCAACCCCATTATTTAATCCACTTACCTTAACTAGCATCATTAGCTAGCCAAAAATAAATAAAAAAAAAAAAAAAATTCTCACCCAGACACCTTTTTTTCTACTGATAGTGTCATGCCCATTAAGACTCTACTATGGGTTTATCCTTTTTCCTGCTTGTGCAATGGAAAAGTTTGCATCTTTAAGGATGTTTTGAGTCAACAATGCCATAAAAAAATCAATCTTTGATCAGCCATCATTACAAGTTCAATTTGATTTTAAACACTCATATTGTGTAACTCACGAAAAGAAAAAAAAAAAATATAGACTATTAATGAAGTGGCTCATTGGGCCATTAATTCAAAACTGAAGGATTATCATGGTAAAAGTTCACGCACCTAAAGCAAAAATGAAGGATTATCAAACAAAACATCTCAAAGTCAAATTCAATGTCTACTAATCTTTTTTCCCAGTAAAAAGACCTTTTTTTTATTAAGCAGAAAAAACAACAATTTTAAGGAACTCACTGATCAAGATCAATAGCTTCACTGAGAATCGCATTAGAAGACAAAGGCGCTTCACTCGTTTCAAGAAAAGCCCTTTTTGCAACCAAAGACGCGTTTTTGTAGCTGCCATTGAAGCTGAAAACATCATGCGACTTCTGTTTAACATTGCAATAGTCTCTGTATAAAAGACCAGCGTTCAAAGCCAAGGAGACCACCAGAAAGTGACCCAACACCATTGTTTTGAGCTCCATAAACACAAAATTTCAAGACAAAAACTCCTTACACCTTTGCTTTTGCCAAAATCCTTTATGAGGAAAAGAAAAGTTAGCAGAGTACAAAGAAACCCAGATAGAGGAAAGGAAAAAAGAACAATGGAAAAAAGCCAATGGCGCAAGACCGTAAGGCAAAGGTACAACCTTTATATACCAAAATATTAATAAATGTTGATAAGAAATAAAATTATGGGCTTTTTTTTTAAGTAATAATTCTAGAATGAAAAAGTGAACAAATACATTATTGTTGCAAAACCCAAAAAAAAAAAGAAAAAAGAGAGAGAGACTTCGAAAATAGAAAAGGCATATATACCCGAGCAAGATTACAACTTTTTTAGGCTAAATATATGGAGAAGTGACCCCTTTTTTTGGTATTCAAGTATATCTTAATCTTGTTCATGCATTTGTATTTTTGTGAAAAAAAAGGGGGAAATTTGAAGGCGTGTAGACTGTAGAGATTTCCGAAAATCACATTGCCATTTTTAGGGAAGAATTTTGGGGAGGGAGAGAGCCGACCAAGTGATTATATAGAGAAAAATAAAAAAAATAGCACAGTTTTGCTACGAAACCAATTCGTGTTTTTTATCTTTTCTCAAAATTTTTAAATAGTGTCTTTGAATATTGTTGATGATTGATTTTTCTTACCATACTTTAGTTATATTTTTCTTTCTTTATAATTTATTTACTCTCTATTTTCATAATATAAAATTGATATGTAACAAATAATGAGCATCAATACATCAAACATAAAATGAAAAATAATAATAACACAACATAAAAAAAAATAGAGGGATAAAGATTATTTTAAATAGTAACTAAATGCTAGTCAACTTTGTTGACTTGCTTATAAAGTAAAACTTTATACGGATAACTTGCTCGGTATATTAAGTAAAGATTGATATGATATGATTCTTCTAAATTTGCGTTCATATGTATATAAAAAATGAACTATTTTTCGCATTAACTTAACAAATGATTTTAATAGAAAAGCAAGAAATTCAAAAATAGAAAAAGGCATATACATACACAGAAATTAGTAAAATTACAATTTTTTATGCTAAAGCTAAAGAAATGCAAGATGATAAAGGAGGGATGGCCTCTCTTTTTTTTTTCTTTTTTTTTTGTATTCAAATATATCTTGATCTCGTTCATGGATTTGTGATTTTGTTCAGAAAGTACCTTTACAGACAGAAAATATAATATTGAGAAAAAGATCACACTTTCAAAGGTTCACTGATTAAAATAAAAGGGAAAGTAAGAAAGGATTTTTTAGTGCACCATACTACATACCTTAGTATTAGATAGTGGAATATAAAATGAAACATAAATCCAATAATATTGGGAATAGTGTTACTAACCAATTTTATTGAAAAATTTAGAAATTTTGGACTCTATTATATCGTATAATTATAATTATGTAGATATTAGAATGCGTATAACTATATTATATAGAGAACGTAGCAAGAAAATGGCATTGTACGTGGGTAAATAATATTCAAATCAAAAGGTTAACTATGCACGTCCTTCTTGCAAATGTTATTGTAAAGCACATGAAAAGTAATTATGGATTGGTACGGATTAAAAAAATATATTTTAGTAGTAATAAGTAATAACAATGAAGTTGTCTCAATTTAACAGCATTCTACTTTTAAACTACCTAATTAAGAAAATATTTTTTTTTAATAATTAATGGGTAGTTTTTGCCTTCTTTTTTTTTTGGCATATTTGGCCATGTTTGTGCTCGATTTTTGTTAGCTAATGAATATTTTCTACAATTACAAAGTTAATGTGCAAAATTGTCATGTATTGGACATATTTTACTATTTTATATAAACTAAAGAGATTTCGAACAAATAAGATTAATTTAATGAATGAAGATTTTATACAAGTTTTTCCGTATGTTCTTTCTATCATAACTTTCATATATTATCATTATTTAAAAATTATTGTTTAATTTTTAATACATTTCACACAATTCATTATGCAATATATGTTTTTTGTATGATTAATTAAAAATAATAAGTAAAAATAAATAAAATCATATAAATATAAAAGAGATAATTTAAAATAAAAGATAATGTATCATGAACTGGTAATTACTATATAATATATTATATTAAAAGGATTTAAGAGGTGAGTTTAATGGTAAATAACTAGTATGAATCCCGTGCGGTGCACGGGTAAGAGATATTAATTAATATTATAAATTAAATATGTTCATTATATAATATTTATAAAGTTAAAATATGAAATATACATGTAATGCATTTTACCTTTAAACTTTAAATTATGCAAATTTACATAAAACATGTCTAGTTAAAAAAACAATGGAAAAATGAATTCAAAATAAGTTATTTATTCTTATCTCCTCATCATGAAAGAAAATTTCTAAGTAGTTTTTGTATTCAACAGCAAATTTATTTTCAATTAATCACAACTTCATATGTAGTTTTTTAGTTCTAGTGACTTTGTTGATCAAACCAAATTCGCACTTCATCTTGAATTAAATAAAAGATAAAACCAATACTTAGAATATTAAAAATGAAATCAAACGAAGGATTGTACAAATGATCGAAAAATGACTGAATTTATAAAGGAAAAACAAAGTATAAAGGAAAAACAAAGTATAATTTAGTTAAATTCCATAAATATTTTTGATATGAAAAGTATAAAGAATTGCAATAAATCAATTTAAAAATTGTACAAATTCTTTAGTACAAGATTTCTGTAATGTAAAACGTTTACTTTATTTAATATATTAAATTTTACTTTGTTTGACAATTATATTTTTAGTTAATTGTTAATCAAATTCTCATTTAATTTAAATGCGGTATAATTTTTTTGATTGGATGAAAGTCAATTTAAAAATATTCTACTGTTGATCAGTTGGGATGTTACTAAATCCTATTAGTATATTACTTGTTGATCAATTACTGTATGAGATGGACTGATTGTTATGGTATGATTGGGTATCTCAAATTTTTTTTATTTTTTTTTTCGTTGTGGTTGTTAAGTTGTGTGAATAGTATTGTGTAATTTAATTAGATTGGTCAATTTACATAAATATATATACCAAATAATTTGGTATATATTTATAAAGAAGTATCGGCCATCTCCAAATTTTTCTTTCATTAATATCGAGTAAAATACTTAGCAATATGGGAAAAAAAATATTGAGATACCATTTCTTACCATAAGTCGGTATATTGGATCAATATATAGTATACAAAATAATTATATTTTATACTTTATCAATAAAATACAAAAAATGATAATTACTTTTACCACAAATTAATTGCCCAACGTAGAAAACAAAATCGAGACCCACATTTTTCATAGATAAAAATAAAAAAGACCCAAAAAATAGTTATTAAAAAATAATTAAAAAGAAATTGTAATTAACACAATTATCTTGGAACAATTTTATAAAAATTATAACTGAATAAAAATCAACAAAATCTATACGACCTGTGTAATTAGGATATCTTAAAAATGTAAATTTTATATTATTTTATTAATTATCCACAAGTTGAATAGTTAAATACACAAAAAATGAATAACATTTATTAAGTAAATTAACATTTTTTTTTTTGCAAATCGCATAATTGATTATTGTTGTCAATATTTTCATAATTGTAGTAATTATTTACAAAATGAATAAACCAGTCGGATTTACACAATTTGCGTAATTATCCTATATTAAAAATACATTTCATATGGTAACAAAAACAAATACATTTCATAAAAGAATGACACGAAAAATATAAAACACTTATTAAATAATAAGTTACACAATTTAGTTGAATTTTTTTAGCAAATCACATAATTAATATTGCATCCGAAATTGACATATTTGGGTAAATCATCCGAAGTCACATGATTTGAGTAATTATCTTAAAAATATAACTTTTTATGTGTTAATTATTTCTTTAAATAATGAGACGCAATTTTTATAAGTGATTATTTGAAATATACTATAAATTGTTAAATTAATTATTCGAAATAGTAAATAGATTTTTTTTTGGATGGAAAATATTTATTATTTAAAAAATAATCAAACCTTTATATATTATAATAATAATAATAATAATAATAATAATAATAATAATAAATATTTAATGTACATTAAACTTGAACTACAATGAAGAGATTATTTGGAACATAAGATAAAGATTAAATATATCCAAAAAAATCTGCAGGCAATCCTTTCTTTAAACGTTTGAATTTAAATTTTTGACTGAAAATTTCAAATTATGCTTGGGCGGGATTTCTATTTTTTTTTAAAAGAGTTACTATGTTTAGTAAATTTCTAAGTGGGAATTCTAATCATTTTTTAACTACTATTTTAGGATTTATTGAGTTACCTCTTTATATAATAATAGATAGATAACATTTCACAAAGAAGATTCACATAGATCCACTAAGGTGGAACAGGCCGAGTAGTTGGCTAAGATTTACCTTTTAATGACCAGATATACTTTGGCTAAGAGTTGTCACACTCAAAATAAATAGGAACAAAAAAATTAGTTGCTGAAAATTTTATGGCAATTTAAATTTTTTTTTTTTAAAAAAAAAAAAGAAAAATTGACGAATATGTCGCGACACAAACAAAAATTCTATGGAGCCATCGGATAGTTTTCTTATGGAGCCATCCACCACTTAATATATAGACACTTGTCCAAAGTGTGGTGAATAAGTATGGATGGCTCCATAAACCGAGTCATCCGATGACTTCATAACAAAATTGGCGACACAAGTAAATCTTGTAACTATTATTGACTCAAGTAAAATGATGACGATGTGTTTAACTTTATTCTTGCTGCATAGACCCCATAAAAATCTCAGCTTATTAACAGTGTAGCTCAACTTATTAACAGTAAAAACCTCAGCTTATTAACAGTGTAGCTAAACTTATTAACAGTATTTGGTAAGCAAGGCGGGCCTAGGCACTTAAAAATTATTTATAAGGTCACTTATAAATTATTTAATTAACTTATAATAAGTTGAGCTCCAAGGCGGGCCTAGGCACTCCTAGTTACCAATCAAACAAAAAAAAAAAAAGGGAAGGAAAAAATATGAAATATGAAAAATAGAACAATGTTAAAAATGCAAAACTGCGTACAAACAGTCCATCAATTTTCAGTTTGGACTTCAACAAGATTCAGTCCATTATCAACATTAGCATTCATATCAGTATCTAACTCATTCTGCTCCTCAACATTGGCATTCCCTTGCAGAAGCTCGTTTTTCAATCTCTGGATTTCGTCGTCCTTTGCTTCTAGTTTCTCTTGCAAGATAACCACCTGGCAAAAATTCAATCATTTTCTCGTTTAATCCCACAATTTAACCCAAAGTAGCCAAGAAAAGAAATGGTTTTAAATCTATCATATATAAACCGATTTCTCCATTCGTACAAATTTTCGAGAGAAAATAAGGTTTGTTCGCGAATTGTGTATTAAATTAGAGATGAAGGTTGCACACTTTGCATAACGATAAAAAATGACGAACGGTTTGAGAGAGAGAGAGAGAGAGAGAGGTATGTCAAGTACCAGCTCATTCGATCGGTCAACATCGCCTGTCAGTTTCTCCATTTGCTTGCATATTCCTGCAGGANGTCACACGACACTACAAAAGACAATCTGAAAGAAACCTATAGAATCTTACCTTCAAATTGGCTCCTGAGCTCAGTGTTCTGAGATTTTTGTAAAGCAAGTTTCATTGTTAATTCATGCATCTACCAGAAAAAAAAAAGGAAAAAAAGATTAATAAAAGAAAAAATATCAACTGAATTCCATGAATATATTAAAGGCTACAAAGCAAATTTACTATAGAAATACCATAATTGACATTATAAAAGGCAAAAGAAAAAAGAAAAAAAAAAAGATCTGTATTGACTTGATACCACACCTTCCCTTCATTAGCTTGGTTACCAATTTCCTCATTCTCTTCCTGCAGCGTCCTGCATTTTGCCATTAACATCTTTCCGTTCTTACTTTGTGGGGTAAAACTGACAGCAGCTATATTATCTTGCAGCTCTTTAACTTTCTTATCCTTCTCTTCCACTAAGTTCTGGGAAAAAATAAAAATTCAATCAGAAATCGCTTTATGACGTAACCGAGCATACTGGATAATGAAAATTCAACCAACAGGGCAGACCAAGACATGAAGTATATAGCTACAGATTTCCAAAAGATACACGACCCTTTCTATTAATTTCTGGCATGCATTATGTAAATTCAATAAAACCAAGCTCATGGTTTCAAAAACAAACTCTGTCGACAGCTTATCTGAAAGTACATGCATCATTAGATAGGTAAAACACACCAACAAGTACAAATCCATTCCTTAATAAAGTGAATAAATTGTGTTTACTAATACCTCAAATGACGCTCACCTTTAATCTTGTGAACTCTTCATGGATAGATGGATCTAGCAATAGTCTCCTCGCCTGTCAATTTGATAATTTCACATAAAAAAAAAAAGGATTAACGACACNTTTTAATTAAGAGAAAAAAAAAAGACGTAAAGGGATTGCATCAGTTGTCTGATATACCTGCATTGATGGTGGCTTCAACTGAGCTCTCAGATCCCGAAGAGCAGACTGCATCAAAGTTAGGAGACAAAGATAAGAATAAAGCACAACCGGCAGCGAAAATATAGTTAATATACCAAGAGAAAAATAAATTTGTTCATAGCCTACACACACACAGGCACAACTTAGTTCTCTTGAAAAATACCTGAACAAGCTTTTAGCAAATGCATCGGAAGCCATAAAAAGAATGATTATAGATCAAACATATTGGTAATGAGGATAACAATGCACCAATTCAACAGTCCCCTAGACATATACAATGTCTTTACAAACTTTTAGCAAAATTCCGTTCCACTTTGATAATTGCTTCATCTTTTCTAAAAATCGTAATAAGCATGTGTTTCTCCTTAAACAGGTGAGACAACAAAGTGAAATGCATGCATGATTGGCTCAATGATGTAATGGCACCATTATTTCTGACCTTCAACTCAGCAATCTCCTGCTCCCTTTTAGCAAATGTCACAATGAATGCAGCTTCTTTTTTCTTTGCTTTCTCTAGCTGATACCAGTAAATAATATGCGAGTAAGCAAACAGATAAAAAGAAAAAAAAAAAGAAACACTGAATAGATAATGAAATTACAGATTTAAAGGTTCCAAAACATACTTGCTCCCGAAGAGATTCCTCCGAAGACCTCAGAATCTGAAGGTAGTTGACCACGAATTTTGGTTCTAACAAATTCCCAAAAAAAAGGTCATTATAAAGTTAACTCCTACTCATCAATTTGGTAGGAGGAAAAAGGGTGAAACGCACTCAAAACTAACCGGGAGTTGCGCCTTGAGGCATGAAGGATTCATTCTGGAAAGCAGAATGCCACTTCTGAATCTCAGACTTGGCATCTTCAAGTTTCGTCTATAGTGAGCAAATCAAGATATAACAGGTAAAATAATTGATATCACAATTGAACAAGCATGCAATATATCGATGCATTTATATAAATCTTAATTTCTTTTTAAACTCAAAATGCGATTTCTAGCTGAACGATGAAAATCCAATAGAATCAGACAATAGTAACAAAGATATGGAAACCCGCAGGCATAGGAAAACATACGAGAACATTGATAAAGCTGGAAAAATTACCTGGCATTTTGAGAGTTCATCTTGACAGTTCTTCAGACTACAAAAGAAAACAAACAAATAAACAGGGCAACAATTTTCAGAACAGACGTCGGTAAAAGACTTAAAAGTTAAAAGCTGGGAAATGCTCGTTTCCTTGTTTTCCCTTGTCCACACTGAGGACAAACGGATGAGCTCTTGGAGCTGTGCAGCATTGATGAATATATTGAACAATGTGCTGTGTGCATTATAGGAAAAGTAATTAACATGAGATGCATGACTAATTTAATTCAGACGAATGTGCATATAAGAAAGAAAGAAAAAAAAAAGGCATGAAAAGGTAATATCAAACATAGTCTTCAATTTTGCTAGTTATTATTTATAAGAACTTAATACGAAACTGAGCCATCCAAAAAAGAGAAAAGCCCAAAATTTAAGGGATGATACCTCTCACGAAGAGTTAAGATCATCCCAGTTGCCACTCCTGGTGCAGTTTCCTCTACTTTCTGGCTAACCTTAAAATTCAAAATAAATGGAGTTAAATTTAAATTTTATTAGCCCATACTGCCAGCAGAAGGATATGTGAACAATTTCCTGAAACGAATTTGACGGAAAAGGACAGAAGCAACAAACAAGAAGCCGCGGAAAACGATAACTATGGATATTGGGCTCGTTTTGGCTGCTCTTAAAATTCTTAGCTTACAAAGTGCAAAATTAAAACAGGTCTCAACTATGAAGGACTGGCTTAGAGTTTTCGATACTCCTTTCACAGGAAACCCTTTAGAATTTGGTGGATTAAGTTAAAAGGTTGTGAAAAATTGGAGTTCCTCTCTTGAATTCACAAGCACTTCTGATTTTTCACTCTGATGAAATTTACAACTTTCCTTTAGGTGAGACCATACATTTGACATTTCTTTAACATCCAAACACAATCCCAACCGTTTCCTTCAGATTCAATCTCAGTTAACAAAAAAATCCGATTTTAGAAAAATTTCAGTATAAGTATGCTTAACTAAGATTGATAGCTCGAGTTGAAGACAATAGACACCTACAGAGAAGCTATCCAAGGCACAAACCACACAGCACAACAAACAAAAGATAATAAAGTAGGTATTTCCAAATCTCCAAAGCAGTAGCTGAAGTAATCCAAACCTTCTTCGACCCAAAAATATCATCTTCATCGTCGTCGAGGTCCGCAAAGCTTCTCTTATTACCTAGTAGCCAAAACCAAAACCACATTCTTAGCAACGGCAAATAGCATAAAACAAAGATAGCTACAGACAATATTTTAGTCNCAATCGGTTAGAAGAACCTGAACGCCTTGCAGCATTCCCTTCAGCAAAATCACCTCCAAAGTCATCTTCCTGCATAAATTTTCATAACAAAATACAAAAAAGGAATGAAGAGATTAAACTGAAAAAGAAAAGGGCAAAAATACAAATGATTCTACGAAGGTGCAATCATGATAAAGCATTCCAGTAGAGGCGACTCACGTCATCGAGATGGTCGAGCGACGCCATTGAAATGAAATACAAGGTCGAACAGAGGACTGAGACCTGAAACCCTAACTCACCGGAATGAATGAGGTGCAGGGGTGGGAGCGTGGGGCGAGTTGCATGGGAACAATGCCAAGAAAAAAATTGTACTAATAATGATGTTTTTTATCCATAATGGATTGGGTCCAATTTTATTCGTGACATTTATGGGAAGTCAAGATGACATGGACAAACTCAAGTACTAAAATTCAAGTGTAAAAATAAAATATTAGGTCTAGAATATCTACCAACCACAATAAAAATGATCATGATCTAATATGTTTTTTATATTAAAAGAAAAATTAAATTATAAATAAATGCTGACTGTTAAGATTTGTACATAGTCCAAAATAGATCCAAGTGTGGACTTTGTCTCATTTTTTTATTGTCACATAAGTTATATCATGTCCAATTTTAATTGCATTGAAAAGTATTTTTTTTATAGACTAAGTCTATTTCCTATACAGCATGTGATATTTTGTTAAGAAACTCAAAACATTATGAGTGCTCTTAAACTTAAAGTAAACAAGTAGAGTTAAAGCTCTTTAAGCTCGATGAGTTAAAAGCTTGTTAGGCTCGAACAATAAAGATTTTTATGTAAATTATAGAGTAAAAAATGTGTAAAAAAATTATAAGCTAATCAAAATTAATTTTATTTTGTTTTCAATCACCCCTATCATATTTTGGGATTATTAGAAATATTAATCAAAACACGTTTGCTGATCGACTCATCTCGACTCATTTATTTAAACTCAATTAGTTAAAGGAGTTGTGCTCGACTTGTTAAATTTGAAAAATAAAATTTTACTATTTTTTCATTTAATTCAACTCTTTTAAACTCGTTACCCTAACGAGCCAAACTTGACACGATTGGCTAAAATTGGAAGGTGAGCCTTAACAAGTGGTGACTAGTTAGGTTTGAAAAATAGGATGTTATGTATTTTTTTTAGCTTTATTTTAATTCGATTGAGCTCAACACGATTTCTCCGTTTTGCTCAAATATTTTTTGACGATTTTAGTGCAGAGAGAGAGGATAGAGAGAGGATGGGTCTGAAAATCGGAGGCCAAGTGGAGAAGGTGAACGGGAAACAGCTGAGCTACGCCGATTTTGTCGACAAATACCTGGCCCGAAACCAGCCCGTAGTCCTCACCGGGCTCATGGACGATTGGCGTGCCTGTAAAGACTGGGTTTCCGGCGACGGAAAGCCCGATCTCGGCTTCTTCTCCGCTCACTTCGGTGGGTCTAGAGTTCAGGTAACCCCTTTCGCCGACGTAGCTTCGTGGGTTTCCTTGTGTTTGTAATTTTGTTGTCCCTTTTGTTTTTAATTTTCGTGGAAGTTGGTCGGTTATGATTTGTATCACCGAGCTGTAATTTAGATAGGTTGCGGATTGTGGTGAGAGGGAATTTACGGATCAAAAGAGATTGGAAATGTTGGTATCTGATTTCATTGACAGCTGGGTAGAGATTTCGGGGTCTGATAATGGAGGAGGTGATGGGAAGTCGTTGTATTTGAAGGATTGGCACTTTGTTAAGGTGTGTCAAGTTAGTTGATATTTTGTTTTCTTGTTTTGGATTTGTTTGATTCTTTGCGTAATACTGAATTTGATGTATTATTCTTTGCTTCTGTGTGTGATTGTGTGTGTGTGTGATTTATGTGAATTTGTAGCAGTTAATGAGCAATAAGCTTAAGGAAACAATTTATAGTGCAGACTAGCTACATTGTATTCTTTGATTCTATAGCAAGATGAAAAATCGTGTTGGTATCCAATTCGATAGCTAAATAATGGGTATTTTTTCCCCTTTCTGTTATGTTTATATGTCTCATATGTGTAAGCTGTGGAAATTCGTTCCTTGTTTTGGTTTTCTAGCTATGGTAGGTCACTTGTTTTTGTTCTGTGCCTAGCTGTATTAATATAAGATTAAGTATTGTAAAAACTAAAGGAAAAAGGAGAAATATAAGATTTTTTTCTTCTTTACTCTTTTTCCAGGCCTGGTGCCCTTTGCTCTATTTGTAAATACAACTAATCCGGATTCGTGGAGTCCTCAAAATATATGTCATGTGGTATTTAGTATTTTAATATATCATGTTATGAAGATTTGTCAACGTCTGAAATAAACTTCCATAATGTGAAAAGACATAATTTTACTTCTTATACTGTTTAAATTTCAGGAGTACCCAGATTATATTGCCTACACCACGCCAATTTTTTTCCTCGATGATTGGCTAAATCTGTATCTCGATAAGTATGCCATGCATGATGATCCAGATAGTTACCAAGAGACGAATGAAATTAGTTGCTCTGATTATCGTTTTGTGTACATGGGATCAAAAGGTTTGAGTTTAAACTCCATTCGACTCCTTTTTAGATTTCTCATGTGATGTCTGAGCCTCTGACCTACCTTTACTTATAATTAAAAGACATGAATGAGAAAATTCGAAACTTTATTTAAACTGCAGGTACGTGGACTCCTCTTCATGCTGATGTTTTCAGGTCGTATAGTTGGTCAGCCAATGTGTGTGGCAGGAAAAAGTGGTACTTTTTGTCTCCAAGTCAACACCACCTCGTATTTGACAGGTGGGGTTACGTTTTTTTTTTTTTTAATTTTTCATCAATTGTTCGAGGAATCGATGCTCGACTTGCTTCATAAAGGGATAGTATGGAGAAGTTCAAGAAGAAAAAATGATCAGCCTGTTTTTATGATATAACTTATCGTTTGTATTTTATTCAGATACATGAAGTCTTCTGTGTATGACATATTTGAAGATGTTTGTAAATCCAAATACCCAGGATTTGAAAAGGTATGCCGTGAACTCTGAAGTAACTTGCTTTTATTTCATTCGGATTTTTATTCATGGAAATTTTCATTTTGAAATTTAGTAACGAAATATTTGCCTTTATCCAGGCTGTGTGGTTGGAATGTACTCAGGAGAAAAGCGAAATAATCTTTGTCCCTAGTGGGTGGTACCACCAAGTTCATAATACGGTACACCCAACGTGCATTTTTTCATTTTTATTTGTTCCCATTTTATATTGTCCAGAATGAACATGCTACAAACTTTTTCCTTTTTTTCTTTTTTTTTTTATATATTTCTATCCTTGCAAAGATGTCATGATAAAGAGATGAATCTTGTTTTTCAGGAGGACACAATCTCGATAAATCACAACTGGTTCAATGCCTACAACATTTCTTGGGTGGTGAGTTATTAACTTACCGTCATACGAAACATATAATTCTGGTGAAAAACCTTGTGTATTTATTTGATAAGTTTGGCTAGACTTATGAGTTTAATGCATTCATCAGTGGGATTTGATTTTAAGAGATTATCACGAGGCTAAGGGATATATTGAGGACATAAAGGACATATGTGACGATTTCGAGGGGCTCTGCCAGAAGAATCTAGCTGCTAATTCAGGTATATGCCTTAATTCACGATTTATATCACACAGTACTTACTTTTTTATATGCATTTAAATACTTTTGGCTCTCTGTTTTTCTTTTAGGAATTGATTTTCGGGATTTTTTCATCCTCTTGATTCGGTTTGCCCTAGCCAACTTTCTCCTATTTTATCATATGTCGACTAACGAGAAAAATGTGGTGTGGTGGAGTTCATCTCAAATGGCCCAGCTATTAGTTATCAACCTTAAAAATATCAAGCTCGTCACTTTGAGGATGAAATCTGAATCCGCATGGCAAAATCGAGGTATTGCTAGTATAAATATAGACGAAACCCTTAAGGACCAATCGTTTATCGAGTTCTGTAATGCTTTGGCTGTAACTTATCTCAAGACGTGTAACCATAGTGAAGTAAATTTCAGTCCGAGTCATTTCTTTTTGGGTCACGAGCAACTCAATCTTCGTCCGAACCTTTTTTGTACTCGGATTTGTAATCCTGACGAGCTGCTTTCCTTTTTGGACCGTGCTCTTGAACTAGTGGGGATTGAAGCCTAAGATTTGATTGATGATTTGATTCTGTGTGGAGCTATGAATCTTTTCATAATGATTGTGTGACTGTGTGTAAACTTGTCTTTAGGAAAGAAAAGAAGATCACTGGTGGAAGATATCCACCTTTTTCAGATTTTGCAAAAATATTACTACATACGATATGTTTTATAATATTATCATTTTTTGTAAAATATTAAATGATAAATATAGGTCAAAATTTGAATAAAATCAATGAATCTCAGTAAAATTTAAACTGGATCACGGAGAGTACGGCATGAACCATGCTAAAAGAAAGAACTTGAATGGTGATTGAGGAAATCGAGAAAATATTTAAGTGAATATTTGCCAATAACACTATAAAATATTTGACCAAGAATGTGAAAGGATATCCAAAATTTTAGGATGCAACAGATATATGTTTAAAAAGAAATTGTAGGTTAAAAAATAAGTTTAATGGAAGAATTAATATTTTTTAAATATAAACTGACCTGATATAAAAATAATAATTGATTTTTTTTCTTGAAAGAAATAATAATTGATTGAGTTTGTTAGAAAATATAATATCAATAATTATAAATATTTAATAAAAAAATAATAAAAAAAGTTTAATGCTACCTTTTTGTTTCTTTTGTCACAGCATTCAAAAATCACAACAGGTAACCTGAAATGATTAGAAATTACGATTATAGAAATTTATAGTCCGCTAAATACGAGCTGAACATGAAAAATACAGGATAAAACATGTAGTTAAACTTAAAATTAGCATCAAGTTTATAATAAAATAAAATACATAACATATAAATACGATTGCCATATATTAGGATTTTTTTAAGCTTAATACATGATATTCATATAGCATAACCATATCTTCAAGAAAGGTTTCTCCTTTCAACCCTATGAGGAAAAAAGAAAAGAAAAAAGATAATCTAAACCCATTTTTAATCTCCACAGTCCACACACACTGTCCTCTTATAATTTTCAAAAATCACTTTGACAAAGCAAAAGACAAAAGCACAAAGCTGATATAGACTTTTTGCACACCATCTGTTTGACAATATGCCCACCCCCAACTCCACACACTCTGTTCTTCACATAATCATAGGATTCTTTGCCCAGTAAAAAACCTCAGCTAAACCCAAACAAAAAAAGGTGCAAAAATCTTAAGCTCCCCCAAAAATGTCATCAAGAATGAGAGACAATGGAATCAACTTCGTTCGTCGAATGGTGAGCATTCCTCGGAACATGTTAGACGAGTTCTCAAGGGCCATGAATCAAGGGATGGATTTAATCAATGGAAGAACAAACTATCATCATCATCATCATCATCATAATCAAAGTTTGCATTTTCAGCAGCCCTCAACCTTCCCATTTCAAGCCCCTTCAAATCTCCACCCACAGCAACAACTACCCTCAACAGGCCATGAACAGTGGGACTTCCTAAATACTTTCGAGCGGCAGTACGGCACAGCGCATCCATTTTTCTACGCGTGTCGGTTCACAGATGCGCTTAAGATGGCTCGAGAAGAGCGCAAGTTGGTGTTTGTGTACATACATTCCCAAGAACACCCCTTTACTCCATCTTTTTGCAGGGAGACCCTTTGTTCTGAGGTGATTGTGCAGTTTCTTGATGTGAATTTCGTGTGCTGGGCGGGGATTTCTGACAGAGGGGAGGGTCTGCAGATGGGTAGTGTGTTGGGGGTTTTGAGTTTTCCGTTTTGTGCAGTGTTGGCCCCGGCTGCCGGTGATAATCTTGCTGTGCTTCAACAGGTGATAAAAAAAGTTGTTTACAGTAACTTATATTTTCTTTAAATAGCTTTAGCTTATCTGCATTGTGCTTGTGATGTTAAAGGGGTTATGGATGCAGTAATTCCTAATATGAGACCTTTAGTCAGTCTAGTGGGCTATTCTGATTTCAAAATACGATCTTTGTAGTGATTGTGTTGCTTAAAGCTTCTGAAGATGATGCCATGATGGTACATTCTTGACTTTATTTCCAAATTATAAGTATTGTGGTTGTTTTCTCTTCCTTTTCCATGTTTTTTCTTTACAATCCCACAGAGAACATAGAAAGTTTTATAATTTTCAGTTTTTGTCTATGGAATTGGAGCTTAGGTTAGCTAAAGGTTGCATTTGGATTTGAAGGTTGTGCTCAAAACAAGATTTTCAAATGACTATTTGGGGTTTACTTGAAAAATACACCAGCCCTCAAAATATGGATACTTGAGGATGTGAAATGCAATAAATTTATCGTAATAGACTCGATGAAGTCATTAGGTGTTTGGAACTTCAGACTCCGAATCCATCATTCCAAAATCATTTGGTGTGATTTAAAAAAAAAAAAAAATAAAAAAAAAAATTGCCGAAATAATGAACTTCACAAAATTTCCTTCTTTTGTGAAGCTGGAAGGTCCCGTTGCCCCTGCCGATCTAGTCGAGATTCTTCAAAGAACGATTGAGGAACAAGGACCTGCATTCGGGAGTGGCCTGTTTCGGCAGGAAGAAAAAAGAATGGAAGATCAACGGCTAATAGAGGATCAAGATATCGCCTATATAGCAGCTCTACAGATTGATCAGGTGCATCTTTTTAGCTTCCTGTTCGAGTTATGTAAAATGCTTTAATTTCAAAACGACCCGACATTTAGTCTAATTTATGCATACCCTCTTATCTCTAGAGATTGCAGATAACCCTATTGAAATATGTTTTAATTTAAGAATCGGCCTCAAGATGGGAGTATTATGTTAGTTCGGTATAAAGGACTATTCTGTTAATCTGAAAAGATTGATGGGATCTTCTGGTAAGTATTGATGCTAATGCTAAAGTTTCTTTTGTATTAGGAGAAAGAAAGACTCCAAAAGAAGTCGAGTTCCGAAGCTGAACCCAACAAAGCTAAACCAGCCAAATTTATTGCACAAACTTCTCAGAAAGCACATACAAGTGGCGTGCAAAAGGCTGAGGTAACTCAGGTACATAATTCAGTATGATCACAAAAGCTACTCGAAAACTACAATCTAAATGCCAAAAGCTTGACTTATCTGACTTTACAACTGCAACTACCAGATTTTGATTCGTTTTCCTAACGGGGAGAGGAGGGAACACGGGTTCTTGTGCACGGACAAGGTTCGAGCAATTTATGAGTACGTAGATTCGTTAGGCCTTCCTGATGTTGAGAACTACAGGTTGATTTCAAATTTCCCTCGAAAAGTATACGACGAAGATCAATTGGGGCTGTCTGTCAAAGAATCTGGGCTTCATCCTAAAGCAAGCCTTTTCGTGGAGCTTCTTTGAATTAGTCAGCTCCTGAGCAGTCACAACATACTCTCTGCCTCTTTCCCTTTGTGTGCTAATGTTTTTCGTTTTTTGTCCAGATGATTTGTACTTTGCTGTGTTGTAGACAGTGCATTATAGTTTATAGTTGACATATCAGAGAGTACACTTGTTTATATGAGTTATCAAATGGATGGCTGAGATGATCTAGCCATTGGGATCCAACGGTTAGTCCTGCAATCTGACCTTTTTCAAATTTTAAATGGATATGAAGCATTTACATCACTCCGGAGTAGGGCTGCAAACAAGTCCAGCAGCTCATGCTTGACTCGAGCTCGACCAGTTAATCGAGTAAACGAGTCGAGCCTCGAGCATCAATTCAAGAGGCTCATCCCCATATTGTTTAATTATCAATATTAGAAAAAGGCCAAAATTGTCTATTTAAATTAAAAATAGTACCTTTATATTTAAACTTTAGTTGTTAAAATTTCGAGCCGAACTCGAGTCATGTCGAGAATCGAGTCGATCTAGAGCATTAAGACGAGCTCGAGCGCGAAGATTAATGGCAAAATCATCTAAAATCCCGCCTAAATATATTATAGAAATACTAATTTTTATTTTTATTTTTATTTTTTTTTTGGTGAAGCATGATTCTGCAGAATTTATTATTGTTTTATGGGATTCTAAGATGGTCAAGTATGAAAATGATGAATTTTCAACAAGTTGAAATATGTTTGACTTAATTTGATACACATACATGAGATACAAGGGTGTATTTTATTTGAGATTAGAGAATCATAAGTAATTAAAAGTATTGAAATAATGACACGAGATTGGTAGACACACCCGTGTATGTGGTTGAAAAATTATAGAAGTGTGAAATCAAAGTCATCTTAGAAAGATTATGTGGTTGAGAAGAATTATTAATCAGCGAGGTTAGAGAGAGAGATTCCTTCTCCCGTGGAACCCTTCACGGCGCCTTGCACAATTGAGCTCGCAATCCGTTGTTTCATTTGGTTATTTCGATCTTGAATTATTTCCATTACCCCTAAATCACCAAAACCTGATTCCCTTTCAATTGATATGACATTTGTTCTTTCTGCCACCAAATCTGGGTGCGCACAGAATATTAATCTTTCCGCCAATTGATTGCAAGTTTGGTTGAAATTGTTAACATTCGGTGTTATTGAACTCGAAATTCGTGATAGTGCTACTCCAATTGATCCTCATGCTTCGCTAAAAGCAGCCGAACCATCCGCTCTGCTACAGTAAAGTTACATTCAAAACACAGTTAGAGTAAAACCACACACGCACACACACATAATCCCAAAAAAATGGATCAGCCAAGCTCTACAAATTATTTAAAAGTTCAAACACGCGTTCTCTGTACTCGCTCTCGGCCCAAGGGGAAATGTCGTAAGCCCCGAAACCAACCAGGCACAGCTTAATCTCATCATTTTCGATTACGAAAAAACGTCCTCTGAAAGGGATACGCTTGGCGCCAACATACGAATCCTCCTTATGCCAACCAAGCTCCGGCAGATCGATATCAAATACGAAAATTCCTTCGGTGGTTGGGAAAAGCATTATGGAGTTCGTGAGGAAAGTGAATCCTAGTATTTCAATGTCACGCCGAGTCCCAAGCAGGCTATCCCGTAACGAGGTAGCTTTTGCCATCCTTTTTTGGGATCGTACACCTCGAAGTCGATTTGTTCATTAGGATACTCAGTGAAAAAGGGCATCCTAGATGAAAATACCACAATCCTCTTGCCGTCCGGCGTGGGGGTCGCGAAAGGAAAGAATATGGGGTGCAGCATTTCCGGCGCGGCCAGCAGCTCGTCTTTGTCAAAAATCGGGACGTCTCTGAAGAAATCGAGAAAGCTATTTTGGGAATTTTTTGATATTTCTCTTAGCTCAAAATATTGTTCTAATTACATGCAAAGAAGGCGCTAAAATGCCTTATATACCCTCCCTACATGCAGGGATTAGTAAACGAAAGAAAACGACACCGTTCGTAGAACAAAAGCGCAACCAAACTAATAAACGCGCATTACACTTAAGAAAATCATAACAAGAGGGTAGAAAAGAAGAAAATAAAAGAAGAAAATAACAAAGGGTAATGGCACTTGATTTTCAGTGTGTAGGGAACATGATTTCAAGGGAAAGACATTTTTCAAGAAGATGACATCTCTACTCACAATCACAGATTCAGTCTCCATGTCAAAGAGCTTGTAACCCTTTTTTCCAGCCACATATCCCAAAAAAATGCACTTGATTCCTCTTGGATCAAACTTAGTCCGAAAAGGACTAATGTTAGCTGCATAAGCCAGACACCCAAAAGGTTTCATTCTATGATATTCAGGAGCCTTTTGGTACAGTCTTTCATTAGGTGAAGTCCAATTCAGCAACAAGGTAGGCAACCTGTTTATAATGTAAGATGCTGTGAGTATAGCAAGAGACCAGAACTTGAGAGGTAAGTTGGCTTGAAATAGTAAGGCCCTCGCCACTCAAGAAGATGCCTATGCTTCCTCTCATTTTGTTGTGGAGAATAGGCACAACTGGTTTCATGTTGTATTCCTTTTGCATTTAAAAAATCAATGAGATCATGACTTAAAAATTCTTTCCCATTGTCAGATCTTATTCTCTTTACTTTGTGTCCAAATTGTCTCTTTGTCATCATCACAAACTCCTTTATATACTTTGCAGCCTGTGATTTCTGTCCCATCAAAAAAACCCAGGTGCCTCTTGTGTAGTCATCCACTACAGTGAGAAAGTATGGGGTGTTAGTTAAGCTCTCTTCTTTGTAAGGTCCCCACACATCTATATGGACAAGCTCAAAGCATAATGTGGTTTGAATACAACTTCTGGGAAATGACAGCCTGTGTTGCTTTGATTTGAAACAAACATCACATGATTTTATGGAACTTTCTCCCATCTCATCACAATCCTTTTTGAGAAAGCTCAAGTGTTTGAGAGCAGTAAATGATGCATGTCCTAAGCTTTTGTGCCAGTCTACCAAGGTTAGATTACAAGAAGCCTCTTCTCTGATAACCTTATTTTTCTTCTTATAGATATACAGATTTCCTCTCATTTCACCATACCCACACACTTCATTAGTGATCATGTTTCTGAGAACACATTGTGACTTTGTGAATTCCCATGAGAGATCACTATTGTCACAGCAATGTTTGACTGACAATAGATTGTACATGAATGCTGGGACTAACAAAACATCATGTAGCACCATTTCCTCATCAAGCTTCACATCTCCTTTGAAATGAACTGCTTTCTTTGTACCATCTGGCAAGCATACTGTGAAAGGTGTTCTAAGGACCTGAATATTTTGCATTTGCTCTATATTCTTGCATATATGCCTGCTTGCCCCACCGTCTATGATCCACTCATTATGATGACTTCCCTCCAAGGAAGACAGAGCAAAAAACATACCTTCATCATCCTTATCTATGAAACTGACACATTGAGCATAGTCTGGTTTTCCTGCCAATTCCTCTTTTCCTTTTATATAGTTCTTTAATTCTTCTATTTGTTACAATACTGAGTTGAGGTCAGGCTGACCAGCTATCTTCCCACTTCCATATGCTGATTTTGGTCTCTCATTTTGTGTGTAAACCTCAACATTATTTGCATACTTCCTTGTTTTTCTTTGAAGTCTTTATACCAATCAGGTATTCCATGAACCTTGAAACAAGTACTGATATCATGTCCATTCATCCCACATTTTTCATAGATAAGACTGGCCTTCTCTTCTTTACTCAGCCTAGGACCTCCTCTTCCTCTTCCTAATTGCCATTGACCTCCTAAATTCCAATTCTTCCCACCTTGACCACCTCTGCCCTGTCCTCTTCCAAAGTTATCCATTCTAGCAACCATAGCCACATTGTCAAATCTGGTTTCATAGTCATTCTGAATTGCTTTCTGTCTTTCAGCACTTAAAAGCATTGAATATGCTTTGTTGATCGATGGTAGAGGATCCATTAACATGATTTGACTCCTTACATTTTCATAAGAGTCATTGAGTCCCATCAGAAATTGTATAAGTTTTGTCTCTGACTCATGCTCAGCAATCAATTTTCCTTTCTCACAGTCACACACATCCAGAGGAGCTACACATGCATATTCATCCCATAGCTTCTTTAATCTATTGAAATATTGCATTACTATATTGTTTCCTTGCACTAAATTCGATATTTCTTTTCGGATTTTGTATTTCATTGGTCCATTGTTCTCACCAAACCGCTGACAAATATCATCCCATAACTCCTTCGCAGTATCAGCATATATAACAGATTCAGCTACTTCCTTAGAGAGTGAATTCAAAATCCAAGACAAACCATCCAATCGACCTTCTTCCAGTCTTTATAGTTTTCATCCTTTTCATTTGGTTTTTCAATCTCTCCATTGATAAAACCTAGTTTAGTTTTCGCACCCAGAGCAATCATTATTGACCTTTTCCAAAGGAGAAAGTTGTTACCAGATAGCGGATGTGTTACCAGCTGCATACCAGGACCATCATATCCACTGAGGAAGAAAGGATCATGTTTCGCCATTGATAACCTTCACGAGCTCCAATCTTCGAACTTGGGCTAAAACATACACTGATCTATGGATTTCGGACCTTTGGTGCAGCGATTATCAAAAAACAGCTCCAATTTTGCATACCAGGCTCGTTCGCTCTAGATACCATGAAGAAATCGAGAAAGTTATTTTGGGAATTTTTTGATATTTCTCTTAGCTCAAAATATTGTTCTAATTACATGCAAAGAAGGCGCTAAAATGCCTTATATACCCTCCCTACATGCAGGGATTAGTAAACGAAAGAAACGACACTGTTCGTAGAACAAAAGCGCAACCAAACTAATAAACGCACATTACACTTAAGAAAATCATAACAAAGGGTAGAAAAGAAGAAAATAAAAGGGATGTAAATCCCAACAGTCTCCACCGCCGCTGTTGTCGTCTTTCAGGTACGGTGACAGATCCCAGGTATATACCGATTTTCCTCGCCGGGGGCCGCCGTCTCTACGGAGGCCCAGCTCGATCATGTACAGAGTCGTATTGAGAACGCAGAAAGTGTGGATGCCGTCGTCGAAAGAGTCTGTATCAATGAGAAACGTGGGGCGAATGGAGATGACTGACTCATCACTAACATCGCCGCCGGCTTCCGGTTGCAGATCGGCGATTATTACGGCGTACGACATCGCCGCTTCATGTGAGTAAGAGCAAACGATGTAGACTTTGGTTGATTTCGGCACCAGAATTGATTGCGCCGCAGCAGTGTCCATGGCTGAAAAACTCTGATGAGATTTCGAGATCTGAGTAAACGGGGGTTGATTGCACCGCCGCAGGGTCTGGTGAAAGAGACAGCCTCTTTGGAATGCTTTGATATTAGATTTATTGGTTTTCGTTTGATTTTTTTTTTTGTGTTAATTTTGAAAGATAATATAGTTAGTTGTTATTATGATTTTGAATTTATATTAATATTAATACGACTAGTATTCGACCTGTGCATTTGCACAGATATAAATAAATTATTGTGAGTCTGTATGCATATAATGATTAATTATTTTTCTTTCACTTTTTTGCAGACCAAATTTACAATTAAAAGAGTTGTAATATTTTTTTTTAAATTGCGTTTATCTGATTGGATGTAATGTATATTTTGGTACGTCTTTTATTTGTGAATTATTTATTATTTATTTAAAAATTTTAAATATATTTTTTATTTAAAAAAAAATTAAATGTAACAACAATAATAACATCTAATCACATTATACGGTCAACACATTATATGGTCAACTGTCATTAATCAAAAGTTTAAAATGATTTTTGTAATTTTGAAGTGATGAGTATTAATTATTTAATGATTAAATGAAAGATTAAATACATCAAAATGTAACGGTTTTTGGAGGAAAAATTGTTAAATTGCCACATAGGTAAAATTAAATAGGTTTTATTAAATGTTATTAGCTAGTAATTATATATATATAGATATCCGTGTACTACACGGATTGTTTAAAACGAAAAAAAATAAAACATAAAATCATAATACAATAGACATATGTTGTGATTGTTGTCATATATATGTGCAAAAATAAAAAATAAAAAGTCGATAATATTATTTCAAATTCGAAAAAATTTCTTTGTACACAACATTAATAGTTTTATTTACAATTTTTCTATCTTTAACGAACATAGAATTTCCAAGTCTATCCTGTTTCTAACTCTAGATATTGCAACATAAAAGTTGAGCATCACTGAATACAAGATTAGGCTAATACAATCTAGAGTTGGATAATGTTTGCCTTTAACAGGGATGGCCCTGGCCCAGAGCCCAATTCATGGGAGGGGCACCGGCCCATATGTCATACCATTGCTATATATACTAGTATTCGACCTTGTGTACTTGCACAAATGTAAATAAAATTAAATATTATAAGTTATATTTATGTATATAATATAAAAATTATAAGTTATATAATTATATTATATTTCAAGCATATAATATTATAAGTTATATTTATGTATATAATATTCAAATTATAAATTATATAATAGTATTATATTTTAAAATTTGATCATTGGTTAAAATAAATAGTACAAACGATTTGATTGTATACGAATCACTATATTGATTGCATAAAATGCAATAAATATATACTTTTTATAATTTTGAGTGATCATGACCAATTAATTAGCTGAAAAATATTACATTTATTATAACAATTGCTTATGTGATTTTAAGAAATTTTACTATGACATAAAAAAAGTTAATTTATTAATAAACAACATCTTCATTATATAAAATTGTTATTTTTCTTATATCAAGAAATATATATATATATATATATAATGAAATCAAATTTATATTATTATAAACATGTGAGCGAGATAATATATTAATTAATTTACGGGCTTGCGCTACCAGACTCAGGTTTAATGTTTCGACAAAAAAAAAAATGACGTTGATGAAAAGATGTAAAAAAATAAATGATCAGACTCTATTATTTTTTAGGTCTAAACGGACAAGCCCTATGGTCCACTCATTCAATATCTCCCGTGAATCGCACGAGCTACTTAACGGACAAACTCTGTGGAAATGACTCATTTAATACTTATGTCCCGTGCATCACACGGACTACGTACTAGTTAGTTGCTAAAAAACGTGGATAATGATTGGATATTTAAGAATTGTATTTATTCACTCTATAACACTTGAAATCAACATGCCGAGCCTATATGTGTGTTTTTTTTTTTTTGATACCGAGGTTCTAGGCTTGCGCCTGACTAGTCATCGAGAAAACAACTCCCAGCTCCCGGCCCCTCAGAAACTGCCTCCAGTTAAACCGCGGTAGCCACACAATGGCTCCCAACTTCATACCCTCAACTACCGCGCACAAGGAGTCGATCCCCAAGTGATTGCTCGCTGGCCCTCCTAGCTCCAAGTTGGCCCCACCTATCCAGCCGCTGGTTCCCACCAAAATGATTGCTCGCTGGCCCCCCTAACTTTATGCTGGCCTCACCTATCCAGCCGCTGGTTCCCACCGAGTTTAAGCCTCCCACACTGCTGCTTGAAGTCCTCAGTATTAATTGTTCCACCATTGTGCTCCGGGGGGCTTGAACCCTTGACCTCATGTCAAGGGTACCTCACTCTCAACCACTCGGCCAAGAGGTCATTGGCACCTATATGTGTTTTTATTCATTTAATAATTAGTTGCTAAAAAACGTGGATAATGTTTGGATATTTAAGACCTTCAGTCCAGCTCGCCCTTCACGACGAGCCTGCAACCAGGCCACCTAACGAGCTCACCTCAGTCCACGCCGGTTCCACAGCTCCCAACCCGAGTCAACGCAGCTCGCCATCCTCACGCCAAGCTCAAACCAGCTCAACGAGCCGTTCCTGTCGAGCCAGGCCCAGGTTCGAACGCCTCAGCTCAGATTCAGCCACAACCGAGCTTCCCGTTGAGCTCGAGTTCGCACCTCAGCCTCGATTCGCTCGTACCCGTGCCGACGAGCTTCAGACCCGAGCCGATTCGTGAGCTTCAGTCTGGATCTGCAGCAACAAGCCCCGATCCGCACGCATGGAGCCCCAACCGAGCCGCTTCAGCCTCGATCCACGCGAACGAGCGCTCCCGACCTCAGACCGAGCCTCCTCAGTGCGAAATCGAGCACCTCAGCTCATAACCGACCCGAACCAGCAGTCCCGATCCGGTTCCAAAGAGCCGATCCTTTTCCTAGTCTTTCCCCAATTTCGATTTTCTATTCGGGTCGTTGTTGGGGTATATTAGCTTAATCTCTTTCTCCGTATGAATTATAATTAATTATAAAAATGTTAAGTGAGGATTTTGAGCTATATATGAATTAATGTGAATTTATTGGATTAAACGGCATTAAATTTGGTGGATACTGTATGCTGCTCGAAAAAATACGAAACCAAGATGATAAATTCTATCTAGCTGACTTGAGGCTTAGTTTTTATTTTCGTGAATTTTGGCGCCCGTTTGCTATATTAACCGGATTTATGAATATAGAGTCGTAATGCCTCATTTTTTATTAATAAGTAAAAGACCTCGAAATGATGTGAAATTTTTGTGATAAATCTTATAAATGCTGAATATGATGTGGTGGAAGTTTCATGATTTTGGAGAACGTTGGATATGCCTAAAACTTCGAGACATTACCCTCTTTTAGCGATAAATTCGAGAAATGATCCGGTTGAAACTTAGCTGCAGTTGTTGGCCCTAAAATCACTAGAAATTATGTTGAACTTAGGGTTTAAGTTTTGGTGTAAAACGAGTAAGGTTGACGTTGGCCTTTTTTCCCGGACAGTCCGGATGAACTCTAGATCCGAGTAGAAAAGTTGTGCGTCGGCAAATGCCGTGTCCGTGCGTATGTACCCGGACCACGGTCGAACCGAGTTGCACTTAGTCAGAAGAGTGACCCGTCGGTTCAGATTGAGCCACCGGTTTAGTTCATCCGAATCAGGCCGGACAATCTTGACGATTCGAGAGTTTCAATTTGGAATACCGGTTTAAGCGTGAAGCGAGATTCAGTATTTTTTCGAACCCAGTCAGTATAAGTCAATTCAAATAAATTAGATAAGTCAACTTGGATCAGATAAATAAGATAAACCAGATAAATCAGATAAATAGTCTAGACTTGGAAATATTTCAGAAGAACTCTAGAAATGCTTCAAAGTCAGTAATTTCCCAGAATAGCTCATAAGGCCTCTAAAACGAGATTAAATGATTTTAAAATCGAGCAAGCGAACCTCGTAAGATAAGATAATAATTAGATACAAGTTTTCAGTTTGAGCTTAATACTTATGATATTTTGCTTAAATATGTATGTAGCTTAAGGAGAGTCGAGTCTCCGACAGCTACCACTCATCCAGTCGCACTTGCTTAGCAGTAGCAGCATATCAGTTGGGGGTCACGTACTGAGCATTACATTGTCATTAATATCCATGACCGAGGTATGTATGTAAGAGAATAGTATCGCCTAAAGGGGGCCAGAGTGCCTTAATGTTTCTTAATCAGGATCCCACTAGGTCCTAATGGGGGCCCGAGTGCCTTAATGTCTCTTACTTAGGGTCCCATCGGGGTGTACACGATTACCGATTAGATACCGGGAGATAGCAGTTCCAGTTCTAGATCAGTTTACTTACTTATATGCTTATTTCATGATATGTTATTATTGATGCTGTTTTATTCAGTACTGGTGCATAGTGGTTTTGCTCACCCCCACTAACTTTTTTTTTAAGTGACGGAGTCCAGCGTGGCGCGTGAGTACTTATGGTGGCCGTAGTCACGAGCAGTGGATATTTTGGTACGCATGTCGTGTTATTTATTTGAACATGTATTATTTATCATGCGTGTACTTATTATATTTACGTTTCCGCATATTCAGATCAGTATGGAACTTCAGACATTATGCATGTGTAATACCTTTATCTCCATGGTACTTTTATTAAATGGATTTGATTAGGTTGCATGTATTTATTATGTGAGAAAGAGATGGGAAAAACAGTAAAAGTAGAGTGTAAGTAGCACCCCGCGAGTCAGTTAAGCATTTTCGAAAATAAAAGATAGCATTTTTCGAAAATAAAAAGCAAAAATTTATCTCTGATTTTTAAAAGCCTAGAAGTAGAAGACTGGGTGTTACAACTTTTGTGTTGCTCGATTCTCAATAACAACGAAGGACTTGAGTTTTTTCTTTTTAAAAAAATTTTATTAGAATATTTGGCCGAATCAACTTAACTATCTCGGGCCCATGAATGTCTTGGCCCATTCTCGACTGCGCCTGGCCCTCACACACCGATTTAGCTTGGATGACTATGGCCCATTAGATTTTTTAGGGTTAAATCCTGGCGATCCATCTTGGCTATTTATTGCGTCATCTTTCTCTTGCCTTAGCTAAGGGGCTTGTATTCAATTGAGATTCTTAAGGACTTTTTAAAACTTTTTAAATTTGGTGACTTTTGTGGACTTTGTAAAACTTTCATAACTTTGGTGGACTTGTTGAGACTTTCAGATAATTCTCATTAGTGACTTTTTAAGACTTTCATATTGGACTTTTTAAAACTTATTGAGACTTTTATATACTTGTAGTTATAATATTATGTTAGAATGAAAAATTAATAAACGTAACATAATAACTAATATCAAGAAGAATAAATCAAAAAAAATGTTTTATATATTAATCCTCTAAAAATTTATGAATCAACTCATTGTTATGCGAAATGAGTTATTCAGTAACATATTATTTAGGATTTTAGATTTATTAAACGATCAAATTAATCCGAGCTTCAACGAGTCGAACTATGGAAGATACAAACATTGTCGAAAAACAGTAATTGTATTTTATAAAGTTATCAATAATATTAAAAATAATTCAATATCAACAAATAAACTATTAGAAAATAAAATAATTTTATTAATATTACAAAATAAACACTGATAAATAAAAAGAGAGGACAAATAAATTATTTGCAAGTGCAAACTATGGAAGCATTTAACCTTTGAAAAATCAAATTCACAAGATAACAAAATGAAAGATTAAAGGTATACATACATAAAATAACCATAATAAAAAAATATATAAAATAAAGATTACGTTAAATATACGTAATGAAATAAAAATTATACAAGGTATCAAAATAAAAGAGTAAAATAAAGCATGAAAGTGATGAGATACAAAGTCATGTTAGAAAGAAAAAAGAAAGAAAGCGTGAAGAGAGTCACATAAGTCCAACAAAATCTCACCAATATTGATGAGATTTCTGTTGAGACTTTCTCTTTGTAATTTTGTTAGAAAAATCTCTAAAAGTCTCACAATTTAAAAAGTCTCACAAAGTCTTCATATTTTGAATACAGGATGACTTGTAAAGACTCTCAGAAAGTTTTAATTGAATAAAAGTCTCTAAAAGTTGAAATTGAATACACCACCCTAACACTCGCTTCACTTCTCTCAATTAGCAGCTGAATCCCGATCTCTATCAACCGATCTTTCTCACTCTCTGTTCTCTCACCCTCTTCTTCGAAGTGCCGCCGCTGAGCCTCCACTGTCGCCTCCTCCTCTCTTCGGTAACAGGCCCTTTGAGGTGCCTCGAGTGACTCTTTGTGCAGAGGAGAGGGCTTGGCAACAGGGCTGGGTTGAGGTTTGGCTCGTGTGTGAGGTGTAGCCCGTGGATCGGGGCCACCGAGCCGTGACTCTCCGAGGGTGCCGGGCCAAGGAAGATCTGAGCCGGCCTTCAAGTCCCTTTTCGTCAATCGTCTAGTCAAAGTCAAAGGGAGTTTTCGTATCCGTCTCTTTGATTATTTTATTTTCAGCTCTTTATTGTTGTCCGTTTTAGGGGTTTGTTGTTACTCACCCCTTTCTCCTTTATCCGCTTTGTTTGTGCAGCTCAAACCGGGATATGAAAGAAGGTGCTTGGACCAGCCCAGAGCTTCGGTCTGACCGGGAGCCCCTTATGACGAGCTGCACCCCTGCAGGGCTCGAGGAGGCTTATGTGTATGACATCTTTGAAGATGTTTGTAAATCCAAATACCCTGGATTTGAAAAGGTATGCCGAACTTTAACTACTTGCTTATATTTTTCATTGGGAGTTTTATTCATGAAAATTTCCATTTTGGTATTTAGTAACGAAATTTTTGCCTTTATCCAGGCTATCTGGTTGGAATGTGCTCAGGAGAAAAACGAAATCATCTTTGTCCCCAGTGGGTGGTACCACCAAGTTCATAATACGGTACACTCGATTTAAATTTTTCATTTTAATTCTTCCCATATTATATTCTCCCGAATGAGCATGCCACAAACTTTTTTCTTTTTTCTTTTTATATATATTTATATCCTTGGAGAGATTACATGATAAAGAGATGAATCTTGTTTTTCAGGAGGACACAATCTTGATAAATCACAACTGGTTCAATGCCTACAACATTTCTTTAGTGGTGAGTTATTAACTTATTATCATACCAAACATATAATTCTGGTGAAAAACCTTGTGTATTTATTTGATAAGTTTGACTAGACTTTTTGAGTTCAATGCATTCATCAGGGGAATTTGATTTTAAGAGATTATCACGAGGCTAAGGGATATATTGAGGACATGAAGGACATATATGACGATTTCGAGGGGCTCTGGTACATGCCTTAATTCACGATTTATATCACATGACACTTGCTTTTTTATATGCATTTAAATACTTTGATATTTCTAGAGACATTGATATCAATTGTTAAGCAACTTTTTGTTTGTTCGGTTCTTAGTAACAACGAAGGACTTTGAATTTTTTTTAATGAAATTTCTTACTTGTTTTACCAAATCGGTAGAGAAAAATATGTAGCCAAAAGCAAATCGCTATCTCAGGCCCATGGAAGGTTTGATCAAACTCTCATTTAGGCTTAAGCTCTTTAACTTGGTCAATTCAACCCTAACCGTAGGATTGAAGGATTAAATCCTTACCATCCATCATACACATTAAATACGATATCCTCCCATCTTGTCTTAATCTCATTACACCGTGCGGCTGAGAATTCTCATCTCTCCCTATCTTCTCACTCAAGACAATAAAGAGTCGAAAGAAACCCTACGCTCCAAATCTTCAGGACGACATCGACAAGCTCGAGAAGATCCGCCTCTCCTCCAATTTGTCGAACATGAAGTCAAACTCGCTCTGGAGAGAATCAAGCGTAAGCCACACGCCGTTGCTGAGCGAGATCGATTCCGTTCAACTTTTGCCGTCTATCAGCTCCTCACTTTCTGTATATACTCTCGACAAAACTGCTATTGTCTTTATTTCTTTTTTTCGTCTTTTCTTTGTCTTATATGTATCCCTGAAATTGCGTATTTTTCTTTTTACATTTTTGGTCTCCTTGCATTGAATCTAAGCCTTAATCTAAGCCTTAAGGATAATTAACAAAGATATGAAATATTTTGTAGGGTTATTGTCTCCACTGTTTTGTGTATTTAATGTACATGATGGCTTGTAAGTGTATCTTTTGACAATTAATAGTAAACTGTAGAATTAGGATTGAGATTAGGATATGCACTGTGCAACTAAATCTATAGGTTTAGATAGATATCTGCCAATGGTTATTGCACTTGGAAAACAAGAATCATGCTTTTAATCCTCCATGATACCAACAAATACACTATGCCACTTGATTCCTCCATTAGCCAAAAAAAATTGTAAGAAAAAACATCATCAAGGGATTTTAGTTTACCTACATTAGTACTACCCCTTTGACCACTCTATTCATACATGTAATTATACATGTAATCGGGGAAATGGAATATTTTATTTAAAAAATCGTGGAAATCATCTCTGACCATGTCACCTCTGAAAGTTCTTGCTCCTTAGACCGCCAACACTTTGAAACGACACAAAAATAAAAGTAAGAAAAAAACGTGAAGTAATATCACTTTCAAAGCTATGTTCATGGGTGTCGGTTGATAGTCGTGTACGAGGATACTTTGATGTTTAGCTTGTGGTCTTTATTGGCTGAATTTAATGATGGGTAGTGTTCAAAAATCTTGACCAGCGAACGCTCGAATTGTCTTGCACGCCTGTGCGGTTGATTAGGTTTTTGTGAATTGCGGTTCATTGCACTGAACTTGTGAATGTGGGTTGGTATTTTTCTGTTCATTGTTCAATTCTATTTCATTTTTGCTGCAATCTTCTGTACTGTCTATGTTGTTTCATCTGCATTTTTTTGTTGTTTTAGTATGTTGGTCGTGCCATAACCAAAATTTTATGTGTCTGTTTGAAGCTGAGGGTTGTTTCACACTTTGGCTTGGTTTTCTGTTAGAATTTTTCTTTTAGGTTGGTCTGTGGTTCATTTTTTTGTGNCAAATTGGTTTTTTCGCTCGTATTTTGTATAAGGGAAAAAATGCCTGCTTTTGCTCGCTTTTGTGTCAATAGTGTTGAAAACAAATTGGTTTTGTTTCTGGTGCATGCTTAATTAGCAAATTTTCATTAGTTGTTTCTTTTTGTGTGGGTGTTGTACTGGCAAGCATTCATAAGTATGGATGGAGATAGTGGCGCCGAATTGGAGGTTGCCACTGCCTCAAAAAACGGTTGCAGAAAGCTACTACAGTTAGGTGGGGATGCGCGATCATTTGTTTGTTTGGTGAATCATATTTTTCCACAACGCTGCTACAGTTAGGTCCAGACATTAATTTTTTTTATCTCCTTGCATTGGATCTTATGGATAATTAACAAAGATAAGTTAATATGTCTTACTCTGTGTTTAGTGTATGTTACCCTTTGTGCCTCTTTGTTTTGATAGTTTATTATATAAGGAACTTCATAAATACAAGAGTGAGAGTGAGAATGAGGAAGATCAAGATTGACAAACTATCATTATGCAGGTAGAGGAATTGATAATCGCAAAAGTGATGTTTTTTGTTATGACTATGCTACACATAAAACAAAAATTGGGGAATTAATTGTATCTCATGCGAGAGTCCACATCCTCCCGTTGGAAAAGGGTCATAAGAATGGGCAATTATGTTCCCTGACATACCACAACAAATACCTGTTGTGTGGAAAGTATTTCGATGCTGAACGGAATCTTATTATACATGAAGAGTTCGACTGCACTCTCACCTCTTATATTTAGAAACTGAAGGGCCTAGAACATACAATGTCATATACTATTCCATCAATTAATGTCAAATTCTCCTATACTCCACGAGAGTATAGAAGAATAATAGGAGACATGGTGATGGCGGTGATTGAGTTGGATGACAAGGACGGAAAATACGTCTTCTCGCTCCACGTGAAGAATTTTGTGATAAAGAATGAAGTAGTGCATATGTATCAGCTGAATTGTATTCCCTTGTCGGAGGACAAAAATATTGATAATCCAAATGACATTATAAATGCGAATATATATAATAGATATTTGCGTCAGTCAATTCTTAAGCACTTTACAAAGAAGATGCTATTGCCGAGCACGAGGTAACTTTTTACGAAGGAAAAACTTTGTTGAAACATCTGACAATTATGAAGTCTTCTGATCGGCTTGCTTTCTTTTGGAATGGTTATTAAAAATATGATCTTTTGAATGACAGACATCGAGCTATGTATGACAAATTTATGCGACAACTGGTCGGTAAGAAATTAAGAAAAGACAATTGTAGGACATGTGACCCGTTACAGACTGCTTCAAATAACTATATGGACGTATCTCTCTACATTAACGTTAAGAACCAGTTATTCGTTCGACTGATAAGCAACATGACAACTCATTTACGATTAAGACATTCGTAATGTAACATGAAACCCCTCTATTAAAGTTTGCATATAGAGGACTCATTTATATACAAACTTTAATAGATGGGTTTCATGTTACATTACGAATATCTTAATCGTAAATGAGCGGTCATATTGCTTATCAGTCGAACGAACGATTGATTCTTAACGTTATTGTAGGGAGATACGTCCACATAGTTATTTGAAGCAGTCTGTAATGGGTCTTCGCTCATTTACTGAAATCGACCATTTGTCGCATAAATTTGTCATACATAGCTCGATTTCTGTCATTCAAGGCATCATATCTTTCATAATCATTTCTAAACAAAGCAAACCTATCAGAAGACTTCATAACTGTCACATGTTTCAACAAAGTTTTCTCTTCGTTAAGACTACACAAAAGTATAAACATTCACTAAAAAAATGAGTTAAATCCTGCTAACAATAATTATGCATGAAAAAAATCGAACTAACAAATATATCTACAAAATAAAAAGTTACATCCTGCTCGGCAATACCATCTTTCTTGTAAAGTGCTTAAGAATCAAATGACGCAAATATCTATCATATATATTCGCATTTATAATCTCATTTGGATTCTCAAAATCTTTTTTCCTTTCGTCGTTCGACATTAGTTGATGGAATAGTAGATAACATCGTATGTTCTATTTGTTGGCCCTTCAGTTTCTGAATGTAAGAGGTGAAAGTGCAGTCGAACTATTCATAATATATAATGAAGTTCCGTTCAGCATCGAAAAACTTTCCACACAACATGTATTTGTTGTGTGTCAGGAAACATAATTGCTCATCGTTATGATCCTTTTCCAATCGGACGATGTAGACTCTCGTACGAGATGCAATTGGTTTCCCAGTTTTTGTTTTATATTCAACATAGTCATCAACAAAACCATGAGAAACATCACTGTTGCAGCTAACACTTCATTTGTCAATATTGATGATCCTCATTCTCACTCTTGCATTTATGAAGTTGCTTATATAATAAATTATCAAAACAAAGTGGAATCAAAGAGTAACATACACTAAACACACAGAACAGTAAGGACATATCAACTCATCTTTGTTAATTATCCATAAGATTCAATGCAAGGAGATTAAAAAAAATGAAAAATCTGCACGTTTAGGGATACATATAAGACAAACAAGACGAGAAGAAAGAAATAAAGACAATAGTCGAGAGAAAGTGAGGAATTGACACTTAGGGAGTGAGTCTCGCTCGGGATATTTTCCTCCGCTAGTTCGCCTGCTTTGTCGAGAGAAAGTGAGGAAACGACACGCGGCGAGGTAGTCTTGCTCTGGATTTTTTCCTCGGTCGCCTGCTTTGTTGAGAGAAAGTGAGGAACTGATACGCGGCGAGGTAGTCTCGCTCGGGATTGCGGCGGTGGCGGTAATTTTTTTCTGGACGGCTTCCTGTTCAGTGTTGTCTTCGAGAATGTTCCGGAACGTCTTGAGCTCGTCTATTCCAGCAGGGATCGATGATTTCTAGAGTAGTTTTTCCTTTTCAGCCTAGCTGAGGGTCTTTCCCTCAGAAAGCATCTTTTCCCTTCTCCAATCTGACGATTTCTCGGTGGTTCTTTTCCTGTCGGCAAATGCGATTATTGAATTTATCCAAAACGGACTGCTTGGTCACTGCTAGGTGTAGAGAAGGGTTTTTTGCGCGGAGGAAGGTGTTTAGAAGGGTTTTTTTATGCCACATAAGGTTCTTTATTAACAATCACACATCTATTGACCCAGGGCGAGAGTGAGGACGGCGGGAACTATTGTTGGAAAATCAGTAATAAAATTGGGTATGACAGCTTTTATGCAACTTCCTTTCTCTTTGATTATACCTTTCAGTGCTTGTAGTTCCTTGTGCTTCTTCTTCCTTGCTTTTTTCTCTGGGGGCTTATTAGGCTGTCCATGTTTATATGGGCAATAAACTGCACACCTGAAGCCCAAAATGTTTTAAATTGTGTTTTTAAGTTCATATTTTGGAGCACTATTTAACTCACACATTTCATCAAATATAAAATTCTACAGTTGTGTTTCTCAATATTCTTTTTTGGCCGGGTGTATTTTTTGTTGTGCACTTCTTTGTCAAAGCAACAAACAGGGTAGTTAAATTTTTTTCTAGAATCATCAGTTAATACTTGGAAGACCGAATTAATTGACCTATTTCATGAAGTTCGTTTCTTAGAAATTCTTTCTTCACTGGCGGTTATCTAAATTGTGTGCACGTGTTTGTTGAGGCACACTAGAATACGTCCGACTGATAATCTGGATTGTGCACGTTTTTGTTGAGGCAGATCAAAATATGTCCACTTCTGTTCACAACTTCAAATTATTATTTTATCAATTATTTTTTCTGGTCCTAGTGGTATCATGCTGACATGCTATGATTCTTTGTTTAACCCACTTACCTTCATTTATGATATATCATGATCTTCATTTTTAGATACATCTTTTGGTTAGATTCTGGCTTTCAAACCACCGACCTCACAAAAAGATATCATCCGACTTCTAAATTATCCTCATTTGCAAACTGAAGCCCTGGTGCTTTTATGCAGGCCTGTAAATTACCAGTCAAACGACAGAGGATGAAACAACAAATACAAATAAATCACGTGAAACTTTTTGCAGGAACTCTGGTTTTGAGGCCTTATGGGAGTTAACATGCGGCCTGAGATCCGAAGCCAGAAACAATTCATCCGAATTGGGTGCTGAGGCCGAATGGGCCGGGCTGGCTATTGAAAACGAGTACAACTTGCAAGAGTTTCAGGTAGAGTATGTGATAAAGCCATACAGCAAGGACGATGTTCACAAATATATAAAATATGATGTTTGGTCGAGTACACTGAATGGGAACAAGAAATTGGATGCTGCTTTTCGTGATTCAGATGCTAAAACGAGCGAAACTGGAGTGAAGTGTCATGTCTTTCTATTTTTCTTGGTAAGCCTTTTGCTTTCATTGCCTTCTCTTTTCATTTTCTTTTCTAATTTCTACACTTTCTAGCTGTTAATGCTTATTGCTTTAATGTTTTGCAAAAGTAGCTTTCGGACATTGTTGAAAAGACTTGAAACCATTATTTAATTTGGGTACCAAATAAAATAATATGGAACCCAGTTCTGAAGAAAATAATTGAAGTTTAAGTGTGGTAGCAAAATGTTTTTTTAAGTGAGAAATATAATATTAAACTTTTAGAAAAATGAAGGGAAATTTTTTCCTCTTGGGGATATAAATGTAAATTTAATGTTCATTACCTTCAGGTGAATGGTAGTGGACAGTTTGTGGGAGTTGCTGAGATGATCGGGAAGGTTGATTTTAGCAAGAATATGGACTTTTGGCAGCTTGACAAGTGAAACGGGGTTTTCCCCATTACGTGGCACATAATTAAGGATGTGCCGATCACCCTATTGCGACACATATACTTGAGAACAATGAAAAATAGGCCTGTCACCTATAGCAGGGATACACAGGTGGCAATTCCTTTTCCCAGTTAAATGGCTTCATGTTTTCTTGTTACCTGCTATAATATGTGATAATGAAGTAGTGTACTCGTGATACCTTAAGAAGTATACTATCCACTCATCTCACTTTTCCCATGCAAAGTTTGACAATACAATTTAAAATAAATAAATATCATTACTAGACAACATACTTTTCATCCATTCATACATTTCTGACTACCACTTGTTATGTTCTTATTTTTACATCTCATCATTTTTAAACATTAGGTTTCCATCTTATCATCAATCATATTTTCAGATTACTTATTTTCCCCGCATAACTTTGTTTTCCCACTGGTGAAATCAACTTTCCAACAAAATATATCTAATCGGACTTAGTTTTTTACTGCAATTTCATGGATTTTTACTTTCTTATTGGCAGTTCCTTTGGCAAGAATCTTTTCTTTGGCTTGCTAGACTTCCTAGAACTTTTTTTTAGATTAATTTTCAGAAAACAATGTGATGGTTTGTGTAGTGTCTATTTTATGATTAGACAGCCATGCCAGAACCACGCATCATAGTCTCTAACAGAACTTACTTTGTATACTAAATTGGAATCTATTTCCATCTGTTCAATTAGTGTAATGAGTCGAGAACAGAGGATGCTCCATCAACTGGTTTGCTATCATCAAATCCCATTTCTATTGGCAAGAGAGGAGAAGTAGGTTAGTTTCCTTGCGTGAGTTATATCAGCTGGAACCACTCTTCTGTGTAGATGATTTTTAACTGGATTTGCTTCAGGTCCAACCCTTGTTCTTGTTGTTCGTAGACTGGATGAGAATGTTGATGAGGAAATGCTTCGTTATGAATTTTCTAATCGTGCTCCTATTAAGGTCCAAAGTTTCTTTTCCAGCACGGTCACTTCTTATGCATCTATAGTTCTATTCATGATTTATTAATTTTTTAAAATCTTTCAGGATCTGCGACTTGTCAGAGACAAATTCACACGTGCGAAGAGGCTTTGCATTCGTGCATTTCTGTTGAGTAAGTTTAATATTGCTAGCCTGTTCATTCTTGATGACATAGAGGTTTCCTAATTGTGTTATGCTCAATTTTGAAGATTATTTTGTAACATCTTTTGTTAGAGGAATTGGTTACCTGGGTACAAGAGTCGATTTTATTTTATTTAATCTATGATAGTAGTTGCAAATTCCAGTGACAACATTTTTGCCAGAAAGGAGTGTTTTGAAGTTTTAGGCATTTATATGTATAACAACTTTCGAGTTGAGCCGTGTGTTCTTCATTCACTGATCAACTGTAACATGCCCGGGTTCATATGCAGTACGAGTAAATTAAACTACGGATTGATTGGTACTACGGATTGATTGGTACTTTCGAGTTTTTATTATATATAATTTATAAAATTTATATAATTATCGTTAATGAATCGAATATTTGATAATTTCGAATCGAATATCTACAAATTTGGATTCAAATTCGTTTGACTTTTGAATATAAAACATTATACATATTCGAATTCGAATATTGAATCGAATAAAAAATACACTTTGTTTACTAGCCTAACTTCAGCTAAAGAGAACATTTGAGATACTTTTCTAATAAAGCTTTTGTTACTAATCATATACACCGTGTGAAGGTAATCACAATGATTGAATTATTTAGAGACTTTACTGTCTACCGTCTTTGATACTCAGGTATGATAACTTGATGGAATGATATAAATTACAAGTTCTAGAAAATTCGGTTATCTTTTTCTTTTTTTTTTTCTTTTTTTTTTATGATGATTTCTATGAAAGTGGTATTCATGCAATCTTGTTAAATGCAGACTTTCTAATACTGTTCTTCATGGAAGCCCTTTTCTACTGTGGAGTTGCTGTTTTTCTCTTCCTGATCGACCGTTTGAATAAGCCAAAACATGCAAGAATAAGCCGAAACATTGTCCCTCATGTGGGGTATCAAGTCTCTTCTGTTGCTGTTTTGGTTCTCAACATTATAATCCCAACCGTATCGAAAATCCTTCTCTTTTCTCCTGGCTAGCATGTTGATGTACACGTACATAGGGGAATTGCAAAAGTCAACGAAACGAAGCAGGTAAAAAACAATTCATATTGGGGTGGAATATAAAAAGTTAATTTTGATACTTGTTGAAGCAAAATGGAGTGCCCATAGAGAGAGAGAGTTTAAAGAATTTAAAGAAAGATACAGTGCCCATAGAGAGAGAGTTTAAAGAACTAGTACTCACAAACAGGTGAACATATCAAGGAGGCCTCGAACTTCAACAGTTGCTCCCAAAACATGGCTAGGATGGACAACTCAATAGCTTCATCATTTAAAGCCATATTGATATTTATGCACTGCACAGTAAAAAAATGTCAAATATTTCATAAAATTTAGTTTAATGCAAAATTTAACAAGTGGTTTCGGGATTACCTGACGCATGTGTGCCCTTAAGTGGGATGTCAGATTCCGTATGAATCGAATCAACGAACGATTGATTACATCATCACTATAAACCATGTTCCCGGCATCAACGTACTAATTTGATATGTGTTAGAAACAATCAGTAACTGCCCATAACTCCTAGAAGTATCTTGTCTGAATTTTCCAGCCTAACCTCTACAATTGCCCATTCTGTGGATAACATAATCATCATATACACGACACTTTTTGGCAACTTCTCTTTTCCATTTCTCATAAAAGCAAGTCGAGTAGAGAAATTTACGATTGAAGTATTTTAGCAAGTGTTCTTCTTGAGCAAGGTTACACAAATTACATAGTTAAATCTTAACAGCATAAAAAACCCAAGGTACAAATTTTATTCTATTCTGGAATGACAAATAGAGTTACCTGTTCACTTTTTTCATCTTGTCTAAAAAGCTGTTAAGAATTCAAGGATAATCATATCTGTGATATATATCTTTTCTTATAACACTTTCAAGATTTTTCAAATCCTCCTTTTTCCCGTTTTTCGTGACGAGACGAGAACTTAAATTTGTAGAAGTTGACAACCCCGTTCTTCATAACTAGGTTTTCACTGAATTTAAGGAAAAACATTTTTTTTTTAATTATGCAACTCAACAATACTCTCAATAAGATCCCTAATGATTCTCCTGTACTCGTTTGGAGTATATTTGAATTCCACCGGATGTCCAGAGGGTGTAGAGGGAATGGTAAAAGTCATATTCGGTAATATTCCCTTTTTAATCAATTGCTTAACATGATCTTCGAGGGTGCAGTCGAAGTTCCCGTACAGGACAGATTTCCTGTCGGCGTCATAAAACTTCCCACAGAGCAAATATTTGCTGCTGTGGTGTCCCTTAACTAAAGGAACCACCAGTATGTTCGTATTTGATTCGATCAACTCTCCATTTCTTGTGCTATAATCAAATCGGTATTTTACTTTCGAAGTTAATACATCCGGATCCATCTCAAGATTGAGGAATAAGTATATACTATAAATTTATAAAAGAAAACCTTATGTTTCCATCAAACCTTATGAATTCAACATTTGATGGAAACATAAGGTTTTCCTTAATAAATTTATAATATATACTTATTCTTCAACCTTTAGATGGATCCGAATGTGTTAACTGTGAAAGTAAAATGCCGATTTGATGATAACACAAGAAATGGAGAGTTGATCGAATCAAATAGGGACATACTGGTGGTTCCTTTAGTGAAGAGACCTAAGGACCCACAATTGTATACCTTGCAGGACAACAAATATTTGCTCGGTGGTAAGTTTAATGATGCCGACAGGAAATCTGTCATGTAAGAGAACTTCGACTGCACCATGTTAAGCAATTGATTGAAAAGGAATTATTACCGAACATGACTTTTACCATTCCCTGTACACCCTCTGCACAACCGGTGAAATTCAAATATACTCCAAGGGAGTACAGGAGGATCATTAGGGATCTTGTTGAAGGTATTCTTGAGCTGCATAATAAAAATAAGAAATGTCTTTCCTTAAATTCAGTGAAAAACCTAGTTATGAAGAACGGGGTTGTCAACTTCTACAAATTTAAGTTTCGTCCCGTCACGGAAAACGGGAGAAAGTAGGATTTGAAAAATCTTGAAAGTGTTATAAGAAAATATATATCACAGATATGATTGTCCTGGAATTCTTAACATCTTTTTGGACAAGATAGAAGTGAACAGGTAATAGAATAAAATTTGTACCTTGGGTTTTTTATGCTGTTAAGATTTAACAATGTAATTTGTGTAGCCCTGCTCAAAAAGAACACTTGCTAAAGCACTTAGCAATCATGGATTACTCGACTTGCTTTTATGAGGAATGGGAAAGAGAAGTTCAATGACTTGATTGCCATATGATGATGATGTTATCCACGGAATGGGCAATTGTAGAGGCTGGGCTGGAAAATTCAGACAAGATACTTCTAGGAGTTATGGGGCAATTACTGATTGTTTTCGACACATACTACATGGATGCCGTGGACATAAATCACAGTGATGATGTAATCAATCGTTCGTTGATTCGATTCATACGGAATCTGGCAGCCTACTTTTAAGGGCATACATGCGTCAGGTAACCCCGAACCATTTTTTAAATTTTGCATTAAACTAAATATTATGAAATATTTTGACATTTTTTTACTGTGCAGTGCATAAATATCAATGTGACTTTAAATGATGAGGCTATTGAGCTGTCCATCTTAGCCATGTTTTGGGAGCAACTGTTGAAATTCCATGCGAAGTTAGAGGACTTCGATCTCCTTGATATATTCATTTGTGAGTATTAATTATTTAAAAACTCTCTCTATGGGCACTGTATCTTTCTCTAGGCTCCCTTTTGCTCCTTGTTGATAAAGTATAAAAATTAACTTTTTATATTCCACCCCAATATGAATTGCCTTTTACCTGCTTTGTTGTCTTTTTCCCCTATGTACGTGTACATCAACAACATCCTAGCCAGGAGAAAAGAGAAGGATTTTCAAGAATGGTTGAAGGATTTTTTTTTTTAACTTTTTTGGCGAAATATTTTGAGTCACATATGATGAGCCCCCTTTTTGAACTGGGATTTAGGCATTTAGCAAAACACAGAAGCAGCATTTGTAGGGTGTCGGTCTTTGTAGTCATTTTGTCGATTGTTTTTAGGGAGATTTTATCCGGGCATTCTCTTCTTTATTTTGGTTTGTAGGCGAGTACTGATGTGGGGGATGATGCACAATGATATTATTATTTACGAGACGATTAATCTGTGTGACCAGATTTTGCTGTTATGATTTTTTTTTTCAGGATATATTTGGTTGATTAAAGAGGTGGTTTCATTTTGCGCTGTTATGATTTTGTTTCATAATAGATAATAGATTTTATTAGGGATTGGATTTGGAACATTTCAGGTACATTGCTATTTGTTAAATGTGGAATGTTTTTAAATATATTGTATTTTCACTACATCAATTATGAGGTTCTGCAAAACCTTATATGCCAACATTGCTAATTGAAAATATGAGAAATTGTAGAACTTTGACTTTCCCTTTGTGAAAATTTAATGATTTGCACGAGTTGATGTAATGCAAAACAAGGTCTATTTAAAATAAGTAGTATATTAATTAAATCATTAAATATAAAAAATTAAAATCGAAAAAAAAAAAAATGTAAAAATCTTTATGTAAAGTTCATTTTGATATATTGTATCTAATAGACCAAACATACTAATATGAAGAAGTTAACTACATTTGCATATGAAGTCATTGCTAAAATTTTACTATTGGGACTAATGATTATTTCAAAAATCTTAAAAAAGTTATATGAACAGATATATATCATGGATACGAGTGTCCTGATCTTTTATGAACAAGATGATGACATTGAACAGGTAGCTCGATTTGTCATTCTTGAATAAAATAAATTTGGTACCTTTATTTTTTTATGTTAACAGGATTTAACTCATTTTTTAAACTTTTGTACTTTTGTGTATTTGTGTAGCCTTGACGAAGAAAAACAATTGGTGAAGCATTTGGCGATTATGGATTCCCTGCTTGCCTTGGGTTTTTCAGGGTGGGAAAGAGAAGTTCGATGACTTGATTGACAAAAAGCATGTTGTTTATAATTCAGTTATGACGAGAATGGGCGCTTGTGGAGGATGGGCAAAGCGATTTAAACAAGATAGTTCTAGGATCTCTTACTGACACAGATCAGTATGTGGACATGAATAGCACGGATGTGGTAATGAATCCTTATTTGTAAGTAATTTGGTGGCCCACTTAGGAGCATATATGAGTAACGTAACATGAAACCCCTTATTAAATTTTGCATAAAACTAAAAATTATGAAATATTTTGACATTTTTTAGTATTGTGCAATGGATACCCAACCATGTGGCTTTAAATGATGAGGTTATTGGGTTATCCATCCCAGCCATGTTTGAGAAGCAGCTGTTGAAATTCCAGGCGAAGTTAGAGGAGTTCGACCTCTTTGAATTATTCACATAGATTTGTAAAATACATTTAATATTTTGGATAAAGTTTGTTTAGGAAGTTCAAATTCTGGCTTTGTTCTTCCTAAATTTTTCCCCTTTCTTTTTAAGTTTGTGTAGTAACTTTAATTTTCTGCCATTAATGTCTGGGTGTCTGTTTGGTAACTGCTATGAAGTTGCTGCCAAAGTATTTTTAACAAACATATATTTTTTATGCCTTGAATGAATATATTTTCTTTATCTATTGAATCATCTTGAATTAAGTTTTAACTCTTCATGTTATATTTCAAAGATATGAGATACCTACTATTATTAATGAACTTTTTTAATTTAATGTTACCCAATTTCTTTGATGATTATGTGTAATCATTGCTATTAACAGACGTGCATATTTGTGTAGGTATGCAAGAGCTGAATTGGATTCAAGGGGTATGCAAATGAAAGGATGATTTAACATCTGTCTGAAATATATTAGCTGCTCTTTTTTTTTTTTTTTTCCAAGTGTGGTATAATGGTAATATTCTCATTATTGTAGGGGATCGTGCATTTGAATGTGTCTAGTTTTGATCTCAAGAAATACAGAGAGGATTATAAGAAGTTGTGGAGGGAGAAGGTACTAGGAAGAAGTGTCTTCTCAATGTTAGCTTTGTGAAAGTTCAAGCTTGACAGAGAGTACTGTTGGCATTAGCTGTAGATGAAGCCCAGATTCTTAGAGCCATGGTGAATTTTTTTTATTTTTTATTTTTTTTATTCACTGTTTGACCAGTTGGCATGAAATAACTATGGTCTTCTATTTTTTTAAAATTTTTTGTCTTTTTGTTTGGGTTGTTTGTTTATGGGGCAAAATATATTGAATCACATATGATGAGCCCCTTTTTTGAACTGGGATTTTGCAAAACGGAGAAGCAGCATTTGTAGGGCTGTCAATCTTTGTAGACATCTTGTCCATCGTTTTTAGGGATATTTTATCTGGGCTCTCTTGTTTATGCACAATTATATTATTATTTACGAGACGGTTAATCTGTGTGACAAGATTCAGGATATATCTGGGCATTCTCTTGTTCATGATTTCGTATGATGATAGATTTGATTAGGGATTGGATTTGGAACATTTCNATATGAGTACTATAATAATTAAATCATTACAATAGCATAATAACATGAAGAAGTCAATTACATTTGCATATGAATTAATCCTTGTAAAATTTTACTATTGAGATCAATCATTACTCAATAATTCAGCCAAACATCTTTTCTACTTATTGTGTTTGTAAAAAGAATGTTCATTAATCATAATATACAACACCCAAGCATTCCATAATGTACATTGGTAAGATATTGTTAGACATGTTAGAAACTCATTATTTTTCAATATATATAGATACTTAATATATTAAAAAATAATTTAAATAAAAGTACAACAATATTTTATAATATAGTTACTTATTTTTGTTGAAGAAGTATGAGAATTGACGCACCCACTTAATTATTAGGTGGACTCACAAATAATTTGTTTTCATGAAATTACTAATATAGTTTATAATTTCTGGGGATAAAAATAAAATAAAATAAAAATAGAAAAAAAATGCTTTCGTTGAGAAAAAAGGAATTTTTAGCTGCGCTTACAGTCGATGCAGTTGCCTCTTGTTCGAGATCGTTTTAGCTCCGTCGAAGTGTAAACATTAAAAGGTCAAGAAAAAAATCTCATGGAGAACAAAAAAGGCGCTGTCTTTGTTCCCTTCTAAGTTCTAACCCAAATTCATACCTTTAATTCTCCCAAATTCCCATATGGGTGCGCCGTAATATTGCCTTAAAAAAATGGGTTTTGTCGTAGTATAATGCAAAAGCTTGTGGAAGTTGAGGAAAATGGCGGCCAAGATAAATCCTTGCTTCTCTTGTTTTTCACTTTCATCAAATTTTCAAAGAAGGGCAAGGCTGAAGGTGCGTTTTTTCTTTCTTGTTTCGGTAAATTGGGGTAGTCTTTACTTGTTTGTTGGTTTTTTCGAGCAGAAGTTGTAGGATAGTCGTGTTTCTCTTTGTGAATATTGAGGTTATTACATAAGAGTTAGCAATTTTATTACATCTTTTTGTGATTTCAAATTCAGTAATCTGGTATAAGAGGAATGATTGTAGTGGCTATTCTGTTCTGCGTGGAGTTTTTGTTAATTGTTTCCAAAGTTCTGTTCTTCCTGGAGTTTTTGTTAATTGTTTCCAAAGTTTGCTTTTTTTATGTATATGTATTCTAAATGTATATGTATTTTAAATGGCACTGATGGAACTCGTGTAGTGTTGCATATGAGTGTCAAATGTGAACCGGAACACAGAGTTCTTTACATGTTAGCTTTGACAGTTACTCATGCATATAGATGTTTGTTTTACACAACATTGTGCGATTTCACCTAATCGAACCTTTGTTTCTAATTTCTACGTTTGTTTGTTTCGTTTATTGCTCCAAGAATTCTCTCCAACATTATTCATAGATTGTTCTTTACAATTTTCATACTTTAGGTGTTTTGTACTGGGTTTCAGTTGAGCTCAAGATTAGGATGGTTTGACAAACGACAATTAAAAGAAAGCTCCGAGTACATCAAAGGTATCTTTCTTAATCTCTTGAAATTATTTCAATCATGTTAACACGATGGGATTTTTTTCGATACTTTCTGCAGTATGAACTCTGTAATTAGCTTGGACGAACATTTATCAAGGATTATGGTGCTTTTTGGGCATATCTTACAGTGATTACTCATTGAGCTTGCTTATTCACACATCGCTACTCTTTTGAAATCGACTTATTTTTTGTATGTTTTCTTTGACTGAATGTGTTTCGATCAAGGACCCTCGTGACAGTTCAGGTTTTTATTTTTTCTCCATTTTGTGTTAGATGTCATCAAGCCTTGCCAGCTTATGCATGGTAGACCAACAGTACTAAATACCTTATCAAAGAGGAGATTCATTCTGTTTGCCACCTCTGAGGATGAACAGTCATTCAGTGAACTAGAAGAACCAGATGATTTTGAGCCGGAAGAGGAGGGTTCTCTTGCTGAAAATAACACCTTCGGAAATATTTCATTTGATCACGCTGAACAAGCTCGGGGAAAACCAGGGATCATTTCGTTTTACGGATCCACAATGAAAATAGAAGAACAAGTTCCTGTTACGAGTCAGAACAACAAACTGTTGTGGCTCGTAGGTCCCACTGTTCTTGTTGCGTCGTTTGTTTTCCCCTCACTTTATTTGTGGAGAATACTCTCTTCGATATTCGAAGATTCTTTAGTAACTGGTAAGAAAACATTATGCTACAAGGTTCTTTAATTTGTGCTCGGTTTATTTTGTTACATTTTTTGTTCCTAGTCAACATGTCCATTGATTGAACTCTGCTATTGCCGGACTTTACAGACAAGAATGTTAATGGCGTGCTTGGATACAAATACATGAGCTCAAAATGAGTTTTTTCGGTTAACTAGGGTTAATTTTGAAAAGGTTGGTATGGTTAGTTGTTAGTGGAATTTGAGTTTATGTTAAAATAATATTTAGAATAAAATAATTAAAGTTGATGTGATGTAAAAGTAGGAGAGAGATTATGTGAAGTGACGGTTAAAATTGATGTAATGTGTAGAATGATTATTTGGTATTATATTTAATTATATTGATAAAATTGAGGATAGTGGAGTTGTTTTAAAATTGAGTTAGATTTCAAGTTTGAATTGAGTATGAATTGGAAAAATTTATAAACAAACGCCGCCTAAGATTCACAAGTGCATTATATAAGCTTTTCGTTGGACATTTGCCAGAAATTTGAATCATTACGTTTTATCAATTTTGGAATAGATTGCGAAATCTATGGTCTTCAGCTAAAGAGAACATTTGAGATACTTTTCTAATAAAGTTGATGGAAAGATATAAATTACTAATTCTAGAAATTTCGGTTATCTGTTTTTATTTTTATGATGATTTTTATGAAGTGGTATTCATGCAATCTTGTTCTTGCAGACTTTCTAATACTGTTCTTCACGGAAGCCCTTTTCTAATGTGGAGTTTCTGTTTTTCTCCTCCTGATCGACCGTTTGAACCGACCGAAGAAAAAGCCAAAACATGCAGAAATAAGCCGAGACATTGTCCCTCACATGGGGTACCGAGTCTCTTCTGTTGCTGTTTTGGTTCTCAGCATTATAATCCCAACCATGACAATGGGTTTTGTTTGGCCGTGGACTGGACCAGCGGCTTCTGCTACTCTAGCACCCTACCTTGTTGGCATCGTTGTTCAATTCGCGTTCGAGCAGTATGCAAAATATGTCGACTCGCCATCATGGCCCGCCATTCCCATTGTCTTCCAAGTAAAGCACTTTTTTTTTTCTTTTTCTTTTATAAAGAAATATAATTTTCTTGAACCCTTTCAATTGCTGATGATAGGTATTTAACTAGGAAGGATTATGGAGTTGATCAATTTAGTTTTTTCAAAAAAATACAATTGCATAAATTACTATACTGCCTCATTTTAGTTTTTTTTCAAAAAAATACAATTTAGTTTTTTTTATCTCCTTGTGGATAATTAACAAAGTTGATATGTCCTTATTATGTGTGTTTAGTGTATGTTTTTATTTGTTGCTTCTTTGTTATGATAGTTTATTATATAAGGAGCTTCATAAATACAATAGTGAGAATGAGAATAAGGATCATCAAGATTGACAAACTATCATTATGCACGTAGCGGAAGTGTTAACTGCAAATGTAATGTTTCTCTGTGATGGTTTGTTTATGACTATGCTGCACATAAAACAAAAACTGGGGAACTAATTGCATCTCGTATGAGAGTCTACATCGTCCCATTGGAAAAGAGTCATAAGGATGAACAATTATGTTCCATGACACACAACAACAAATACTTGTTGTGTGGAAAGTTTTTCGATGCTGAAAAGAACCTTATTATATATGAAGAATTCGACTGCACTTTCACCTCTTACATTAGGGCTAAGGAATAGAACCTACAATGTCATTTACTTTTCCATCAACTAATGTCAAATTCTCATATACTCCACTAGAGTATAGGAGAATAATAAGAGACATGGTGACGGTTGATTAAGTGGCATGACAGGGACGAAAAATGCGTCTCCTCGCTCCACGTGAAGAATTTGTGATAAAGAATGGAGTAGTGCATATGTATAAGTTGAATTGTATTCCCGTGTCGGACGACGGGAGAACAAAAGATTTTGAGAATCCAAATGAAATTATAAATGTGAATAGATATGATAGATATTTACGTCCGTGAATTCTTAACCACTTTACAAGGAAGATGGTATTGCCGAGCATGAGGTAACTTTTTATTTTGTAGATATATTTCTTAGTTTGATTTTTTCCATGTATAATTATTGTTAGCAGGATTAACTCTTCTTTTTAATGTTTGTACTTTTGTGTAGTCTTAACGAAGAGAAAACTTTGTTGAAACATATGGCAATTATAGAGTCTTCTGATAGGCTTGCTTTCTTTAGGAATGGTTATGAAAAATATAATGCACAGAAATCAAGCTAGTTATGACAAATTTATGCGATAAATGGTCAGTTTCAGTTAATGGACGAATAAATTAAGAGAAGCTAGTTCTAGGACATATGGTCCTTGTGAACATATCTTCCTACAATAACGTTAAGAATCAGTCGTTCGTTCGACTGATAAACAATATGACCGCTCATTTCGATCAGACATTCGTAATGTAACATGAAACTCCTCTATTAAAGTTTGCATATAAATGAAATTTATGAAATATTTTCATGACGGTACATTTTTTACTTTTGTGCAGTGCAAAAAGGTTGCAGCTGATGAGATGGTAGAGCTATCTATCTTAGCTCTATTTGATGATCTAATGCTGAAATTTCACGATGAGTTAGAAAAATCGCACCTCCTTCCTATGTTCATATAGGTTTGCGTCTAGCTTTGATCTCATGAACTATGGTCTTCTTAAAAAAACGACAAAAAATTTAAAAGAAATTGAAAGACCATAGTTCATGAGATCAAAGCTAGACGCAAACCTATATGAAGGAGGTGCGATTTTTCTAACTCATCGTGGAATTTCAGCAGTAGATCAAGCTAAGATTGATATCTCTACGCAACTTTTTTGCACTGCACAAAAGTAAAAAATGTGATTGTCATGAAAATATTTCATAAATTTCATTTATATACAAACTTTAATAGAGAGGTTTCATGTACATTACGAATGCCTTATTGTAAATGAGTGGCCATATTGCTTATTAGTCGAACGAACGACTGATTCATAGCGTTATTATATGGAGATACGTCCACATAGTTATCTGAACGGGGCCATATGTCCACATAGTTATCTTAACGTTATTATTAGTCGACCATTTGTTGTATAAATTTGTCATAACTTGCTCGATTTCTGATATTCAAAGCATCATATTTTTCATAACCATTCCTAAAGAAAATAACCATTCCTAAAGAAAGCAAGTCTATCAGAAGACTATAATTGCCATATGTTTCAACAAAGTTTTCTCTTCGTTAAGACTACACAAAAGTACAAACATTAAAAAAAAAAAAGTTAAAATCCTGCTAACAATAATTATGCATGAAAAAAATTCAAACTAACAAATACATATACAAAATAAAAGTTACCTCCTACTCGGCAATATCATTTTCCTTGTTAAGTGCTTAATAATTTCCTTGTTAAGTGCTTAATAATTCACGGACGCAAATATCTATCATATATATTCGTATTTATAATCTCATTTGGATTCTCAAAATCTTTTGTCCTCTCGTCGTCCGATACGGGAATAAAGTTCAGCTTATACATATGCACTACTTCATTCTTCATCACAAAATTCTTCACGTGGAGCGAGGAGACGCATTTTCATTCCTGTCATGCAACTCAATCAGCGCCGCCACCATATCTCTTATTATTCTCCTATACTCTCGTGGAGTATTGGAGAATTTGACATTAGTTGATGGAATAGTAAATGACATCGTATATTCTATTCCTTTTTAGTTTCTGAATGTAAGAGGTGAGAGTGTAGTCGAATTCTTCATATATAATGAGGTTCTGTTCAACATTGAAAAACTTTCCACACAAGTACTTGTTGTCTGTCAGGGAACATAATTGCTCATCCTTATAACGATGTGGACTCTTGTACGAGATGCAATTAGTTCCTCAATTTTTGTTTTATGTTCAGCATAGTCATCAACAAAACCATCACAGAGAAACATCACTTTTGCGGTTAACACTTCCTCCACCTACATAATGATAGTTTGTCAATCTTGATGATCCTCACTCACTCTTGTATTTATGAAGTTCCTTATATAATAAATTATCAAAACAAAGAGTAACATACACTAAACACACACAACTGATCTTTGTTAATTATCCATAAGATTCAATCCATGGAGATTAAAGAAATATATGCACGTTCAGGGATACATATAAGAAGACAAGACAAGAAGAAAGAAATAAAGACAATAGTCGAGAGAAAGTGAGGAACTGACACTCAGGGAGTCAGTCTCGCTCGGCATATTTTCCTCCACTACTTCGCCTGCTTTGTCGAGAGAAAGTGAGGAACTGACACGCGGCAAGGCAGTTTTGTTCGGGATTTTTTCCTCGGCTAGTTCGCTTGCTTTGTCGAGAGAAAGTGAGGAACTGACAAGCGGCGAGGTAGTCTTGCCGGGATTGCGGCGGCGGTGATTTTTTTTCTGAGCGGCTTCCTGTTCGATGTTGTTTTCGAGAATGGTCCGGAATGTCTTGAGCTCATCTATTCCGGTAGGGATGGATGATTTCAAGTGTAGTTTTTCCTTCTCAGCCTCTCTGAGGGCCATTCCCTTGGAAAGCATCTTCTCGAATCTGATGATTTCCCAGTGCTTCTTTTCCTGTCGGCGAATGCGATTATTGAGTTTACCCAAAACCGTCTGCTTGGTCGCGGCGTTCTCAGAGGAAGACCCTGTTGGTGGTGCCGACTCCGACATTTTTCGCGGCTAGAAAGGAGATTTGCCTGAGGAAGGTGTAGAGAAGGGTTTTTTTTTTTTTTGTTTTGCGCGGAGGAAGGTGTAGAGAAGGGTTTTTTTATGCCACATAAGTTTCTTTATTAACAATCACACATTTATTGACCCCGAGGCTAGTAACTAATTACAGCCCATGTACATTGGTACTCTAAACATAAACAAAACACAGGTCCAAATTTGGGACTGACCCTACGCTCATAGCCCAATATACCAATTATGGAGCCCACACCAACCACTTCAAGGCCTCATCACATCCTGGGCCTTCTGCGCAACCTCCCTCGTCCTCTCGCCAAGCCGGCCCGCCGTATCCTGCACGCACCGCCCCATGTGCTCCGGTGTTCCCCCGCATCCTCCTCAGGTAGCTGAGCAGCCACTTGACGGAGGACAAGGCGATCACTCCGAACGTGCAGGCGACGACGGGAACTATTGTTGGAAAATCAGTAATATAAAATTGGGTATGACCCGATTTTGACTAAATTTTTATGCAACTTCCTTTCTCTTTGATTATAACTTTCAGTGCCTGTAGTTCCTTGTGCTTCTTCTTCCTTGCTTTTTTCTCTGGTAGTTCATTAGGCTGTCCATGTTGTCCATGTTTATATGGGCAATAAACTGCACACTTGAAACTCAGAATGTTTTAAATTGTGTTTTTAAGTTCATATTTTGGAGCACTATTTAACACATTTCATCAAATATAAAATTCTACAGCTGTGTTTCTCAATATTCTTTTTTGGCCGGGTGTATTTTTTGTTGTGCACTTCTTTATCAAAGCAACAAACATGGTAGTTAAATTTTTTTGTAGAATCACCAGTTAATACTTGGAACACCGAATTAATTTACCTATTTCATGAAGTTCGTTTCTTAGAAATTCTTTCTTCACTGGCGGTTATCTAAATTGTGTGCACGTGTTTGTTGAGGCACATTAGAATATGTCTGACTGATAATCTGGATTGTGCACGTTTTTGTTGGGCAAGATCAAAATATGTCCACTTGTGTTCACAAATTCAAATTATTATTTTATCAATTATTTTTTCTTGTCCTAGTGGTATCATGCTGACATGATGTGATTCTTTGTTTAACCCAATTACCTTCATTTATGATATACCATGGTCTTCTTTTAGATACAACTTTTGGTTAGGTTCTGGCTTTCAGACCACCGACTTCACAAAAAGATATCATCCGACTTCTAAATTCTCCTCGTTTGCAAACTGAACCCCTGGTGCTTTCATGCAGGCCTGTACCAGTCAAACGGCAGAGGATGAAACAACAAATACAAATAAGTCACGTGAAACTTTTCGCAGGAACTCGGGTTTTGAGGCCTTAATGGAGTTAACATGCGGCCTGAGATCCGAAGCCAGAAACAATTCATCTGAAAACGAGTACGACTTGCAAGAGTTTCAGACAGAGTATGTGATAAAGCCATACAGCAAGGACGATGTTCACAAATATATAAAATATGATGTTTGGTCGAGTACACCGAATGGGAACAAGAAATTGGATGCTGCTTTTCGTGATTCAGATGCTAAGCGAAACTGGAGTGAAGTGTCATGTCTTTCTATTTTTCTCGGTAAGCCTTTTGCTTTCATTGCCTTCTCTTTTCATTTTCTTTTCTGACTTAATCATTAAATCATAAAAGATATCCTAATTTCTCCATTTTCTAGCTGTTAATGCTTATTACTTTAATGTTTTGCAAAGGTAGCTTTCGGACATTGTTGAAAAGACTTGAAACCATTATTAATTTGGGTACCAAATAAAATAATATGGAAGCCAGTTCTGAAGAAAATAATTGAAGTTTAAGTGTGGTAGCAAAATGTTTTTTTAAGGTGAGAAATATAATATTAAACTTTTAGAAAAATGAATGGAGGTTTTTTTTTCTTTGGGATTTTCTTTTTTTTTTTTTAAATTCCTGGCACTTTCAGCATGAAATGTAAATTTAATGTTCGTTACCTTCAGGTGAATGGTAGTGGACAGTTTGTGGGAGTTGCTGAGATGATCGGGAAGGTTGATTTTAGCAAGAATATGGACTTTTGGCAGCTTGACAAGTGAAACGGGGTTTTCCCCATTACGTGGCACATAATTAAGGATGTGCCGATCACCCTATTGCGACACATTATACTTGAGAACAATGAAAAATAGGCCTGTCACCTATAGCAGGGATACACAGGTGGCAATTCCTTTTCCCAGTTAAATGGCTTCATGTTTTCTTGTTACCTGTTATAATATGTGATAATGAAGTAGCGTACTCCTTATACTGTCCACTCATCTCACTTTTCCCATGCCAAGTTTGACAATACAATTTAAAATAATAAATAAATATCATTACTAAACAACATACTTTTCATCCAATCATACATTTCTAACTACCACTTGTCATGTTCTTATTTTTACATCACATCATTTTTTATTTTTACATCACATCATTTTTAAACATTAGGTTTCCATCTTATCATCAGTCATATTTTCAAATTACTTCTTTTCCCCGCATCTTTTTTTTTATCCACTGGTGAAATCAACTTTCCAACAAAATATATCTAATCGGACTTAGTTTCTTTACTGCAATTTCATTGGTTTTTACTTTCTTATTGGCAGTTCCTTTGGCAATAATCTTTGCTTTGGCTTCCTAGACTTCCTAGATTTTTTTTTTTAGATTAATTTTCAGAAAACAATGTGATTTGTTGTGTCTATTTTATGATTAGACAGCCATGCCAGAACCACGCATAATAGTCTCTAATAGAACTTACTTTTTATACTAAATTGGAGTCTATTTCTGTTATGAACCAATATGATTTGTATTTTTTTGTATGAGTTTTCTGTATTTTTTTGTTTTTTGTAAATAGAGAGTTGGTGAGGGAGATAGATACAGATAGAGGGAGATGAAGAAAAGAGCACGTGAGGGAGAGAATATTGAAGAGAGAGAGAATATTAGAGAGTAGAATTTTGTGATGTAATTTCTTTTTTTTTTTCTTCTTTTTTTTCCCACATTACACATACTTATAGAATTTCCTTACAAAAGCCCAACAATATTAACCTACTAATATAAAAGCTAAAACCCAAGCCCAAGCCCATTACCAATCATAACATAAATTAATATAAAATAACTAAGTAAAATATTAATCTAATTCTATATCGGGTACATGACAATACTTCCTTCTCGAAAGAGTCTCGTCCCCGAGACTCATATGTTTGAAAATAGCATTGCATCCAAAAAACTCGACATTCCGTGAAGCGCACGAGAAGAACGTCTACGACCCAAGTTATGAAGCCTATTAAATTGCCCAATTGAAGCCAAAACCAATTGTGATTGGGCCCAGTCCCGATCCATCTTGGCTGCACTTGAAATGAACCAATCCATCTTGCCCATAGAACATCAAACTTACCAGCCCAAAGTTTAAAACTCATCAAATTGAATGACCAAGCCCGCAAGATCCCACTCCAAATCGATAAGGCCAATGGGCTCCGTCCAAATACCAGAAAATGAGCCACAATCCAATAAAATAAGTGATATTGGTCGATAAATATTGTCAGCCCAGTTCCCAACTCCTTTTCGACTTCCAGAATCATCCACGGCCGCAGAAATAATTCTCGACCCTTCAAAATCCGGCGCCGGTGACCTTCGCGTTTTAGCGATCCGGCAAGAGCAATCGACCGGCCGCCATTTTTTTGGAAGCCGGCGAGACCAAGCTTCTAACCGACCGCCGTGTTTCTGGGCTCCTCCGTGGCTGCGAACCTCTTTCATGATTTCAGTTTGAATTCCCGATCCACCACCGCGTTTCCACATCCGGCAAGAACGCCTGCCGCTATTGTGAATTTGATGGATCTTAGCCTTTTCCCGACAGCCGTTTTGGTTCTTCTCGTAACCGCGAGGCCGGCAGGTCTGACGGCGAATCCCTTACCTTTTTCGTTCGTCGCTGCTGCAACTCCGACGAGGAAGGACCAGCTCCGCTCCTTCGTGGTTCTTCGTGAGTAAGATCTACAGCTATCGACACGTTTCGGAGACCGGCGACACCAAGCCTCTTCGAGGCCGTCGTCCCTTGCCTTCTCCACACAGCCCTCGTCTCGTGCTCGTCTTCCACGATCTATCACGAAGGACGTCCATCTCAACGTTACCGTCTTCTCTTGGCCCTGTTCCTGTACCAGTACACCTTCACCATCTCCAGTAAGGTCGAGCACTTCGTCGGTCTCCCCATTTGTTGATTTTCGGTTATCCACTGCAGCCAGATATAAAATCTCAACAGATTCATCGATTTGTGGTACTGTTTGCATCGGTGAGAATATTTTTGTGTGACTTTCTTGAAAATTTTGAGGGGGTTCTGGGTTGCTGGGGGATTTCATCTCAGGGGTAGTGAAAGCTTCAGAAATAGGATTCGGTTGGGCTATTGTTTTCGGCCGTGTATGCTCGGTAACAGCAACACATATTGGCTCTTGTTTTGACTCTCCATAAAAAATTTTCAACGAGGCCTCATACTGGGTGATTTGAGGTTCAATCTCTTTTTCAGAGACTCCGTTTGTGTTTTTGATCAACACGCCCTCACCTTCAATATTTTTCAACAAAATATATCTAATCGGACTTAGTTTCTTTACTGCAATTTCATTGGTTTTTACTTTCTTATTGGCAGTTCCTTTGGCAATAATCTTTGCTTTGGCTTCCTAGACTTCCTAGATTTTTTTTTTTTAGATTAATTTTCAGAAAACAATGTGATTTGTTGTGTCTATTTTATGATTAGACAGCCATGCCAGAACCACACATCATAGTCTCTAATAGAACTTACTTTTTATACTAAATTGGAGTCTATTTCCATCTGTTCAATTAGTGTAATGAGTCGAGAACAGAGGATGCTCCATCAACTGGTTTGCTATCAACAATCCCATTTCTATTGGCAAGAGAGGAGAAGTAGGTTAGTTTCCTTGCATGAGTTATATCAGCTGGAACCACTCTTCTGTGTAGAGGATTTTTAACTGGATTTGCTTCAGGTCCAACCTTGTTCTTGTTGTTCGTGGACTGGATGAGAATGTTGATGAGGAAATGCTTCGTTATGAATTTTCTAATCGTGCTCCTATTAAGGTCCAAAGTTTTCTTTTCCAACACGGTCACTTCTTATGCATCTATAGTTCTATTCATGATTTATTAATTTTTTAAATTCTTACAGGATCTGCGACTTGTCAGAGACAAATTCACACATCTGAAGAGGCTTTGCATTCGTGCATTTCTGTTCAGTAAGTTTAATATTGCTAGCCTGTTCATTCTTGATGACATAGAGGTTTCCTAATTGTGTTATGCTCAATTTTGAAGATGATTTTGTAACATCTTTTGTTAGAGGAATTGGTTACCTGTATACAAGAGTCGATTTTACATTATTTAATCTATGATAGTAGTTGCAAAGTCCAGTGACAACACTTTTGCCAGAAAGGAGTATTTGAAGTTTTAGGCATTTATATGTATAACAACTTTCGAGTTGAGCCGTATGTTCTTTATTCACTGATCAACTGTAACATGCCCGGGTTCATATGCAGTACGAGTAAGCTTAACTTATTAACTAAGGATTGATTGGTAACTATTCTGTAGGAGAGTGTGTTTCTCTCTAATTTGCAAAATGTTTTGGAGGTGTCAGCTGAGTTAGATGCTGAAACGAAGTGCTTAAGCAAGTTATGCAAGCAAGATGCTGCCGCTTAAGAATTAATTCATTATCTTATGTTCCTTTCACCATTTTGATTTAATAGCCGATAACTTCTTTATTCAGTGGTCTGGTATTAGTAAATTAGGCTCATATTTTGTTGAGCTACCATCCTATGATTATCTATTGTTCGTTTCACCATTCAGTGGTCTTGCTGCATTCAATGGGCTAGATAGGGAATTCTGATAATTAGAATCGAGAAAATAGAAAAAGAAGTACTTATAGCGAAGGAACGAATCAACTGTAAAGCAATTACTAGAAATTAAATATTGGTTAAATCTCATGAGCATCTAGTTCTACCAAAAGGAATGACCTTTGTTCCTTGGTGGATTAACTAGAAACATTTCTACTTTCCCCGTGAGTGGAAGTTGCTTTTGTTGTTTATGATTTTAAAATAATTTATATTGAACTAGTACCCTGGATAACTTTCTAGTTGCAAGTTTAACTTGATTACAAGATCTCAAGTCTGATTAGTCCTGTTTCTTTCTTCTTCTTTTTTTTTTTCAGAGCAACTCTGTCTGCACTACGAATTATGACGTTTTTTACCTTTTTACCCAAAGGCCTTTTTGAGCTGGTAAGTTTTTCGTTGTTCTGCTTGCTGATAGTGAAGGTAGTTATTGAATTTCAGCGATGATATGAAAATCATGTTTTCTATGCTTTGTGAACATGAAATATATATTCCGTTGGTTTGTGGTCTTTTGCCCACCAGATTTTCCCCCCAATATGACCTGATTTTTCGATTTTTGTTTTTTAATTTATGCTGACAGTTAAGGTGGGTGGCCAACCTCTATTTTCTGATTAGGTGAGCTTTAGAATATGCCTGACGAAGGGTATGATTAGGTGAGCTTTATTTCTGCTTAGCGGGGAGAAAACAAGTAAAAAAGCTCCCAAACAGATTTTCTTATAGATCTGAATCATACTTCATGGATTTTCTTTCTTGGATTTAGGAGTTGACTCAATTACATCGACCCTTGGGTGGTAGGTGTATGCTAATATCAATTACATCGACCCTTGGCCGGTGTGGAGACGTCTCAGTTTTTGGGCTGAGTCATAAATTGTAAGTGCCAACTCATACCTAACATTTTCCCAACTTTTATTTCATTGTGCAATATCAATGTTTGGAGATTGAGGTGGATTGCATGTATATGTATCTTTTAAATGTCATATGCACGAGACGAGTTGTATATATATTTTTTTTAACTCTTATAAATTTGTACAGGTAGATTTTTTTTCCCCAACATTAAACTCTCTGATTTAGATGGATTTTCTCTTTAATTGTTTAATTGTCATATCTGGTGAGTATTGTAACCTTCTTGGCCCACCCTTGAGTAGATATCCATGGTTTCTGAATTTGGTTTTTTAATTTATTGTGTTTTATTTATACACTTCTTGGTCAAGATTAATCAGTATTATTTTAGGTCAAATTCTACTAGATTTATGGGCTTTTTAGTCTTTGAATTAAAGTAAGATATTTATGGGCTTTTAAGCCCAAAGTTCACCCCTGGCCCAACCTTTTAAAAAAACCTAATTTTGAAAAAAATCTCATGAAGAACAAAAAAGGCGCTGTCTTTGTTCCCTTCTAAGTTCTAACCCAAATTCATACCTTTAATTCTCCCAAATTCCCATATGGGTGCGCCGAAATATTGCCTAAAAAAATGGGGTTTGTCGTAGTATAATGCAAAAGCTTGTGGACGTTGAGAAAAATGGTGGCCAAGATAAATCCTTCTCTTGTTTTTCCCTTTCTTCAAATTTTCAAAGAAGGGCAAGCCTAAAGGTGTGTTTTTTCTTTTTTTCTTTTTGGGTAAATTGGGATTGTTTTTACCACTGGCGGATCAAGCCTAGTTTGTTGGGGTCACAGGCCCACAACAAACTGAAGATGCTAAAGAACAATTCATGCCAGAGGAGGGCCGAGATGGTGAATTGGGGGAAGGGATTAGGGCCATAGTATCGTGGGCCCCCATTACATAAATGTCCTGGATCCGCCGTTGGTCTTTACCTGTTTGTTGGTTTTCTTGAGCAGAAGTTGTAGGATAGTCATGTTTCTCTTTGTGAATATTGAGGTAAATATATGTGAGTCACCAATTTTATTACATCTTTTTGTGATTTCAAATTAAGCAATCTAGGTATAGGAGGAATGATTGTAGTGGCTATTCTGATCGACTTGGAGATTTTGTTAATTGTTTCAAAAGTTTGTGAATTGTATATATATTTTAAATGGCATTGAGGGAGCACGTGTACTGTTGCATATGAGTGTCAAATCCAAACCGGAACATAGAGTTCTTTACATGTTAGCTTTGAGAGTTACTCATGCTTATAGATGTTTGTTTTGCTCGACATTGTACGAATTTCACCTAGTCGAACCTTTGTTTCTAATTTCTATGTTAGTTTCTTTTGTTTATGGCTCCAAGAATTCTATCCAACATTATTCATCGATGATTCTTTACAAATATCACAATCTAGCTGTTTGGTATTGGGTTTCAGTTGACCTCAAGATTAGGATGGTTCGACAAACGACAATTAAAGAAAAGCTCGGAGTACATCAAAGGTATCTTTCTTAATCTCTTGAAATTATTCCAATCATGTTAACGAGATGGGATCCTTTTCGACACTTTCTGTGGTATGAACTCTGTAATTAGCTTGGACGAACATTTATCAAGCATTATGATGCTTTTTAGGCATATTTTACAGTGATTACTCATTGAGCTTGCTTATTCACGCATCGCTACTGTTTTAAATTGACTTATTTTTTCTATGTTTTTTTTACTAATGCCTTGATTGGTAGGAAGGAATGACATGGAATGATCATTCCTTACTCATTCCTTTTCCCACTATTGTTATATTTTTTTGGGAAATAATGACCATTGGAAACCTATCTCCATGGGATTAGTCATTTCATACTAAATGGAAGGTTTTCTCATTCCCATCATGTGTGAAGGAATCTATATTACTTTTAAAATATTTTATTAAAAATATATTATTGAAAAATAGTAAAAATATATATTATTAAAAATATATTACTTTATTTTTAAATATTATTAAAAGTATATTATTAAAAAAATTCAAATAAAAAACTTACTTTTATTTACTGTTTAATTAAAAGTAAAATATATATATTATTAAAATATATTACTTTTTATTTTTAATTAAAAAATAAAATATATATATTATTAAAATATATTAATTTTTATTTTAAATATTATTAAAATATAATATTTTTTATATATTAAAAATATATTACTTTGAAGAATATATTATTTTTATATATAATTTAAAAGTATATTATTTTATTTTTATATAAGTATTAAAAATATATTATTTTTTATATTATTAAACAATATATTATTCTCTTTTTATATATTATTCAAAATATATTAGTAAAAATATATTATTTTATTTTTATATATTATTAAATAAACATTTATATATAATTTATTAAAAGTATATTATTTTTTAAATTTTTTTTTTATTTATTTTTATAATAAAAGATGATAATGTCATTCCATTCAAGTCCTATTCCTTCTGCATACCAAACGCATCAATGACAAAACATGTTTCATTCTATTTTCATAATCATTCCATTCTTCACTTCATTCTATTCCATTCCATCATATCAATCATGCCATAATTGTTTCTAAGTGACACACTTCCAGTCCAATGTTTTTATTTTTTCTCCATTTCGTGCTAGATATCAAGCCGTGCCAGCTTATGCATGGCAAACCAACAGTACTAAGTATCTTATCAAGGAGGAGATTCATTCTCTTTGCCATCTACGAGGATGAACACATATAGTGAACTAGTAGAAGAATCAGATGATTTTGAACTGGAAGAGGAGGGTTCTCTTGTTGAAAATAACACCTTAGGAAATATTTCCTTTGATCACGCTGAACAAGCTCGATGAAAACCAGGGATCATTTCGTTTTACGGATCCACAATGAAAATAGAAGAACAAGTTCATGTTGCCGTATCGAAAATAGCATGTTGTGGATGTACACGTACAACGGGGAACTGCAAAAGACAACGAAGCAGGTAAAAAATAATTCATATTGGGGTGGAATATAAAAAGGTTAATTTTGATACTTTATTAAGGAGTGAAAGGGCTTAAAAGAACTAATACTCACAAACCTAGGGGAATATATCAAGGAGGTCGAAGTCCTCTAACTTCGCCTAGTTGCTCCCAAAACATGGCTAGGATGGACAACTCAATAGCCTCATCATTTAAAGCCACATTGATATTTATGCGCTGCACAATAGAAAAATGTCAAAATATTTCATAAAATTTAGTTTAATTTAACAAGTGGTTTCGAGGTTACCTTACGCATGTGTGTTGTTAAGTGGGCTGCCAGATTCCGTATGAGTCGAATCAACGAACGATTGATTACATCATCAGATTTATGTCCACGACATCCACGTACATATTCGGTATGTGTCAGAAACAATCTGTAATTGCCCCATAACTCTTAGAAGTATTTTGTCTGAATTTTCCAGCTCAGCCTCTACAATTGTCCATTCCGTGGATAACATCATTATCATATACACGACACAGACACTTTTTGGCAATTTTTCTTTCTCATTTCTCATAAAAGCAAGTCGAGTAGAGAAATTCATGATTGGCAAGTGTTTTAGTAAGTGTTCTTCTTAACAAAAGGCTACACAAATTACATTGTCAAATCTTAATAGCATAAAAAGCCCAAGGTACAAATTTTATTTTATTCCGGAATGACAAATAGAGTAACCTGTTCACTTTCTTCAACGTGTCTAAAAAGCTGTTAAGAATTCGAGGACAATCATATCCATGATATATATCTTTTCTTATAACATTTTCAAGATTTTTCAAATCCCTTCTCCCATTTTTCGTGACGGGTCGAAACTTAAATTTGTAGAAGTTGACAATTCCGTTCTTTATAACTAGGTTTTTCACTGAATTTAAGGAAAGACAATTTTTATTTTTATTATGCAGCTCAACAATACCTTCAACAAGATTTCTAATGATCCTCTTGTACTCCCTTGGAGTATATTTGAATTCCACGGTTGTGTAGAGGGAATTGTAAAAGTCATGTTCGATAATATTCCACTTTTAATCAATTGCTTAACATGATCTTTGACTGTGCAGTCGAAGTTCTCGTACAAGACAGATTTCTTGTCGGCGTCATAAAACTTCAGAGCAAATATTTGCCCTTATGGTGTAAGGGATTAATTTTGAGTCCTTAGTTCCCTTCACTAAAGGAACCATTAGTATGTTCGTATTTGATTCGATCAACTCTCCATTTCTTGTGTTATCATCAAATCGGTATTTTAATTTCGCAGTTAACACATTCGAATTATCTCAAGATTGATGAATAAGTATATAGGTTCGATAGAAACATAAAGTTTTCTTTAGATGGATCCGGATGTGTTAACTGTGAAAGTGAAATACCGATTTGATGATAACACAAGAAATGGAGAGTTGATCGAATCAATACGGACACACTGGTGGTTCCTTTAGTGAAAGGACATGAGGACCCACAATTGTATCCCCTTACACCACTACACCACAACAAATATTTGCTCTGTGGGAAGTTTTATGACGCTGACAGAAAATATGTCCTGTACGAGAACTTCGACTGCACCCTCTGCACAACCGGTGGAATTCAAATATACTCCAAGGGAGTACAAGAGGATCACTAGGGATCTTGTTGAGGTACATAATAAAAATAAGAAATGTCTTTTATTAAATTCAGTGAAAAATCTAGTTATTAAGAACGGGGTTGTCAACTTCTACAAATTTATGTTTCGGCCCGTCACGAGAGAAAGGTGAAACGGGATTTGAAAAATCTTGAAAGTGTTATAAGATAAGATATATATCATGGATATGATTGTCCTGGAATTCATAACAGCTTTTTGGACAAGATGAAGAAAGTGAACAAGTAACTATTTGTCATTGAATAGAATAAAATTTGTACCTTGAGTTCTTTATGCTGTTAAGATTTAACCATGTAATTTGTGTAGCCCTGCTCAAAAGAACACTTGCTAAAGCACTTGGCAATCATGGATTCCTCTATTCGACTTGCTTTTATGAGGAAAGAGAAGTTTCATGACTTACTTTGCCAAAAAGTGTCGTGTATATGATAATGATGTTATCCACGGAATGGGCAATTGTAGAGCTGGGCTGGAAAATTCAGACAAGATACTTCTAGAAGTTATGAGGCAATTACTGATTGTTTCTGACACATACTGAATCATTACGCAGATGTCGTGGACATAAATCACAGTGATGTAATCAATTGTTCGTTGATTCGATTCATACGGAATCTGACAACCCACTTAAGGGCATACATGTGTCAAGTAACCCCGAACCAATTTATTAAATTTTGCATTAAACTAAATTTTATGAAATATTTTGACATTTTTTAACTGTGCAGTGCATAAATATCAATGTAGCTTTAACTGATGAGGCTATTGAGTTGTCCATCCTAGACATGTTTTGGGAGCAACTGTTGAAATTCCCATTTCAACATGCGAAGTTAGAGGACTTTGACCTCCTTGATATATTCACCTGTTAGTATTAGTTCTTTAAAAACTCTCTCTCTATGGGCACTGTGTCTTTCTCTAGGCTCCCTTTTGCTCCTTGTTGATGAAGTATCAAAATTAACCTTTTTATATTCCACACCAATATGAATTGTCTTTTATCAAAATCAACAACATCCTAGCTAGGAGAAAAGAGAAGGATTTTCAAGAATGGTTGAAGGATTTTCTTTTCAACTTTTTTTGTGAAATATTTTGAGTCACATATGATGATCCCCCTTTTTGAACTGGGTATGTTGTTGTTCTTGTTGTATATATTTGGTTGATTAAAGAGGTTGTTTCATTTTGCGCTGTTATGAGTTTGTTTCATAATAGATTTTATTAGGGATTTGGTTTGTAACATTCAGATACATTGCTATTTGTAGGTTAAATGTAGACTGTTTTCAAATATATTGTATTTTCACTACATCAATTATGAGGTTATGCAAAACCTTATATACCAACATTGCTAATTGAAAATATGAAATTGTAGAATTTTGACTTTCCCTTTGTGAAAATTTAATGGTTTGCACGAGTTGATGTAATGCAAAACAAGGTCTATTTAAAATAAGTAGTATATTAATTAATTTATTAAATACTAAATTAAAATCGAAATAAAAAATGTAAAAATCTATAAGTAAAGTTCATTTTGATATATTGTACCTAGTAGACCAAACATACTAATATGAAGAAGTTAACTACATTTGCGTATGAATTAGTCATTGCTAAAATGGACTAATGATTATTTCAAAAATCTTGAAAACGTTATAAGAACGGATATATATCATGGATATGAGTGTCCTAATCTTCTTATCAGCTTTATGAACAAGATGATGACATTGAACAGGTAGCTCGATTTGTCTTGAATAAAATAAATTTGGTACTTTTATTTTTTTTTATGTTAACTGGATTTAACTCATTTTTTAAACTTTTGTATTTTTGTATATTTGTGTAGCCTTGACGAAGAAAAACAATTGGTGAAGCATTTGGCGATTATGGATTCCCTGCTCGCCTGGGGTTTTTCAGGGTGGGAAAGTGGCAAAAAGCATGTTGTGTATAATTCAATTATGACGAGAATGGGTGCTTGTGGAGGATGGGCAAAGCGATTTAGAAACGATAGTTCTAGGATCTCTTACTGATTACTGACACAGATCAGTACGTGGACATGAATCGCACGGATGTGGTAATGAATCCTTCTTTGTAAGGAATTTGATGGCCTACTTACGAGCACATATGAGTAACGTAACATGAAACCCCTTATTAAATTTTGCATAAAACTAAAAATTATGAAATATTTTGACATTTTTTAGTATTGTGCAATGGATACCCAACCATGAGGATTTAAATGATGAGTTTATTGGGTTGTCCATCCTAGCCATGTTTGAGAAGCAGTTGTTGAAATTCTAGGCGAAGTTAGAGGAGTTCGACCTCTTTGAATTATTCACATAGATTTGTAAAATACATTTAATATTTTGGATAAAGTTTGTTTAGGAAGTTCAAATTCTGCATTTTGTTCTTCCTAAATTTTTCCCCTTTCTTTTTAAGTTTGTGTAGTAACTTTAATTTTCTGCCATTGATGTCTGGGTGTATGTTTGGTAACATCTATGAAGTTGCTGCCAAAGTATTTTTAGCAAACATATATTTTTTATGCCTTGAGTGAATATATTTTCTTTATCTATTGAATCATCTTGAATTAAGTTTTAACTCTTCATGTCATATTTCTAAGATGTGAGATATCTACTATTGTTAATGAACTTTTTAAATTTAATGTATGGATACCCTCAGTTTACCCAATTTCTTTGATGATTATGTGTAATCATTGCTATTAACAGACATGCATATTTGTGTAGGTATGCAAGAGCCGAATTGGATTCAAGGGGTATGCAAATGAAAGGATGGTTTAACATCTGTCTGAAATACATTAGCTGCTCTTTTTTTGGCTATCGTGTGGTATAATGGTAATATTCTCATTATTGTAGGGGATCGTGCATTTGAATGTGTCTAGTTTTGATCTCAAGAAATACAGAGAGGATTATACGAAGTTGTGGAGGGAGAAGGTCCTAGGAAGAAGTGTCTTCTCAATGTTAGCTTTGTGAAAGTTCAAGCTTGACAGAGAGTACTGTTGGCATTAGCTGTAGATGAAGCCCAGATTCTTAGAGCCATGGTGAATTTTTTTTATTTTTTATTTTTTTTATTCACTGTTTGACCAGTTGGCATGAAATAACTATGGTCTTCTATTTTTTTAAAATTTTTTGTCTTTTTGTTTGGGTTGTTTGTTTATGGGGCAAAATATATTGAATCACATATGATGAGCCCCTTTTTTGAACTGGGATTTCGCAAAACGGAGAAGCAGCATTTGTAGGGCTGTCAATCTTTGTAGACATCTTGTCCATCGTTTTTAGGGATATTTTATCTGGGCTCTCTTGTTTATGCACAATTATATTATTTATTATTTACGAGACGGTTAATCTGTGTGACAAGATTCAGGATATATCTGGGCATTCTCTTGTTTATGATTTCGTATGATGATAGATTTGATTAGGGATTGGATTTGGAACATTTCAGATACATTGCTATTTGTAGGTTAAATGTGGGTTGTTTTCAAATATGTTGTATTTTCACTACATCAATAATGAGGTTCTGCAAAATCTTAAATACCAGCATTTGCTAATTGAAAATATGAAATTGAAGAACTTTGACTTGCCCTTTGTGAAGTATTTGATTATTTGCACGAGGTGGTGTATTGCAAAACAAGCNCGGGCCGGTCTGTTGGACCGAACCGTAAGGGTCGCGGTTCGGTCCAGGGTCACTGCTTTTTTTTTTGCACCGGCGGTTTCGGTCCGGGCCGGGCCGGTTCGCGGGTCGACCGCCGGCAACTGTGTTGTAATATTTTTTATTTATTTTTTTTTAATTTTTGGCCCGCCGGGTCGATGAACCGGCGGGTCCGGGCTCAGAATCGGTCCCGGACCGCCCCTTTGTCCGGTTCGGTTCCGGGCCTCGGCCAGGCGGACCGTCGACCGGCGGGCCGGGCCGGGCTGGGCCCGGACCCATTGAATGGCCACCTCTATTTCTACTTATTGTGTTTGTAAAAAGAATGTTCATTAATCATATTATACAACACCCAAGCATTCCATAATGTACATTGGTAAGATATTGTTAGACATGTTAGAAACTCATTATTTTTCAATATATATAGATACTTAATATATTAAAAAATAATTTAAATAAAAGTACAATATTTTATAATATAGTTATTTATTTTTGTTGAAGAAGTATGAGAATTGACGCACCCACTTAATTATTAGGTGGACTCGCAAATAATTTGTTTTCATGAAATTACTAATATAGTTTATTATTTCTGGGGATAAAAATAAAATAAAATAAAAATAGAAAAAAAATGCTTTCGTTGAGAAAAAAGGAATTTTTTAGCTGCGCTTACAGTCGATGCAGTTGCCTCTTGTTCGAGATCGTTTTAGCTCCGTCGAAGTGTAAACATTAAAAGGGCAAGAAAAAAATCTCATGAAGAACAAAAAAGGCGCTGTCTTTGTTCGCTTCTAAGTTCTAACCCAAATTCATACCTTTAATTCTCCCAAATCCCATATGGGTGCGCCGTAATATTGCCTTAAAAAAATGGGTTTTGTCGTAGTATAATGCAAAAGCTTGTGGAAGTTGAGGAAAATGGCGGCCAAGATAAATCCTTGCTTCTCTTGTTTTTCACTTTCATCAAATTTTCAAAGAAGGGCAAGGCTGAAGGTGCGTTTTTTCTTTCTTGTTTCGGTAAATTGGGGTTGTCTTTACTTGTTTGTTGGTTTTTTCGAGCAGAAGTTGTAGGATAGTCGTGTTTCTCTTTGTGAATATTGAGGTTATTATATAAGAGTTAGCAATTTTATTACATCTTTTTGTGATTTCAAATTCAGTAATCTGGTATAAGAGGAATGATTGTAGTGGCTATTCTGTTCTGCGTGGAGTTTTTGTTAATTGTTTCCAAAGTTCTGTTCTTCCTGGAGTTTTTGTTAATTGTTTCCAAAGTTTGCTTTTTTTATGTATATGTATTCTAAATGGCACCGATGGAACTCGTGTAGTGTTGCATACAGATGTTTGTTTTACACAACATTGTGCCAATTTCACCTAATCGAACCTTTGTTTCTAATTTCTACGTTTGTTTGTTTCGTTTATTGCTCCAAGAATTCTCTCCAACATTATTCATAGATTGTTCTTTACAATTTTCATACTTTAGGTGTTTTGTATTGGGTTTCAGTTGAGCTCAAGATTAGGATGGTTTGACAAACGACAATTAAAAGAAAGCTCCGAGTACATCAAAGGTATCTTTCTTAATCTCTTGAAATTATTTCAATCATGTTAACACGATGGATTTTTTTCGATACTTTCTGCAGTATGAACTCTGTAATTAGCTTGGACGAACATTTATCAAGGATTATGGTGCTTTTTAGGCATATCTTACAGTGATTACTCATTGAGCTTGCTTATTCACACATCGCTACTCTTTTGAAATCGACTTATTTTTTGTATGTTTTCTTTGACTGAATGTGTTTCGATCAAGGACCCTCGTGACAGTTCAGGTTTTTATTTTTTCTCCATTTTGTGTTAGATGTCATCAAGCCTTGCCAGCTTATGCATGGTAGACCAACAGTACTAAATACCTTATCAAAGAGGAGATTCATTCTGTTTGCAACCTCTGAGGATGAACAGTCATTCAGTGAACTAGAAGAACCAGATGATTTTGAGCCGGAAGAGGAGGGTTCTCTTGCTGAAAATAACACCTTCGGAAATATTTCATTTGATCACGCTGAACAAGCTCGGGGAAAACCAGGGATCATTTCGTTTTATGAATCCACAATGAAAATAGAAGAACAAGTTCCTGTTACGAGTCAGAACAACAAACTGTTGTGGCTCGTAGGTCCCACTGTTCTTGTTGCGTCGTTTGTTTTCCCGTCACTTTATTTGCGGAGAATACTCTCTTCGATATTCGAAGATTCTTTAGTAACTGGTAAGAAAACATTATGCTATAAGGTTCTATAAATTGTGCTCGGTTTATTTTGTTACATTTTTTGTTCCTAGTCAACATGTCCATTGATTGAACTCTGCTATTGCCGGACTTTACAGACAAGAATGTTAATGGCGTGCTTGGATACAAATACATGAGCTCAAAATGAGTTTTCGGTTAACTAGGGTTAATTTTGAAAAGGTTGGTATGGTTAGTTCTTAGTGGAATTTTGAGTTTATGTTAAAATAATATTTAGAATAAAATAATTAAAGTTGATGTGATGTAAAAGTAGGAGAGAGATTATGTGAAGTGACGGTTAGTTAAAATTATGTGACTGAATGAATAGTGAATTAAAATTGATGTAATGTGTAGAATGATTATTTGGTATTATATTTAATTATATTGATAAAATTGAGGATAGTGGAGTTGTTTTAAAATTGAGTTAGATTTCAAGTTTGAATTGAGTATGAATTGGAAAAATTTATAAACAAACGCCGCCTAAGATTCACACAAGTGCATTATATAAGCTTTTCGTTGGACATTTGCCAGAAATTTGAATCATTACGTTTTATCAATTTTGGAATAGATTGTGAAATCTATGGTCTTCAGCTAAAGAGAACATTTGAGATACTTTTCTAATAAAGTTGATGGAAAGATATAAATTACTAATTCTAGAAATTTCGGTTATCTGTTTTTATTTTTATGATGATTTTTATGAAGTGGTATTCATGCAATCTTGTTCGTGCAGACTTTCTAATACTGTTCTTCACGGAAGCCCTTTTCTACTGTGGAGTTTCTGTTTTTCTCCTCCTGATCGACCGTTTGAACCGACCTAAGAAAAAGCCAAAACATGCAGAAATAAGCCGAGACATTGTCCCTCACATGGGGTACCGAGTCTCTTCTGTTGCTGTTTTGGTTCTCAGCATTATAATCCCAACCATGACAATGGGTTTTGTTTGGCCGTGGACTGGACCAGCGGCTTCTGCTACTCTAGCACCCTACCTTGTTGGCATCGTTGTTCAATTTGCGTTCGAGCAGTATGCAAAATATGTCGATTCGCCATCATGGCCCGCCATTCCCATTGTCTTCCAAGTAAAGCACTTTTTTTTTCTTTTTCTTTTATAAAGAAATATAATTTTCTTGAATCCTTTCAATTGCTGATGATAGGTATTTAACTAGGAAGGATTATGGAGTTGATCAATTTAGTTTTTTCAAAAAAATATAATTGCATAAATTACTATACTGCCTCCAAGATTCGGTTATAATTCCAAAATTAAACAAACCCCCCTTGAGGTTGTACTTTAAACAAATAAACTCCTTATGAGTGCACTCTGTAAAATAAAAACAAAGTTGGGTCTTTTTTGTGATTATGCTAAACATCAGGGATATCTTCTGTTTATACTTTACACCTGTTTAAGAGAGTACAGTTTTTTCCGACAAACAAGACAGTTCTGTTTATTCCTTTTGCATTAATATTAGTACAATCAGCCATTCCAGCCCAAATTTATTCAAGGGGTCTCCTATAAATCTCTAATTGCAATTTATATTCCTTAAAATGCGCAGATTTACAGGCTGCATCAATTGAACAGGGCAGCACAACTAGTTACGGCTCTATCTTTCACCGTGAGAGGAGCTGAGATGACCCCACACAATGTGGCCATAAATGGGTCTTTGAGCACTCTTCTAAACGTACTTCAATTTCTTGGAATAATATCCATTTGGTCACTCTCGAGTTTCGTCATGAAATATTTGCCGCCCGCCACCAATTATCAATAGAATGGTCAGACTCTGAAAAAATGATGGTAACTGTTTTTTCTTTTTTTTTTTTTTNTTTCATTATCTAGTGGTTAAAATTGAGGCACTTGAAACTTGAAAGAAGTTATATTTCTTGTGGTTTATCTTGCGAGTTTTGAACGGACGAGGGAAACAATCGCATTTTGGTGTACTTATGAATAATAACAGCTTGTTTTCAACTGAGGAGCAATAGAACTACTTCTTGGTAGAGTTCATAAATCATAACCACTCCCTTAAGAGTACTTGAAGTTTAACTGGCTCGTGATAAGTTGACGAGCATTAGGTGGAACAACTGCTGGGAGTTGGTTATGATTATGAAAGCTTCTTTTGTTTATGACTTTTACAACATGATGTCAACTTGTGATGAAACTATCAGAAAAATTTGGTTTTTTTTGAGTGTCTTGATGTGAATAATTGATACAACATTGAAGTTAACCTTGAGGTTTGAGGTATTTTAGAATGATCAATCTAAATTTGGAAATTACAATAGAATGACAATGGGATTATATCTTCCCTATCTCGTCTCTAATACTAAGAGTGTGCTTGGTAAGCATAATAAGCTAGCTTATAATTTATTTGGTTGGCTTATAGGTTTTCTTATGCAAATAAGCTTGGTTTAGTAGGACAAATTTCTTTAAAAATCTCGAGCTTATTTCATAAGTTTCATTAGCCAAACTTGAGCTCGAGTATGAGGAACACGAGCTTGGCGTGTGGCTCATTTACACCTCTTGCTCTTTATCATCCTACAAAATTGCCTTTGTGATTAATATGGTAAAAAATGTAGAGTAGAAATAAACTTCTTATAATGATTATTACATTGCATTTGATAATTGTAATTGTTTTCTATATTTCCTATATTTATTTATTTCATTCATCACTTTTTTAAACAGTTCAAGGACAGTTATTATTTAATGCTAAATTCGAATGTTTTTATCATTACTATCAATGATTTTATCCATATATATTCCTTTCTTGAATCACCAATAATGTACCTTCTCCTTTGGATTCATCTTAATTTTAATTTTAATGTCATTTCCTAAAGTCAAATCTCAATTATTCCCTTTATTTTGCCTTCTTAATTTGGGAGTTGGTGACTAAATTCTGTCTTTACTCTTCTTGTTTTTCTACAATGGAACATTCGATGTGGGAGTTAGGTTTAGGGTTTGCAAATGGATTCTAAAGAATTTCATCAGCATATATTTTATTTATTTTAATAATATATCAGAATATGCATGTCGCTTTCGAATTTTTTGTCCACTAAACAGTAAAATTTCAAACCATTATTTATGGCCCATCTCACAACTTCCCAAAATTCACAAACTTACAACATTCTTTTTTATTTAATTGAACTGCATATCATATTATATTACCTTTTCATTATTACTTTTTTAATTTATTACACTATTTTTTATTAAATGTTTTTTAAGAGTGATCTAATCGTTAGGATGATCGATTAATCATACAATTTTTTTTAACAAAAATATATACTTATTTTTTGTTTTTGTTGTTTTTAAAGTATGAAATTAGTAATTAGCATAGTCGATTAAAAAATTATAATGTCTCATTATACCTGTTTAATAGCAGCCTTATTGTTTCGTTCAACTTATTATACCATTGAAATTTCGTCAAGATCAGATCATCAAATCTTTGAACACTATATTTTTCGATGGAACCCCGCCCCACCAAAGTAAAAACATTTTCTTCGCCAACCTCTAAATAAATAAAACATAAATAAGAAAACGAGTTTTAATGGAAAAGAAGCAAAATCCTTTTCGATCTTTTACACATCTTAATTAGACATTTTTTTTTACTAAACCACCAATTAAGGACATGTTGCGTGGTTATATGATGTTTTAGAAAAAAATGTTACCCTAATCATTATGCAGTGCATGCTTCAAAAAGTAATTTTAAAAATATAATTATATCTTGTAAAAGACAAGGATATTTGATTAAATTAATGATTAATTGAACAAATATTGTCATGCTAGTGTTGAAAATATTATTTCAACCATATAATATTTCTTGATATGAGGATATTTACCATAATTCCACCAATAGAGTAAGTGTGTCGCATAAGGCTTGTATATTCACGTTTCGTAATTACATTCAAATATATTATCCATAAATTTTTATTCAAAAAAGGTTATATTCGATAATAAAAATAATTATTTATACACCAATTTCCAAGAGTAACAGCTGTTTTCAAGCTTTGAAGCAAAGGTAGGATGGATAAAACATAATAATTTTTAATTTTTAATTCCTGAATTTGAAAATTTGGATAAATTTAGGGTCAACATGCAGATTCTCTCAAAGACTGTTTTGTAATTAATTATTTTTTTTTCTCTTAAATTCTTTATTAGTTCAATTATGTACCAAATGATCGAGCTAAAAGCACGTTTACGCTGACAATTAGAATTATTAATTAATCAAACAAAGATGGGATTTGCATAGCTAAGCAAAATATTGGTACCTAATTCCCCGACCAAATGCTAAACATTAAAACTCATCATAGTTCATAGACGAACTTGAAAATGCTAAATTGTAACTATAAATGGTTTTGCTAGCTCAAGATTTCTGGTCCCAATTTTCAAGTTGCATGAAAAAGTTGACAAACTTATGAAACTCTAAATTATAGCTCTTTTTTCTTTATATATACAATATATTTAAAATTTTCAATTTCAGTATTTGTGAAGATTTTAATTTCTTCCTTTTTTTTTTCTTNTGTCTCTTACAGTTCAGTTACTTACAAAAATCCATTTTTTTTTTCATTTTCTAGTATTTTATTAAACAAAAAATTTTGTTTTACAGGACTGAAAGAAATGGAATAGATCAATCAATCTTATCCCAAATATTGATAGGGCAAACACTTGGATTACTTGTACATTCTAATCTCAATAAGTGGTTGTCTCAACATAGACAATGGACTATACTAAAGCAACAATATGTAGAATGCTTAAAAGGTACACAACAAATTGGAAAAGGCCAAGCAGCAAATTGCATGTACATTCATTGTCAAAGTTGTTACACTTCCAAGCTGACTTCTATTGTCCTCACACACTTGTCTTGTTCCAAGGATTTTCCCATAAAATATATATATATATATATAGATTTAACATAAATTCTTGTATCAGACGGTCTCACAGTTAGGCGGATCGATCGGTCATATTTTTTTCTTTTAACATAAAATGTATATTTATACGCAATAAAATGTTTGTTTATGTGCTTTTTTAGAATATGATATTTCAGTTTGAATTTTGAAAGTATGCATATATATTTATTGAAAAAATATGGTCGCTTAAACATTAAATCTGCATTACAGTATTACCTTACTGTTTATTTAGTCTCCTAAATATTTCATTAGAAACATTTAGGTCTTTGCAACATATATTGAATTATACTAAAAGAAATTTAATAAAACTAATTAATCTAGAGAAAAGAATGAAAAAAAAATGTAATTTAGAACAAATTTAGTCTTCTCCTTGATGTTTTGTTCAAAAGAACAAGTTCACATGGGTTTGGTTAGCTTTTGGTTTAGTCCTTGGCTTTTGCATGAAGAAAAGTAAGGGATTATATTAAATTTCTTAAGTGTTTTTTTTTCTTGTATTTAATTTGGAATTAGCTGGGTTGGGTTTGGTAGAGGAATTAGGAGCTTGTATGTTAATTATTAGATGATTATTTCAAACCAATTTTGAGGACATGCATTTTAGTCTCTTGGATAAACATAAGGAAGTAATTATATATATTTATTTGTGTGGGGATGGCTAAAGCCACAAATTTCTTAAGGACATGGAAGTTTTGGTTTGAAATTAATTTACTCAATGTGAGTATAGGTTTTGAATTTTATTAATTTAATTGGAGAGATTTTATTAAAAAAAATATATATATATATATATTAAAAAGTTACACCATTGATGGAGGTAATTAATTGTGATCAGGTGCGAGTTGTAGAACAAATTAAAGCACAAAGGTCAAATTGATATCTGTAATATGTCAATCCAAATTTGTTATTTTTTGACTTGATGATTGATTTTGATATCTCATATATAATTCACTGGCATATGAAGTAATTAAATTCTCTATAAGATAGCAAGCAATAAAAGTGCATGAAAATTATTAACAATCATTTTCACAGCTACATAATATTTGATTCAATGGTTTTCGTGACCTGAAAAATTATTAATAATCCTTTCACAGTTGCATATTATTCTTTAGAGCGTACACAATTTAAGAAAAGAAAGTGTTTAAAGAGAATGATGTCCGCCTAAGGTTAATCATCATAAAATGAAATAAAAAAAATAAAAAATTGATGTTATATATAAATGTTTTATGATTAATTCTGATACTAATTAAGCTCGCGCTAGCGCTTAGCCTTTATTGAGCCCAGACCTTAATGAGTTTATAAACAAGTTCAAGCTCAGCTCGTTTATTACTAATAGGGAGCCGAATTAAGGTAAATATTCATAAAATTACAAAAACATTCATTCGAATCTTAAAGAATCCTCACAAACTAAACGAGCTTTAAATGATTTCGACTCATTAATCAAACAGACTTATTTCTCTTAGTAGCTCTAAAGATATATAAGCTGCAAAAAAATATGCGGATACAATTGGAATAAAAAATAAGAATCGACTAATAGTATAGTTTTGGGAAAAGAAATTAATCCTCCACAAATTGTGTTCGGATCATTTGGATTAATGGTCTAAAGTAATGTGATAAAAAGTTAATCCTACTTTACTGGCTATATTTACAATAATCTTAACAAGACAATGACATAATGGATTCACACCCAATCAAGTTGAATCAATCGCCAAATTTTCGTATGACCTCATCTCTAAGAAAAAAAGTCAAATTTCCTTTTATTTATGTTCCAATCATATTTGATTGGATTTCTTTTATTCTTGAAACACACATTTTTTTTTTTATAAAAAAAATATAACTACTAATATTGCGTTTTTTTCTTAAATTCATGCAACTAGGACACCTAGGGTGATCCCTACCTAATATTATTTGAATTTTAGTGGGCCTCTTCTATAGCACTTTTTGTACTTTTTTTTCTTTTATATAAATAAAAGAAAAGAACTATACAATTGTTAGCAAACTGCCTTATCTTTTATTTTTCATCACATTGATAGCAACTAAAACCATTGCCCAATGCTTTTCAATCATCATATTAGGAATAAGGAGAAAAATATCTTCATAAAGAAAATGTGATTGAAAACTAATGTTTTACTGAAACTTTTTTTTTCTATTAATTCTTCTAATGATTTAATACAATATAATAATATATAAATTAAAATAGTGAATTTGATTAGTCTATCTATTTTAATTGGCCAAAATAACTCAATTTTAGTTAATATGGTTGAATTTGCTCAAACAGTGAGAAGAAAAAACTAGCACAGAATAAACCATTCTGATTGGACACCATCACTTTACATAGTGATAAAAAAACTACTTAGCAGAAGAATGAAGGAAACTGAATTATGTGACTCATATGATGTAACGCCCCACTTTATTTTAAAGGATTNAAGACATGGAACAACCATGAAAAAGAAAATAAAAACAGTAAAAATAATGACTGAATATCTATATATATATATAATTGGTCATTAATTAAAACCGAATAAATTTTACTTATGTGACAAATCATTAAATAAAACTTAATAAATAAAATTTAATAAATTTTACATATGTGTCATTAATCTACCATATCTCATTAATGATAAAATATTTTATTACACTTTTTTTAGGTTAATTAAAACTAAAATCGTTACATTTTATGTTAATTGTGTAATAATTATATTTTTTATTGAATCATATAATAGTTATTATCCCAATAAGTAATTATATTTTACAATAAATGATATTGAAAGTTACATAAACATAAAAGATTATATTGCAAAAACTTTTTGTTCAAGTTATTTATTCTAAAATCAATATTATATTTTTTTTTTATCTAATTACGCGATTATTTTTTAAATAAATTATTTTTTAATGTCATTGTAAAATTTTTTAAAATCGCACAAGTAATTGTTATAATAAATTTAATATTTTTTTGCTAATTAATTGGACATGATCTCTCAAATTACAAAAATTACATTATTTTATTTTTATGCAATCAATATAGTGATTCATATGTAATCAAATCGTTATGTACTATTTATTTTAACCAATGATCAAATCTTAAAACATAATATTATTATATAACTTACAATTTTGATACCATATGCATAAATATAACTTATAATACTCTATGTTTAAAATATAATACTATTATCTAACTTATAATTTTAATATTATATACATACAAATAAGTTATAATGTTTATTTACATCTATACAAATGCGCATGGTCGAATACTAATTTTATTGAAATTGCATGTTTGTTTTTAAAAATAGAAATTAGAAAACATTTATAGCCAGCCAATGAAGATTCAAGAATAAAAGATCTTTGGTACCAGACAACATTATAAATTAATTTAATATGAAGTCACTTTTTGTCTATGACTTCATCGTGCACAGATGATCTAAAATCCATGCCACTATATAGACTGCAAGCTTTTGTGTTTGATCTTAACCTCTCCTCTTTCTTGCAAATCCTTCATAAAACTTTTGTAAACCTCAAAATCAAACATCATCATTTTTCCCATCTCTCTTTTCCTCAAGTTCTAATGTAGAAAAACACCTCCCCCATTTTCCTTTTTTTTTTCTTTCTAATTTCTATCAACCTTTTTTTCCTTTAATGGGAACTCTTCACTTTGCCCATTTCATCCTTTTCTTCACAATACTCGGGTCCTCGTTCGACCCGAGCCTTGGGGAAGGCAATAATAACTCCTCCTCCGATTCCTTTTGGCTCTTAACCATAAAATCGAAACTCACCGACCCATTTGGAGTTCTCAACAACTGGTCTCAAAACAACAGTATGTGCTCATGGTATGGAGTCACTTGCACAGATGATAAGCAGCACATTTTATCTCTCAATCTTTCAAATTCTGGCCTAACTGGAACAATCTCCCCTGAAATATCGAAACTCGCATCTCTCGAAAGTCTTGATTTGTCTCAAAATTACCTCTCCGGACTAATCCCTCCTGCAATCGGTAAACTTCGAAATCTGAAAGCCCTTCTGCTTTTCACAAACTCCTTTTCCGGCACAATCCCTCCCGAGATTGGCCTTCTGAAAAACCTGCAAATACTCAGATTAGGCGATAATATGCTGACGGGAGAAATTTCGCCGGCTATTGGGAGCTTAACCGAGCTAAGAGTATTGGCCTTAGCTTATTGCCAGTTTTATGGTAGTATTCCAAAAGAGATTGGATACTTGAAGAATCTCCAATTTATGGACCTGCAGAAAAATAATATCGTTGGGCCTTTACCGGAAGAGATTGGCGAATGTAAAGAGCTCGAGCAATTCACAGCAGCAAATAACATGATTGGAGGGACAATCCCAGTTTCGATGGGCGGGCTCAAATCACTGCAGATATTGAATTTGGGCAACAACAGTCTTTCTGGGCCAATCCCAGTCGAGTTGGGCCGTTTGTCGAACTTGAATTACTTGAACCTGCACGGAAATGGTTTAAGTGGCAAAGTTCCTTTGGAACTCAACAATCTTTATCAGCTGGAGACTTTGGACTTATCAAGCAACAAACTTTCTGGGCCCATAAGCCTTTCCAACTCCAATCTCACGAATCTCGAAATTTTGTTTTTATCGGATAACTTTTTCGCAGGTGGGCTACCGGAAAATCTTTGCATCGAGAATTCAAACCTGACCCAGCTTTTTCTGGGCGGGAACAATTTATCCGGCGAATTTCCGGTAGAGATATTAAATTGCTTGTCACTCGAGCAATTAGACCTCTCGGGAAATAAAATCGGCGGGACTCTGCCGGCAGACATCGACAGGCTCGAGAGATTGACCGATCTTATGCTCAATAACAACAGCTTCACGGGAAAAATACCTCCCGAAATCGGAAATTTGAGCAGATTGAGAGGTTTATACCTCTTTGATAACATGATCACAGGCCCGATTCCAGTGGAAATCGGGAAGCTAAAGCAGCTGGTCTTTGCATACTTTAACGACAACCAAATGTCGGGAAGTATACCGAGTGAACTAACAAACTGCTCGAGCCTGCAAGAAATCGATCTCTCTGGAAATCGATTTTCAGGGTTCATTCCTACGGATATCGGGAGGCTCAAGAATCTTGAATTAATTGACCTGAGGCAAAACGAGCTAGAAGGTCCAATTCCAGCAAGCATAGGCAAATGCAGACAGCTTCAAATGCTGGGTTTATCCGATAACAAGCTCTCGGGCTCGATACCACCCACAATTGGATTTCTTTCGAGACTTTCTCTTTTATCTCTCTACAACAACTCTTTATCTGGTACAATCCCAGAATCTTTCTTCCATCTCAAAAACCTTAGTATTGTCAACTTATCTCTCAACCGTCTTAGAGGAGGCATTTTACCCTTGACTGGCTCGAATTCTCTAACCCTTTTAGATTTAACCAACAATAGTTTTTCGAACATCATCCCGTTTCAACTGGCCTTGTCTCAAAACTTGACACGCATACGCCTTGCCCATAATGCCCTCACGGGAAGCATCCCACCCGAGTTTGGCAACCTTACGGAGCTTCAGTTTCTTGATTTGTCATACAACAGCTTAACAGGCGAGCTGGGAATCGAGCTTTCGAGCCTGACGAACCTTCGGCACCTCCTGCTCAGCAACAACCGATTTTATGGAAAAATCCCCACGTGGTTAGGGAAAATACAGCAACTAGGTGAGCTAGACCTTTCATCGAACAGCTTCAGGGAGGGTATACCGGAAGAGATTGGAAACTGTTCGAGCCTGCTCACACTATCCCTTCACAGCAACAGTTTATCCGGCCCAATCCCGCCGGAGATCGGCAGCCTCAGCCTCCTAAACGTCTTGAACCTTCACAAAAACAACCTATCAGGCACAATCCCAAACACAATCCGCCTCTGCAAAAAGCTATTCCAGCTCAGCCTCTCGGAGAACAGCCTAACCGGCCCAATCCCGCCGGAAATCGGCACGCTGAGCGAGCTACAAGTCACTCTCGACCTGAGCTACAACAAATTATCCGGCGAGATCCCGGCATCCATCGGAGACCTCGTGAAGCTCGAGGGACTCAACCTCTCGCACAATCAACTGATAGGGGAAATCCCGGGCTCCTTCCGGAGCCTATCCAGCCTCCATAAGATCGATCTCTCCGAAAACCGCCTCGACGGACAGATCCCGCCGGAATTCTCGAAATTCGCGGCGAGTGCGTTTCAGGGCAACGGCGATTTGTGCGGGCCGCCGCTGATTCAGTGCGGAAAATCTAGAGAGCACGCGAGAAAATACCTTCCGAGGTCCGAGGTCGCAGGTATTGTGGTAGCGATCGTCTTCACGTCGACTTTGATCTGCTTGTTCCTGGTGTACCTGATGCTGAGGATATGGTGGAATTGGAGGAAGGTGGCGGTTTCTTGCTCTGGAAATGGCGCCGTGAAGAAAAACGGAGAAGATGAGGAATGGGTGTATGGAGAAGGGGTTGTGAAGAGCAGTGGCGATTACCTGGACTCGTCGGAGCACGACCGGAGTTTTACTTTCAACACGCACCAAAATACCGGTCGTGAACAGCTCTGATTTTTCTTATTTTTATTTTATTATATTTCTTTTTGTAAGTTTTATTGTAAATTTTGATTTTTTCACTAATAATGACTCCTTTGGTCCATTTTAGTTTGTGAAATAAAATGTGCATGCATGAACCAAAAAAGTTGGATTTTTTAGAAAATTACACCTTTTTTGTCTTTAGATCTCATTTTATGTGTACATTTACATAGTTTTTATTATTATTATTATTATGAATATACTAGCTTTTACCGTTTATGAAGAATTAATTTGTAATTTATTTTTATTATTAATTTCCAGATTGCATTATTCTTTGTTTTATGTCTAATTTATGAATAATTTATTTTGAGTGTCATTTTTATAAATGTTTTCAAAAAAATGTAGTACACATGATGTTTTGGTGTAAATAAGAGATGGAGTAATTGAATGGTGTCCGCATTCAACATTCACGTAAAGTAACTTGAAGTGATGAAGTCCAAAGATTAACATGAAATAATGTTATAATGGTATAATGGATAGTAAAAAGAGAAAAGAAAAAAAAAAATGGATTAACATGAAATATTTCCAATTCAACATTCACATTAAAACTATCCCCATTCTATCTATACGCAGAACAGCTGACAATTTCCTAAGGTTTTGTTACACAAAACACTAAACATGAAACCTCATAACACATTTCAACTATAGTTTATAGTTTATACTCTGCAATCTTCATATATATATATTTTTTTAATTTACATAATTAGGCATGATACATAAACAAAGTTCCTCCAGTTGCACAGGTAATCAAATTGCTCGTCGGGTGCCACGCAAGATTAAGTAACTTACAATTGAAATCGTAAGAAAATTCGTTACTTCCCGCACTATTAGCATCATGGCCTGAAAGATTATTACATATCACCAAAAAATAATTAAAGACACCAAAAAAAAAATAATAATAATAATAAAATTGAAACTAAAAAAAGATGGAGGAAAATAAAAGGTTAGAAAGAGCACCTGTTCGGTAAAATCCTCTAGCCAGATTGCTCAAAGATGAACGCCGAGGCCTTGTTGTTGTTGGGACTAATGGCTTCCTGCTATGAAAATAGAAAATAAAAAATAAAAAATAAATATTGTTTAAATACGAGTTTCTAAACATCTAATTTGAGTTTGAAAGTTAAGTGTGACTTGCGTATTTGAATCTCTACTGGCTTCAATGGTTACTCCATCGCTATTCCCATTTTCGTAAGAATATACACGCAGATGATTGCTGACAACATATGCAGAAACAACTGTTTAGTTGTTTAGCTTAACAATAGGAAAAAAGGAAAAATAAAAAATATTATGGTATACACTATATAGTAACAAAACTAACCTGTATGACCCAGTTGCAAAACTAAGCCGGTCTTTAGCAATGCAGCATTCGAACTTATCGAAAATTGCATCATTGTTGTACAGATCACACAGCTGCACGGAAAAAAAAATGACATGAAATACGGGGAAAAAATAAATAAAATTGCAAAAAGTACAAAAGGGAATTATACGATATCCCTATTGCCAATAATCGAGCTTCTCACTTTCGGTCGTAGATTGTCGTGAATCCTAAATGTTGCAACTGGACCTGCATCCATGTTCATATCCCAAAGCTGAGAATGAAAACATATCATATCGTTTTTGTGATCAAGGCATAAAAGATGTACAAGAAAGGAAAAACAAAAGCAACAGAATGCATGAAAAATAGTGATCTCGAGGGAAAAAAATATATCTAGTCGTTGAGAGACCTTCAGATTCATATAATCACGGCTCAAAATATGCCTTCCATCATTTGCAAACTTTATGTCAGTTATAGACGCAATAATCTCGGTGAAGAATGATTTAGGCAGTGAGTCTTCGTCTTTGAATCTGTAGAGAATATGTAGAAAATAAATATTTGGTGTTTTACCAAAAAGAAAAACCATGAAAGTAACAATGGTGAAAAAAAAAAAATGTGATGCAGACTAATAATACTCACATCCTTGCATTATGATCACATAGAGCTGATTGTCTCATGTCTACAAGCCGAACAAATCCCCTCGAACTGCTGTACGCCAGAAGATTACAGTGAAACGGGTGGAATTCCACGGCCGTGATCACCTCTAAACAAAATTTCATGAGAACCCAATTATTCTTTTTGTTTGGAAAGTTAAAAAACAAAATAAAAAAAATCAAGTGGTTTGAATGTTGCAATCGACTCTGAATTTTACCCCCTGCTCATTCATTTCTCTAAGAAATATGAGTAATAAACAGGTGCAGAGAAAAGTAGATGGATTAATATCTTGTGCTCTCAAGATATGTTGGATAATTTACCTATTAGATCTTCCATGTTTGTAGGCTTCATGTCAATTATATTGAAACATTGGTTGCTGACTTCAAGATTCCACAAATTTATTCTTAGGTCATCTCCAGAAACAAATGTCTCCCAATCACTTCAAAAAGAAGAATTGTAAATTCCATGAGAATAGCTGTGACAATTTTTAGAACATCAAACTCGTTTTTTTGAAATTCTTTAGTTGTTTGTCAGGTGGTATACTATAGAAAAGAATTATTAAGTGTAGATCTGAATTTTTATCACATGCTCATAGTGAATATATACAAAATTCTTATGTACCATCCCATATTTCAATTTCCCCCTAAATGCCAATTACACTGATAGACCATTATACGTTTTACATGAATTTAAGATACATTTTAGACTCAAAAGAAATAAACAAGGAATCTATAGAAACAATTAGAGATCCACATACTAACCATACCTATTAACCGAGATAGAATTGACATTAAAATCATGAGCATGTTCATACACCTTTCGGCATCTTGCTCGAGTAGCATCCTCTAAACATGCTATCTAGATAAAGAAATAAACATATCTGAGTTATATAATAGAGAATATAAGAAGCTGAAACTTGAGTAACAAATTTAAACTCTGAAACACGTACCTTTTTGTTCCCTCCATCATATGATACATTATTCGCCACATTTTCTGTCCATTCTAAAGAACTGCTGTTAGAAAAATCTGTTGTTTGTCCATTAATAAAACTATTTTCGGCCAACAATGAATTCTCTGAAGATACAGATTGGCTTATTTCCATTTCTGAGTCTTGCTTCACTTCATGGTCCTTGACCTGTCTTTTAATCACCCATTAGCATAATTGCAGGGAACTAGAAAGTGTAGTTAGTTAAATAAGTTTCAACCATAACAAGTTGCATAATCGTCATTAAAATTGAAAGCTTAAACTGATAAATCATTTTCCATATCATTTTTTTGGAAAAAAGTCCACCAATACAAGCAATTCTAATGAGTTACCCAACAGAAGAACTAACATATTCCCTATAACATACTGTGAATTTCATCAAAAAGTTCAAATTTGCAATTCTCAGCCAAAAAAATCATCTTGTACAAAAGATGATAAAAGGTAGTCCTAGTGTTTTACCCTCCACAACTTGATAGTCTTATCATTTGTTGAAAGAAGACATAACGATCCATTTGGTGGTGCACACCATCTGATTTTATTGATCTTTTCTTCAATCTCAATGCTTTTCAAAGAATCAAACTGCAACAAAAGGCATTACCAAACAAGGTTCACAAAAATACAGTCAATATACTTGTTTTGATGTTTTCCAAAGCCAAAAAGACGGGCATACAACTATATACTAAAAAATTGAAAATTAGGAAAAGAATCTGTCACAGAGCACATACCTCGGGCTCGTGACTCTGAAACTCGGTTTTATACTGAAACGTAGGATGATTTATCATAGCACTATCAAGTTGCTCTAACTCATCCCGTGAAGTGAGCTTGTTTACGTCCTATAATAACATCATCGAAAATAAATGTTAACATCCAAAAAAAGTGGAATTAAGAGGGAAAACACGCGTTTACTGTTAAGGCACGCGCCATTCAACTAACTCAATGATGTACAAAGTGGAATTAAGAGGGAAAAACAAGAAAGTGCAATAAAAAAAAAGGGTGCCATTTGACACAATCAACACGACAATTATGTATCCGAAAATTGTTTGAGTTTTCACGTCAATCCCAATGCTAAAGACTACAGTATTTCAGACTTTGCAACTAAACCACAAAGTCGTGTATTTCCACTTTGCATACTTAAATCCAATTCATGCATTTTTCATCCTACGCAACAAGGTTAACATGAACAGAAAGTCAAGAATTCAGGTGGTAGACTAACCAAAGTCTTATTTGCAAGCCCAAAATCCTCACACTCACACACAGACACAAACAAAAGATGATAAACTTTATCACTTTCGGAGAAAATCAAAGGGAAAGGGAAAATTCGCACCTCCTTATGAAAGATGACAACACGGCCTCCTCGATCGCCCACAGCCAGGTGATCCCCATTCTTATCGAACTCAAGCGCCGTAATAAAATCAACTACACATGAAACAAACAAACAAACAAATAAAAAACCGAACTTTTTTCCAATAAAAATTAGCAAGATCATAAACCCAGAGATGAAACGAAGTCCAAAATACAGCGCCCAGGTGTTAGAATCGGAAATTCACCATCCTGAATATCTTCTCCAGGGAGTTTATCGCCGAACGCTTGGGAGAATCTCCACTCCAAAGCGTCCGGAGGAGAACCGGAGGAGTCCGAGCCGAAACTCATACTCACGGCTGATTGCGGCGGACGCTCAAAACGGCATCTTCCGGCGCCGGCGGATTTAGCAGCTGTTCACAGCTCTCGGTTCAACTAAGCCGCTGATTTCTGCGCTCGTGTGCGCGTGTCTGTGAGAGAGAGGCTTTCAGTTTTATGATTATCCACTCGAATTTTTCACTGAAATTTTTAGAGTGAAAAGTGTTGCAGACAAAATTTTATATTTCTGAATTTCTGATAATTTTATTTTCATATTATTTTTATTGGAAAAGTGTGGGAGCCACCAATAGCACTCTCCGCAGATATTTTCACACTTTTGTCAATATATAAATAAAGTAGTGATATATCCCAACAAAAATTATTGTAAAGCTACCAGTGGTCTCGTTATATCATTTAAGGGATTAATGTGTTTTTTTTTTTAACAATTATATATATTTATACTATAAAATGTCATAATTTTATTTGTATTTTTATTTTAGAGTGCGTTAGTTTATTTTTGAAATTATGTATAGTTATTTAAAAAAGACATAATTGTCTAATAATACATGTGATGAAAAGTGATATATTATTAGGTATGTTTTTTACATTAGATTTTTCTTCCCCAATCATTGAGAATTTCATGTTGTCACTTGGAGTAATCTTTATCTTCACAATTGAAAATTGACTTTCAGTTTAACTTTGTCATGTGAAGTAACCCCATTTTTTTAGAATTGAAATCGACCCACAAAAGACAATTTATTTAATCATTTGAAGCAATCTCAATCTCATCTCATTCTTTAGAATTGTAATCGACCCACAAAGGACAATTTAATTTGTCATTTGAAGTAATCTCATTCTTTAGAATTGTAATCAATATTGTTGTTGTTTCTCTTTTTTTTTTTCAACTTTTTTTTTGTTGTAGTGCTGTTAATGAACCTGGCTCGACTAGACTGGNATTTATCAATCTTTGAAGACAAATCATAATCATATTGGTTGACTTAAGTGACTGGATATATCATATTCTTCGAAATAGTAAAATATATGTTTACAAAATATTCACCAACTTTGTGCCTGCAGTGTTATTGTATTTTTTAAAACGATTTAAATAATTGTTTTGTGTCTTGACAGTTAACATTTCGCCATTCCTCGAGAAATATATTTGTTTTTCGATTAAAAATAAATTAAAAATATGACAATGGACAAGTCAAACATCAAGTTTTGGGCTGGGTCGGGTTACCCGTTCCGAAAGGAAAATTTGACATCCCTTTAGGAGCCTTTGGTATGGTTTACAACTTTCAGTGAACATGATTTGGGCTAATAAATCACAAAGGCCTATTATTTTACGTATACTAGGCCCATTACTTTTACGCACATGAAGCTCAATACTGGCTCTAGAAAGGGTACCTTTGGGCTCCCAATCGAGAAAAATGCTTCTATAATGTTCATAATTACCCGAATCAACTCACAAACATTGTTCTTATATAAAGAGTACAAAATACATAAAACCAATAAAGATAAAATTTAAATATTTGAATTTTCATCATCATATGAAAAGATGACAAATTTTATTAATGTTGTTGATGAAAAATTGGAACGTCTTTAGACCTTTTAGATATTTAGTTGGTAATCATTGGACCTTTCAGACATTAGCTAATTGAGTAATTCAATCTTAAATATATACACATATAGTAAATATTTTTTGTATCAATATAATTGTACCGGGACAAATGAGTTGGCTCGAGACAAAAATACATAAATTGATATCGACATTAATAATGAAAATTTATATTAACCATAAGAAAATCAATATTGGCAGCCCTGAATTCATTAATTCATAAATAAATGAAACAAGATAATAAGCAACCAAAAAATAAATAAATAAATAAATAAAAAATACAACCATTACTCAATTTGTGTTTGTTAGAAGTTCCTATATCCAATTAGCTATCTTTGGGAGGATTTACCAACACACGATATTAAAGGCCCATAAAATAGATAAGAGGGTCCCCTCCCTTCAACGTTCTTGTCTTGTTTCACATGTATCATTTTCGCTTCCAAAAGTAATATAAATATTTTTTTTTAAAAAAATAATAAACATATTTTTTTTTTGCTGCAACTAAATTGAATGAATCGTTTGTCAGTTAGGTTCGCCTTATTTGATACACGAGTCGAACTTGAACTCGTTTAATTGACCTGAAGGCTGAAATGACATTGTTTTGTCAATTGAAAATAAAAAAAGACCAAAAATAGATAAAAGAGGCATAATTTTGGTCATTCAACAAACGAATACGCATGGTTCTTCATATATATATGTATAAGAGAAAGATTTCGAAAAAATGGTTGTTTTTTTCTCATTACATTTAGAGATAACAATGAAATGAAACCGATTGTCAGTTATCGTTTGATGAAGGAGTTGAATTTCAATTGTTTTAGTTGACGTGTCAGCTTAACTCTTTAAGCTTCGAAAATAAAAGTTATTAATATAAAATTTTGAATTTTTACCTAACTCAGTTTAGTAAGACTCTAAGTCAAACTCATTAATATTTTATAGACAAGTTGAGCACGAGCTAATTTATCGACTTGTGTAGTAATAGCTTGGGTCGATAAATGTTCGAGCATAAGCTCAAGTATCATAAGAGCGAAAATAACTACTAACATTAGTCAAATGTTTTGAAAATACACACAAAGTCTCTCTCCTCTCATTCATGGCCAAGAATCAGAAGGTACCTATATACACTATCTTCATTTAATATGAACACTCTCTCATGTGGAATCTCTCTCTCTCTCTCTCATCTTCACTGCAACAAACACACACGCACACACAGTCACACACACACACAATGTCAGTCTCATGTGCTCAATAGTCAATCCCACCTCAAATTTTCATCCACCACTTGCAGTCCAGCTCCACATTTTTGTCTCTATTTTACCCTTCCTCATTCACTAATTTAGCTTTGTTGTATAGAAAAGATTCAATTTTTCTACGCTCTCTCTCTCTCTCACACACACACACACTGAAACACATTTTATACTCGCTCTCTGTCCTACCCTCCAACTCTTTTTCGATTCCAGTGGGGCAAAAGAGAAAATGGCATACTAAAAAAGACTGAATTTTTATCAAGAAATTTCAGAAATATGAAAATGGTTGTTTGGTGTTTTTGAATACATTGTTTTCACATTCAAAATATAGCTTGGATGTGTGGTGAGAAGCAAAATGGGCTTGAGATTTTGTGTATTTTTGCTCCTTCATTGCTGGGTTTTTCTGGGTTTTAGCTTGGGAGCTCATTCTGAGGAGGGGTCTGAGGTGGCTGTGAAATTACTGAAAGCCCCTCGTGCATTATCCAATAGAAATTCAGCCATTTTTGTTTTTCAAGCTGTGGAGGGTGACAATGGCGGCCTTTGCTCTGATTGTGCCACCAATTGCAAGGTTGGTGTATTATAGTTCAATTCTGAAGTCTCACACACAGAAAGGTGCTATCTTTTTGGTTTTTTCTTGAAAATTTTATTTTTTTTTGTATGATTTACAGATTTCATGGCCACCTTTTATATGTTTGTAAGTTGAAATGTTGAAAATTTTAAGTTCTGTTTTTAGTTTCCGAAAAGTATTACATATGGTTCAATGCATGTACTGAACTGTGATTGGTTATTTATTTATTTATTTTTTTAAATCCACACAGATCGAAAATTTCATTTTCAATTATTTATCTTTTAATGAGCAAATCTAGCAATATCTGTGGCTGTGCTGATTTGAGTTGGATTTATCATTTATAATTATTTCCTTGTAAATCCGTGTGAAGAGGGTTTTAAATACAGGAATGTCTGTCTCTATGTAATTTGATATTGAAAGTTACTTTGCATATGCTTACAGCTAATAATGAAATTTTAAAAAATGATTTCTTCATCTGCTAAAAATTTGCTCAATTGCTTTGACAATTCAACTTCAATTTGGCTAAAACTCCTGTCCTAACATTATTTCAAGAATATTTATTTTTCGGAATCTTTTAGAAGATTGCTGGGAAGAAAACAGTTCCAACCGATACATGCTTATTTTATTTCGACCTTTTGTTTTTGTTTTTTTTAGCTTTAGCTCACTTTGAGATTGCCTCATAATGTTAAAAAACTTAAACAGTAATGCTATCTTTCTTTGATTTGCTTGATAATGTTAAAACAACTTTAGGGGATCACTGAGAAGAAAACAATTCAACCAATACGTGCCTATTGTATTTTGAAATTTTAACAGCTTTAGCTCCCTTTTTTATGTTGCTTGGTAATTCTGACATATCCCACAAATGCAGCTGGATCATGGCATGTTCTCCTCTTGTGAAGGTGGAAATGTTTCGTATTCGAGATTATTAGAAGGGAACCATTTCTTTGAGGTGTGTCTTAATGGGTCTACACGAGCTGCCTGCACCAGCTACAACTGGACTGTTGGTCGAACAATTACCCTATTTTCCATTTTTATTCGTTATAAACATTGTGAAAAGAGAAAAAAAAAAATAATGAGTAAATTAATTAGAAACTTGAAAGTTGCAACTTTGTTTGGTAATTAACAAATCACTTTTAGTGAATTCTACATTCCTAATCACAAAATACATAGCCTGCAATTCTTTTCGAGTGAGATTGGCTTGATACTCTAGAAAAATTAATATACAAAATAAAAAATATGATGTATGTTCATTTATTCCTTGTTTTGTTCTGTTTTTGCAGACACAGTGAGGCCCACAGCTCACATTACAACCGAGACATCCTTTACGAATGCTTCTCGTATTTCGGTCAATATATCCTTCAGTGAAGCTTGTGGAGGTTTCAAATGTTCTTCCATGAATGCATGCAATGTGAGTATGTCTCAATGATAACTTATTGTTCTAATTTCTTTTTGAGTTTTCCCAGCTTCCTATACAGAAACTTCTAGAATTTCTAAAGTTTCGTATGATCTCTTCTCGACAGCTTCGTGTTTATGGTCCCGGTGAGATCTTGCCAAGTACACTTGACACCATACAGCCGAACTTGAAATACTCGATTACCGTAAAAGTGTCTGAAGGAGTTCGAAACGGACGTTTGATCTTAGTGATGGATAAAAATTTCTGTACAGACTCTGCAGGTAACCAGTTCATAAGGACAGAGAATTCGAGTCTATTCATACATTTCGGTGAGTTCCTTTCCTTTTTGTTACTTAATTAGAAAAAAATTATATGACTTTGATTTTACCCTCAGTAAATGTTTTTTTTTTTCTTTTAAACAGATAGAAGGAGTGTGCATGTGGATATGAGGACTCACGTGCCCGAAAGGCTGCTTCAAATAAACAGCGACACTCGAACTGTATTAGCAACAAATAATAATAAGTACTTGAAAGTGTACTTATATTTCACCGAGCCAGTCGTGAACTCGTCGGCCGAGATTTTGAACTCCCTCAAATTAAATCAAGGTTCGCTCGTCCCTATAAACGGGAGTACGTTTGGACAGCGAAGATTTGGCTATCAGGTACTTTACATTATCGTGTTTTCATTATTTTTTTTTCATTATTACTAGCAAGAATTATGTTAAGCCAGTGTTTGTTCATTCACCTTGCAGCTTATGGATATTTCAGATTTGGCCATTGTAACTGTAAGTCTTCAATCGGATATGGTGATTAGCAGACAAGGGACACCGATTTCTCCAGTTCCTCCTGCAACTTTTTTATATGGTAATGCAAAAACGAACCTAATGAGCTACCCGAATATGCCGATTTACAGCGTGCAAAAAGCTTATATATGCTTTTAGAGGAAGTGAATTTAATTGTAGTGTATGCGAAAAGTAGCTTAGCATGAAAGCTTGCAATTACTTGCAAGTAGAAATCTAAAATTTGACATTACTCCCCATCTTTTTAGATTCGTTCTAAATCAATGAACATGTAAGTAAGCTGATATTTACTCTTTCCTTCGGTTTTGAATTTATTTATTTTTGCTTGTTTTTCATGTCATAGATTCCGAAAGACCCACTGTCAAGCTGAGCACGACATGTAACATGCGGACTAAAGAGAAAACTGTTCCTATTCTGATCAAATTCGTGAAGCCCGTGTTCGATTTCAATTCGTCTCATGTATCGATTTCAGGGGGTCATTTGCAGAGGTATTCAATGAAGATATCAAATGCATAGTAAAATTCCCATATAAATATAACATAAGATTAAATTTATTTTAGTCACTATTTTGTGCATATTTTGCAGTTTTCAAGAAATGACAAGGAGCAGCTACACAGCACATATACAAGCAGAAAGTGATACAATTTCAGTCAGTATTCCTGAAAACATTACAGCAGATATTTCGGGAAATCGAAATCGAGCCTCTAATACTCTTCAAATCAAGCACTGTAAGGAGCCTTTATCTTCTCCTTTTATTTATTTATTTTTAAGAATTTAAGAATTAACAATTTTTTGTTGCTCTTTGCAGATGCTGTACCTGTTGAATCATTTGTGCTTTCGTATTTCGTAACGGCTACTTTTTCCTTAACTGCTCTAATAGCCGGCTTTTTAACTCTTTCAACCACAAGCTTGCTATTAGCTGGCGCATTCTCTCGACCGAGTTCTATCTTATGCTTCGATCCTGCACGAAATCTTTTCGTAAATTTCTCACTTCATTTTTCAGTATAATGTTCACAAACTTAAGTTACCAATTGCCATCTAATTTTGATTTTTCGATTTTTTTTTTCATTTTTCATATCATGCAGAGAATAGCTTCCCATCTCCAAGTGTTTGCATTTTCTAGATGGCTTGCAGTCACCTTGCCAGTCGAATATTACGAGCTCACAAAAGGCCTACAATGGAGTATTCCTTACTTCAACCTCCCGTGGGAAAAGGGAGGCGTTTATTCAGTCATGGTTGGGTCAAATTCCCCGAAAGATCGGCTATTTCGTGTTTTTGAGAGCCTTCAGCCGGAAGCTGTAAATATAAATCCGGGAGCGAAAGTTTTCGGTTTGCCTCTGACTCCAATCGAGTACAGATCATATTTCGAGGTTTTTTTTTTCTCAACAATCATCGAATTTCACTCTCAAGACTGTCATTTTCTGACTTCCTGGTTCTGTATTTTGATATAAACGAGCATTTTTTCCGAGACAGAGCCAGAATATCTTGCCAGAAGCTGATTACATTTTGGACCCACAAAATTCACATGGGTGAGGTTTTTACTTTTTAGGTACATCATCGAAGTACAATCGTAATTCAACTCGTATAATAATCATTTTGTTCTTCTTCTTCTTCCAGGTGGAGAGATTTCAGCCGAAGCATGTTTTGGTTGGCAATAATCATCGGGAGCTCGATAATACTGCACGTTATACTGCTCGTGATACTCAAATTCAGAAAGCAGAACAAGGAAAAAGAAAAACAAAGCTATGGAGCACTCATTTTCCCAAGATTCGAAATCTTTCTTCTAATCCTCGCTCTCCCTTGCGTTTGTGAAGCATCGGCAGCTTTAATAAAAGGTACTTAAAAAAAAATTCTAAAGCAATCGCCAATCAAGCTGTCTTATTTCCTCCTAACACTTGTTTTTCTTCTTCTTCTGAAAATGTATAAAAAGGAGCATCATCTTCGGGTATGATAGTTGGCGTGCTCTTACTAAGTTTAGTAGCATTTTTGCTACTTTGCTTGCTTTTATTCCTTTCATTTGGAATAACATTGGGAAAGCTACTCCAATACAAAGAAGTTCATCAAATGGGCCGAAAATTCCACTGGTACCAAGAGCTTATCCGAGTCACTTTAGGCCCCGGCAAACGAGGCCAATGGACGTGGAAAAACGAGCCCAAATCGATCTACCTCGCGATTCTAGGCCCGTTTTTCGAGGACCTCAGAGGCCCACCTAAATATATGCTGTCCCAAATTTCGGGAGGAGGCAGCAGCCTCAAGACGCCACCTGGCGATGATCGAATCATCGACTCGGATGACGAAAACGAAGATGCCGAAGCCCCTTTTATTCAGAAACTATTTGGTGTTTTGAGAATTTATTACACGCTAATTGAAATTGTTAAGCGCGTGACAATCGGGATATTCGCGGGGGCATACTCGGAAATTTGGTCATCACGAACCCCGACAATTACCCTACTCTGCATGACTTCGTTTCAACTCTTCTTCATAGTCCTCAAGAAGCCATTCATCAAGAAAAAAGTCCAATTGATCGAGATAATCTCCGTTTCGAGCCAAGTTTCGATTTTTGCGTTTTTCGCCGTGTTTTTGGATCGGGATTTCTCGCCCGAGGGCGAGAGGAGGCTTGGGATTTCAATGCTGCTCGTTTTTTTGTTATCTTTTTTAGCAGAAATTGCGAACGAGTGGGTAGCATTGTATATGCAGATCAAGCGTTTGGATCCCTCGACAAATTCTTTCTTGCATGGGTTGAAAATGGCTTTTGTCGGGTTTTTTTTGTTCGTGGGCCCACAAGGGTTGACCAAAAGGTTGACTAGACGGTTCCCGATAAGCAACGAGACGAGTAGGAGCATAAACAGCAGGGTCTCGGGCGAGAGGCCGTGGCTGAGGCAAATACGTGAGCTGGCGAGGTCTAGCTTAAGTAAAGATCGGAATAAAACGACGAGCATAAGCGAGCCCTCGACGAGCAAGTCGAGATGGAGCGGTTTATGGAAGAATAAGAGGAGCGGGAGCTCGTCTGCATCGACATCGACCGATTTTAAGGCGAAGCCGAAAGGGACACTGTACAAGGAGTTGGAAGAGATATTTGCTTCCAAATGAGACTTTAGCTGGAACAAAAAAGAGAGGGAAGAACAAGAAAATCATGTATGAATGTTGTGTCTTTTTCTTGATTTTGAAAAGTTGGGGAAAACATTGGTAAGAAATGGAAATTGCAGGATGGTTGTTTTATATTGGTATATGGTGCATGAAGAGCCTAAAAAGATTGTGTT